AAAAAAAAAAAGAGGGGTAGAGGAGGAAAAATAAGGATGAGAAGTAGAGGAGAGATGATGAAGGGAGGGGAGGAGGGGGAGAAGAGAGAGGTTGAGAAAGTATGAGGAATGGGGAGGGGGGGGGGGGGGGTTAAACAGATACACGTAGTAGACAAGAGTGTCGGAGGGTAGTAGAAGTTAGAATACCTAACAAGAAGTAATAAGACCATAGCGAATATAGATCAAGTCATTTTTAAAGAAATTGCTGATGTCTATGTTGTATGTGTAAAAATCGACAGGTGCGCTAAGAACAAACCACTGTAACAAGAACCAAGAACCAAGCCATGCTGTTTTTTCCCGCCCTTTTAACTCGCTTGTAATTTTTTTTCCCAATGTATAACCCTTTTACCAACGTTTCTAAACTTTGGCCCTGTAAATATAAATATCCTCCAGCCGTGAAATTGTTGCCGCCGTAGTACCCATCTCTGGAGCGCCGCCGTTCAACCTATCTAAATATCGCTCATCTCGATATCTTCTGTATCTGATTTCTTGTGTTTTCCTTCTTTATGTTCATCGCGGCAGCTCTTTTCCTCCTTCAGTCGCTCTATTTGCCGGGTGACGACTTGTTGAAATTCTCGGAGGTATTGTTCCAGTTGCTGGAAGGGTTGTTGAAACTGATGGAAGCACTGCTGAAGGTTCTGAATGGATTCGTCAAGTTGTTGAAAGCCCTGTTGGAGCTCCTGTAAAGGATTGTGTAGTTTTTCAACAGTCTGTTGGATCTGGTGGATAGACTGTTGAAAGTGCTGAAACGGTTGTTCGATTTGGTTGAAGGACGGTCCAAGCTGTTGGACGGACCTAAAGTGGGAAGGTTAGGTGATAACCAGCAACCAAGGCGGCACAGTTCCATTTACCAGTTTACATTGTCCAAAGATGGAAGTATTGCCAGAACGCATTCCATCTGGCTGTCATTGATATTCTTAGACATTATGAAATCGCGACGCCCTATTGACTAATGTGGTTTTAAAAGACCAAATTAAATGAAGAGAGATGGTAGTAAAACGCGGTAACCGAGTGAGTTCTAGAGATTGCCAAGTTCTTGTAAGCCTGGGGCTCGAGGTAGTTTATATACCTGTAATGAAATGCTGAATATGTATTCATCGCGACGACCGAGCCACTGCATTCGCGCTTGCACATACTTGCATAGTGACTATAGGAACCCGGGACACGCTGGCAATCTGGGCTCCCGAGCCATGCTGCGCAGAAGAGCATGGTAAAGAAAGGAAGAGGAGGGAAACTACCGGGGGGGGGGGGGGGGGGGGTCCGAAGTAGATCGGCATCATTGGCACATTGGTACCAGCTTTTCGCGAGTGTCCATCGTTTAACTCCACGGCGCTAATCTCTTGGTCTTGCGTCAACTTTGATCTTCTACATCAACTATACAGCTTTTGTTATTTTTGAAGCTGCAGAAGTCAAAGGTTTGAGAGTCCGATACTGTGCTAGAACCAGAAGTCAATTCTACACGCAATGACTGACCTGGAGTGCGGAAATGTAGGCTCATTCTAAGGCTGGGCCGCGGAAAAGGCAACACTGGGGGTTACCGGGGTGAATCCCAATATGCTAACATTCTCTCGCCGTGCGGGCGTCATGGGACATTCGGACGCCTTCTTTTCGCCTCGTTTTCTGCTGCTTTATTTTGCTGCGTTGATCAGCACAGCCCTTGCCCTCAATCATAGAGAGCAGGCATGTTCCTTCATACATCAAAACACCATTTGTTCACCGCTTCTATGCTGTTTTCAGACACGACCCGATTTAGTGTGAATTCTTTTGATCCGGCTCGCTTTGTGTTTTCGCTTCGACACCTGTCGCTTTTCTCCATGCAAGGGCGATGGGAGGGTTCTGAGTGTAGGATTGCCTGGTGACTCATTTGCTGGCCAATTGCAACTATAGGTATTTATATGTGCAGCTTTCACACTGTGTCATTTCCATGTGGCTGAGATGCAAATATTTATTTTTTTAATGATCGGTCGGGAATCATTCTCCATTCGAAATATAGACAATGGACTAGTATGCAGGCGAGTCGTCCCCCTAGCAAGGAAAAAATCTCAAAGGGATTGCCACTAAAGCTTAAGAGTAGAGAAATATGGTTAAAAAAAAGCCTTTCCCAAATCACCTTGAGTCATTTGGTACGACTGGATATTGCGGTGCCGGTTTCGCACAATGCCAAGGAGTAGCTTCACAGTGGCGCCCCGATAGAGCTTTATTCCACGCTCAGTCCTACAATTCACTGGACCACTGTGACTAAGGAGAGCAGTAGCTTGTGATTAGCAAAGAGAAAGGGGGTGCTGTGTGGCATAAGAATCTGAAAGGCGATCCCCTGTAAATGGTAGTAGTAGTAGTAGCTTACAGGACAGCCCCTATGTAAGAGACATGAGACAGTGCTATGATGATATGTCTACTTAACATTGTACGGCGTAGTATACACTGTTATCGAGACTTTGAAAAGTATCATCTGGTGGCAGCAGCATTGGCTCCAATATGATGATGCGTGCTTCAGTACTTCCTTCTACATACGCATAGAGAGGTAGAGCTTAGGAGACGCTGCTCCAGCATACAGGGTATACCTGGTAATACATAATCTAGATATCGAGACCGGGATCCAGCCGGATCAATGCCCGAACCCCCAGCCACCTTAATAAAGACCAGAAGACAAGGCTAGAGCACCAAATTGCTATCTCTGCCTAGATGGCAAGGCGTTCTCCAGTACTTATGATCTTTTTCTTCTCGGGCTCGGCCTACCCTTTCGGCTTCTATTGCGGTCTAGCTCGGTTGATTCTAGAGCATAGATGCTTTCTCAGATTCGCTACGTATCATTAGAATCCATATTATAGTTGGATACGTGAATAGATACCTGGTAGGTATGCTACCAAAATCTAGAATATGTCTCCCTGACAGCTCTCAGGTGTGTGTGGACCATCTATCTCAACGCGCCTGAACTCTTAGCTGCTTCTTTTCCCGCCTGCCAAGTCTTTTTTGTCCGTCATAGCCGGTCTAACAGTGAATTGATAGCTAGCAGTGCTTTCATCCCATTGGAGGTGGAGCTACAAATCTGAATAGATTTAATAAAGGAGGTGGGCAATCGGAGCTGTCAGCGCTGCTATCTCAGTCTGGAGGTACTGAACAGGTACCAGTACAAACCTTCGTCCTTGGGAGAAGGTTGAGTCAGCAACTGGAAGTTAGCAATTATCAAGTATCGGTGAGTAACATGTGAGGCAGTTCGGACCAATTGTGTGAGTGCCAAAGCACATGTATATGCGTACCTGTACCACTGGAAGCTTTGCTCTGCTTTCCGCAGTCATATTGTGCCATGTCTCATACTCTGGCAGCTAGCCCGGTAGTTGGATTGGATTGCACGTGTATTCTCTTCAGTCGGATTGAACCTTCAAATGCGAGGTTTCTTGTCTCTGATTCCAAGTGAACCATTGTTGCATGCGCCTTCGTACCGCATCGCGTCGCGTAAACGACAGACTGCGCAATCCGCATCGGAGCTGTCACCGAGGCGTGACTCGGCGAATTTGAAAGCTTTGCCGTTTATGCGAAATGCGCAAGCGGTACACGATTACGGCGACGCGTTCTTCTACTCCCTAACGAAGACTAGTTTGGTTTTTCCTTGCCAGAGAAAAAATCCCTTGCCCGGGACAGAATACGGTTACGAGACATGAGTCGCGACAGCAATAAAACAGTCGGCTCCTGAGCAAATCCAGTACTTTGTATCTGTTGGCTTGACCTTGTAGCGTCTGCGGCCTGGCCCGTGGCGGTCCGTATGTAATTTCCGCTCCGCGTAACTCAGCCTAATTGTCTGATCACGTTGTTGGCAGTTGTAGTTGATAAGGGGGCCGCAGTGGTGGCGCCACACATGCCCACGAGCATGAACGGGCTCAATAGACCATGAATAAGTTCACGAAGTTATGCCCCAAAAGTTTAGGGGAAAAAAGGTGTGCGTTTTGGTTACAATTGCGCCAGCAAGTTGAGCGATCTCATCATTCCAAGGCCATCCCTTTCTCCCCGTTCTACTTCACTCTTTGTTAATTTAGGGGTTCCCATAAGTCTATCCTCGCCTTTCATATTGGATTTCCAGCCGAATGGTTGAGTCACTAGTGCTTACGGCTCTAATTGTTCTACGTTTCAGGTGTCCAATGTCGACTATTAGTTGAGGTACATCTATACCTGAAAGAGGTCCTTCCACCTAAGTAGGTAGGGTGTGATCAACGCTCCCGGGAGAGCTATCGGCTGCGCTCTTGACTAGGTGAATGGAAAAAGGGCAATATTTTACTCGGGTTACATGTTCATATCTGAAAATGTCCAAATTCTTTCCTGCGTATTGAGATTTTCCATAACTATGGTCTCAAGCCTGTATTCTAACGGCTTCGAAAATAAGTAAGCATGAAGAAACGAACGTAAAACCTCCAAGCTTTATTTTCACTGGTTAGGACCATACTTCAATTAATCCGGCGAAGCGCCAATGGTGGTAACTTTCACCAAAGGCACATGATCACTCTAATAACGACTAGACAAGTGGAATTATGGGAGAGAGTATAGACCAAATAAAATGACAAAGGCAGCGTTTGTATCAATACGCGGGATGATCGATATCGTAACAATAGCAAGAGCTGTAAACGATAGCAATTAAACAGCAACCAGTATTAAAAGAGAGAGTTGGAGAGCTTTTTTACATACCGCTACGTAGCAAATAGAGAATTATTGTAGAGCCATCTGCTACGTCCTCAATCCTCTTGTTCTCTGCTCCAGTGTTTCAAGTTTTGGCCATTCAGATTCTGTGTGAACTTTCGCACTGAGCTACTTTTTACTTTGACTTTCTTTCCTCACTATCTTTTTTTTTTTTTCCCTTGAGTACTAGAGAATGTTCTCAATGGGCTTTATTTTCCATCTCATATTTCGTCCCAATAATGAATTTCCTCGAAGAAGCCGTGTGTCTTTTTCTGATACCATATTGTGTACCTTTCACTTACTGGAGCTTGTCGGAATGCGGGGTTCGAATAGCAAGACCCCATTTATTAGTTCTTTCGGAATATGCCGTGGAACCCATGGAATGGACCTGTAGTAATCGGATCGCTAATGTGTATGATTGCAGCATGGCAAAAACGCGGTGACATGCTGACTGAAGGAGGTTTGCCTTTCGACTCAGGTAGCGAGGAGTATGAAGTCGATATAGAGTTTGGCTCCCGTAAACTAACGTTACCCACCAGTTGTAGTCTGACGGCAAATGGAACGGCAGGCATATGAGTTGCGGTGCTATACAACACAGGCCCACTTATCAGATCTGCACAGTTTTAGCGATGCGTACCTTACTATGAATTACTCCATGACGTGGCCCGTGTGACAAGCGTTTCTTAATGATTACAGCTTACCTGTAACTTCAGCAAAGAGTCAAACTGGACCCGTGCTGGAGCTGGCATCGACTAGGCTTTTCGCTTGAGTACTGGGCAAGATTAGCGAAAACCGGGGTTTGGGATATGTAGTAGGAAGATCCCCGTGGTTGGAGTAATTGATGCATCGAATCTTCAGCATAGCCTTGCTCCACAGACCAAAAAGGGGGAAAAAGGAATTACGAGGCATGCCATCTCTCCATATTGGTAAGCGCTGTAGACGATAGCACGTACACAGCATGTGCGTATGTACTTTCTGATCATAAACAGTTTTGAGCTCGTAACATGTGAGAGGCATATACCTGTCGGTGAGCGAAACGGGATAGCGCTACTGTAACCGCCACTTCGCCGCTGTTGATGAGATAAGCGAAAGCACATGTATGCGTATTGCTAGGTAGTTCGTACTTCAGAACCCAGCGTTGAGCTCATTGGTCTGATATATGCACTGTAGGCAATGCATGATACGCTTGGAACCCGTAGCGGTGGCTTATGGAACTTTCATGCGTTTGTACCTATAAGAGTCTAGTATAAGTCTAGAAGTGTTCATTAGTGGACCTTAAAGCAAATTGAAGAGGGTAAAAAAGAAGCAAGAAGGCAAGGAAGTGCAAGATGCCGTTTTAGTTTAGCTTTGTAATATCATGCATAGGTAGTAGGGAGTATACGTGGGTGGATATTTTAGCTTAAATCAGAGAAACTAGGAGTAGGTATTACCTAGTGAGTTTCTGTTTTCACAGTGATACGTACTAGTAAAGCGCAGAAGGCGATCTCCCTTTCTTTGGCGTGCCTTTTCAATAACTTGAATCGTGAGAAACTATCACGAAGAGCTCTGTGCAAAGATGTAGCTGGACGTAATACACTAAGTTGCGGTGTACAGAGTCAGGGGGTGACAATTTAGTATATTGTCGCATATAGCAGCAGAGAAGCCCGGCTATTTAGTCAGTCCTTTGTGCGTATATAGCCAATCATTAACAGCTAAAGAACCAAATAAGTAAGAATTTCTCGAAAGGGAATAAACTTAATGAAGGCATCGTCGCTGGAAAGAAAAAGGGGGTGGGCCAATTCACTCTCGTGTGGAGTGCGGATAGCATCAATCCGTCGCCATCGGACCGCCGCATCAGTCCAGGATACCCCCGGAAATGTAGGTAAGAATGACGTCGAATTAGAGTTACTGCAAGACATGCTGCTTGCAACACGGGAGTGCTCCCTGTATGCGGCGATATGTCCAGATCGGCTGGCGAGAACTCCACGAGAAGGAGGCTGCCATTGATGGGAGCCTGAAAACCCCGCATTTTCTACCGGGGGAGTTATCGGCCATTTCATCTCTGGGCCACAAATACATAGTATTGTGGAACTCATGAAGATCGCGCTGATGGGCACCTAGATCGAGAGCCGGTACCTTCTTTACAAGATGCCTGATATTAAAGGCATCGTGTAATGTTTTGGTGATGAGAAAGTCCTCTAATCCTCTGTCATTACCACCACTTCGACAGACAATGGTTCTCTTGATTTCCCGTGTGGAAATATTAAAGAAGCTTGACACGTGGCAAGCCTTCCAGCATATGCATGGTGAGATGGATATCTCCTGCCACATATAGATAAGCAAGATCGATGATTCCGGCTGTTCATTTAATGCCGTGGGCATTATTAACTTGACAGTAGTTGAATCTGATGCATACGTATAGTCTTAGCGGACTTATGCATGGCTTCCCGGGGAGATACGGCTAAACGGCCGCCCTATGTGTACTATGCACTTGTAAGCATGAATCAAGCAGGGTACGGGGGATTAGACAGAATACTTGGAAGGTACTTGATACAATACAGCACGTCAAAAAGAAAACAGATGCTGTACACCATTGAACACAGGAATGTAGGGTAGGTAGAACCAAAAACGGCTGGTGCTAAGGCGACACAGCCATTGTCGATAGAAAGACGCGAAAATAGCCGTCGAGAAGTCGGTCTGTCTTAAGACGGAGACAGGCTGGGCTATAAAATTCATAAAACCAGTAGGCAATTTGAAAGTGTAAAGTAGTAATAATAATGGTGTTAAAGAAAGAACTTGGTTTGCGATGTGGCCAAGGTCGAAAACGCCCTAGGCAACGGTTGCCTGAGCAGAGTCGCTGATGGGCTGTAAAAGCCCCCCAGGTTTATAACGAGCGACACGATACACAATGACGCGCCACAAAAATGTCCTATATCCTTTGTTTTGTTGCTCTCTTTTTGTCACCTCTATTACTGGAGTCTTATTTCCGGCAAATTGCATAAAAAATCTACGCTATGCCCCCTTTTATCTGGCGGGTCAGTACCACCACACTTCCCGTGTAAGGCACACTTGCCCGTTGGACCCTTGTCAAGCAAATATGACAGAGTCTACAGGTGCTATGTACATATTAAGTACATGCAGTATCTCGCACAGTACAAGTATATGTAAAAGGCGGTGGGACGGGCCGGTGGGATGAAGCCAGTCAACCCGTATCAAGAGACCACCAATATACTGTATGCACAGCACTCAAGCAAGGATGCCACCACCTCTGTACATATGTGCCGTCTCTAGGTACACTCCATACCGTATGGGCTGATCTTTTGCTAAGTCTGTTTTTCCTCAATACCAGATTGAACATGGAACTGCTTGCCGGGCCACCGCCATATGGAGCTATCTATGGCTTCATGTGACGTGTTGGATCTCTGAAGGATTCCTCAGTAGCCCGCTCGACACGTATTTAGTACCGCTCGAATGTACTCCACGGCGCGAGGAAATCGCAGGAAAACAAATAAAAAGCAAAAAGAGCTAGCTGCATAGAGAGGAGGTAAAGGCGCAGTGTACACCCCTCTGCCTCGATACAGCATGGCGTGCAGCCTTCTTCGATCCATGCCAAATTGAGGCCTCTAAGACAGCGTGAGAGCGCTAGAGCTGGATGCCTGTTTTCCCTTTCCTTTCTTTTTTTCTTTTCTTTCCATCAAGCCCAAATCTACACGCTGCACGCACCAGGGTGATGCAGAATCCTTTGGCAGCCAATGGGAAGAGCACGGTCGCAGAACCAGCGCGAGACGGGCACGGTCGCAGCGCTGTGAGCGGCCCTGTCAGCATCGAAAACTTTACTACGGACCGAACGTCGTCGAAGAATCACAGTGTTTTTTCGAAGAGCGTTCAGAGTGTTTTATCTTCTTTTGGCAGAAGCTGAGTGACGGTTCGGTACAAGTGTTGATCATGAGTGGTTGCCGGATATTCTCATGAGTTCAATGTTGCGCGTGCTCTCAAGATTCGTACATAAAAGCTCCGATGAGTAGGTAGTAGAGCATCCTCGTCAAAAAGAACCAGAACAGAGTCGGAGCAAGCAAATAGACTCCAAGTCAATTTTAAAGAAGATACTCACAATCATGTGCTATGCGTAAATGATAGCGTAGTAATACTGCGATGAAAAACATTATGTAAGAAAAAGAACTCTGGACACGCTTTTCCCCCAATGCTTTTATTCCTCCTTTTTATACTTTTTTCCCATCTATTTGCCTTTACATCTGATACCCAGCCCCTAACGCCTTTTAAAGATTATAAAGAAACCTCCAGTCTATACTCGCTAAATTTTTATCGTGCTGTCCACCGTAATGCTAAAGACTGTAATAGCTGTCTCACAAATGGAGTCGCTCAATCTGGAGAAGTGCCACCCATCACGACGTCCTCCATATATGTATCGTCGTGGTCATCCTGATCGCCCTTATCACGCTCGTCACGGTCTTCGCCGCGTCCTTGGTCGTACTGTGTGTCTCCTTGGTCGATTTGACTGGCGAAAATTGTTCGAAATTCCAGGTAGCTCCTAAGGCGAGGGGGTTCGTAATTAGCGAGCAAGCAACGCAGCGAGCAATTCCACAAACCAGAAGATCAGCCAGAAGATGAGCCAGAAGAAGAGGTCCATTCGTTGAAGCATTGCACAGTATTCCCTGTGACTTCTGTTGCTAGCATTCGGCATGATGGAAACTTGTAAACTTATGGGACGACTAGTACGGATTCTGTAGTCAAACTATATGAGAAGAAAAAGATAGTGATAGGATCATTTATAAGGTTTTTTTTCAGGTGCTAAGATGTTTAGTGCTTTAAGGCAGTTTATACGTGTGTAATAATGAAGGGATGAACATTAGATCCATCGAGATAGACGATTGAGCTTTTACAAGCATGTCGAGAAAAGGACCCCGGACACTTGGGCAGTCGGGGAACCAGAGCCGGTCGCCGCAGAAATTGATAGTGTTATTTTAAAAAAAAGAAAAGAAAACATTAGAGAGAAAAAAAAGCATGGATGGCAAAATGGGCGACACCGCTCCGCAACTAGTTGGTCGCCAGCGCCCATCCCTCGTTACCGACCTTTTTTATTTGCGCCGCTGATTTTCTTCCTAATTCGTAATGTTCAAGGAGTTATTGAGAGAAAATTTGATGCCTCGATAGGACGTATACTGCATTAGTTGGGGCGTGCCGGCGGGCTTAGTCCGCGGCCCAGCCAGTCACCAGCATACGCAATATGTAGTCTCCTTCAATGGTTGGGCATCAACCAGGCGATGGTTTGTTACTGGCTCATACTGGTGTTGATGGTCTACCAAAGCGGCGAGAGCCACGGTACGTCGAATCCCTTCTTTCTCCCGTTGCCTGCTTTTCTGTTCTTTGTTGAATAGCATCATGTTGCTTACCAATTCGCAGAGAGCAATCCTGTTCTGTATGCTTTATGAAGATCGCTTTCACCGCCTCTTCCCGTCTCTTGCCTGCAGTCCGTTTCGATGTACATGATTTGTATGGTCTTGAGTTGCAATTGATACCAGATCCCGCTGCCTTTGCCAGGATAGATGGGAGGCCCACATATTGGTATTGCTCTTCCGACGCTCATTGCGCTCGGCAGATGCCCTCACCTCAGTGTTTCATATGTGGCTAATAGAAGTACTGGCATGTCTAAGTACCTATCTAGTGATTTGCTCAAAACATGGTGCAATTCCCTATTGGAGTTATAGAAGTTAGTGTTATATTAGGTACATTAGAGCAAGTATCGCCAGCCGCAGGGGGAAGAGGGGGGTGTGTATAATGTAGAAACCTGCAGAAAGAAACTAATTTAGATACTTATTATATAGTATTTAAACGGAGGGCCTCCTTCAGCACGTTTCTGATATCTGCGTTGGTCAGACGTACATATATCAACCCCTGCACACTCTGCATACAGCAGACAGAAGTAGTAATAAACCCACTTAAGCCGCCTTAGTACATTTACAATTTATTAATTGATTGCGGTTGCTGCGGAGGACTCTGCGGTTCGATTAATTACCAGTTTATATGAGAAAGGTGTAATGTATAATGAAATGGAAGCAAAGTTATTAGGCCCAAAAAGCCGTCGTTGATGAACAATTGGTGTACTTAAATTTGCCTCCATGAAAGTACTAGTAGTATCTTGATGTCACACCGGGATTCAGCAGCCTACGGCTCCGGGAGCCTGGTCTCTCTTTCATTTCTACAACAGGTTTCTTTTTGTTTAAAGGTTGTGGCCCCCTCGCGTCAAAATAAGGCGGAATATACCAAAGTGTAAAAAAGGAGGGTGCTCTTGTATCATGCCTGGCTCCTTCGGGGTCCACCGGCCCCAGGCCCGGTTTGGAGGCCATGAGACGTATTGAGCCACACTGAATGTCATAAGACCGCTCAGTCTGCCTTAAGAGGGACGACTAGTAGAATTTCCCCAGCCACCGTGATTTATAGGGATAAGACTTTTAGCTGAAATGCCAAATTCCAAGACGGCGAGACGAGTTCTATGTACATCCATGTTCTTCGCTCGCGGCCTTTTAGTGGCCTTCTATGCGTTGTCTTTTAGCTCCACACATACCGTAGATAATTCGAACATGTCTATATTCAGACAAGTTGCTTGTGAAGTGTGGGTTTAGGTCTCGGCAGGCTTGAAATTGGCGCCGCCATGGTAGCGACACCAAAGTGTGCGCGATGCTTTTTCTATACTATTCGCCAGGACTCTTGGAAAAATTGTGGTTTTTTATCCGCCAACGCTTCTCCACAGTCCATCGTTATAAATTTGTCCTAATGCTAGTCGGTGACAGATTGTGTAACATCTACAAAATAAAGCTTTAATTCCGAATAATGGAAGAGTTGGCCACTGTCTACGCTGCCACCACCAAATATCTACCTGCAGATACAATGGCTCATCTCCACAGCTATGTATAGATAGTACGCCGTAGAACACGCGATATGCTTCATCTTGCCCGACGCGACGTGTTCATGATCTCACACGCGTCTCTAAAACTTAACGGTTCTCAGGCTCCTTTCCCTCACCCCCCCGCTACGCCCGCCGTATCGTGCCCGTCGTATCTCATAGGACTTATTTCCCCACCACTCAATCAAGTTCTCCCGCCCCTTTTGTTGTTTTGCATATAATCCGGCAACTCGAAATTGCAGCGCTCTTCTACAGGCCCCATAATTGGCAATCTCGGTGTAAGCTATACTCTTTTATTTCTTCTCCAACCAGCGGATTCAGTTGAGAGAAAGGCAGAAGATCTGACGTGTCAGTACTCCATGAGTTGATAGCGGAAAGTATTTCCCAAAATGGAAACGTAAAGCCCATATCTTTAGGGTCCTTGTTATGGAAGAGCAGGCCAGCATGTACCCTGTTTACAGGTGGCTCTTACTTTAAGCTGAATCCCTCCTCTTGAAGAAGAGAACGCACTTAATCACGATCCTGTATACTCTTCTAGGAATTTGATATCAGTTGGTTCTATTTGCGCATGCTCATGCGGAGCCTCCTCCGATCATTCTAGACCGATATCTGTTTGGGGCTTGAGCGACAGCGGCAGAGAACTTTGAATTGCCTGACGGAAATAAGGACATCTGAGAGCCAGCACGTAATGTGAGAAAAAGAGGCCGAGGTATATTGACGAATACCGATGTGTATCGTTGGAAGATATTCCTGCCCACCATCATGAATCATAACTTCTACATCGGCGGCAGATCCGAAATTTTTGGTCAGCCTATCTTGAGTGGAATTTGGTTCCGAAAGCGAGCATTACTGCGTCTGGCTCTCACAGAATTATGGTCGCATACATCTTCGTCCTGTATCGTTGACGTAAAATCCGGACCGCAAAATCTGTCAAGGAGGGCCATGCGCACTGAGCGAGGCACCTTGAGAGCTATTGCCGTTTACGCAAGTTGCGTCAGTAACACATTTTACATTTCGACGCGCTTTTGTATCTGCCGAGGTGGTGAATGCTTGAGATAATTTTTCTTGTCCGCGTGAAAGGGTTTGCTAAAAATAGAAAACACTCAACTTGCGGTTGAGCCCGCGGCGGCCCGTTGACATCTATTTTTGCTGGATTTAGCCCGACCGTTGGTAGCTGCCACACAAACAAACACCCTGGACATCTCGGCAAGACCCAGGAAATCATGTTTCCATGATTATGCGTAAAAGAGTGGCTTTGTTTAGTGCTGTGTCAGTCTAAGGCGCTCGTGCTACTTCTCGCATCCATGCTGGTATTTCATTCCTTACCTATCTAAGCCCCCTCCATTACTGGCTCGGGATTTTCCATATTTCCTTTTCCATTTCTATTTTCCATTAATCTAGCCAAATTGTTGGGTAACTACTAGTGCTTGTAGGTCTGATTTGATAAGTTTCAGGTGTATTATGTATGATATGTGATATTGTTGAGTTACTTCTGTACCTGGAAAAAATACACCTCTATCTGAGAGCATCTTTTTCTGACAGAGAATATGGCCAACTCAACGCGGAAACGTGTCTCGCCCCGGGGGTGTATCTGATCGCGACTTTTCTACAGGCAAGTGGCTAATTAGCAATGATTGACATGATTGAATGTCTTATATTGACTATGAAGCTTTTTCTGTGTTTCAAACTTTCCTTGCCGATTGCATATTACGCGATCTGCTTACAGTATACCTTCGCTATAACAACAGTTCAATGCTAATTCCTTTCCATTTAGCGGCAGAAATCTTTTTACAAAACACTCTACTACTCTAATTGTAATAAGATATGTGAAATTATGGGAGAGGCAAAAGAGAAAGCGGAACGACAAAGACGACAAAGGTTCAAAAGAAAAAGCACTCACGCTAGATGTATACTAAGACAATATTAAAGCCGCCAGTGCAAGCGAATGGGATGGAAATCAGTGAAGAAGGGCAAAGCCTATCTAGGAGCTCCATGCAGCTATGCAAAACTTTTTTTTGTACTGAACTTGGGCTCTGTTCCAACTCTTAAAATATTGCTGCTGACTTAACCTGTGTCCTTGGGACACAGGTTGAGTCAGCAACATCGGGACATTCGTAAACCTTTACGTTGAGCTAGCGAATGAGCTGACTTTTCTCTTTCTTTCTCTTCTATCTTATGAAATCAGAATAAGTACCCTCGGAATTGATGCTCCTCATAGCCAGTCTCTTAGTCCGTAATAGAGAAATGCCGAAGTTCTTCTCTCTTTTTCAATATGATGCACTCCTACCATTTAAAGATATGGGGAGCCTAATAAGCTTAGTTTCTTCGAGATGTGTCGGGCAAACTGGCCACTGGAGGGCAAAATAGAGACGAAAATAGACGAAAAGCTGTGGTTAGTGCCGTCTCGGCCCGAGCCACGAACTAATGATGGCGGGACTTCTTGAAATCAAGATTAAGTTTGGCTCCAGTTAACTAATGTTACCCACAATCGCCTACCTAGCGCCACGCAGAACGACAAAGTCATGATGCGTTCGTATTTCGTACAGCATTACAGGTCCATCTGCTACATTGGGCACGTATTTGCCGCGAGGTTTCACTGATGCTGTAGTCTAGACAACTCCACGACGTGCTCTATGTAGCCGAATGACTCAGATGATGATCAAGAACCCAATCTCGACAAGTAACGAGTGGTCAAAATGGATCGGTAACAAAAATGGCGTCCACCAAGCCTTCACCAAAGCGTTGAAACAATTAGCCGAAGCCAGGTTTCTCGCAAGGAACTTTCACAAAAGCGTTCAATCAGGATGGAAGACAGACTTATAGTCCAGTGAGAAGACAGCCATTGATACTGGGCTGTGAGAGAAGTGGTTGACGTCAATGATGTTGAAATGACGAACAGCGCCTAAGCACTTGACTTATACACTCTGATTAAGGAGAGCGAAGAAAGAAGCTACATGGAAAAAGCTCAACAAGCATCCAGGTCAGCCAGACCAAGGAAAGAGGCCTCCTTAGAAAATATTTAGTAGCAATGCAAAGATATGAGGTGGCATCAAGGACTTGGACGTACTAGGAAATATTCCAAAGCATTGATCACGCTGGAGGCTTCAATAAAATAAAAAGCCGTTGGCATAAGATTCAAGGCTAAACAGCCGTGCTGGATGAGTCACTCGCCGCGCAATTCTAAAAGCGCCGCTGAAGTTAATTGCTTGTACAGCCAACAGCAAGGCGGAACTGAACAGTTGGTCGCTCAACGTCCTCGTGCTGAACCCCACTAACGGGCATTTGCTGCCTATATATTTCGTGCGACTCGCTCTTCATCGACTACCTACTTGCGTAGTAGTAACTCACGCCATTGATCGAAAAGCTTGGTTTCCCTTTTCGCTAGTTTTTACACATACAATATGGCTTTGAAACACGTTTTTCGATACTCCTGGCCAGGACCTGAACCCCCTGAAACAAACGCCGAATTGGCCGCAGCGATGTGGGAGACACCTGGATGGCTACTAAATCACCAGCTTGCTGACCTTGCAAATAGAAAGGCCGCGAGGATCGCCACGCCATACGTCGAGGGCGCTTCTCTACAACTTGAAATCACGGAAAATCACCAGGACTTACCTTTGCCTCGGGTGACCTCAGCATCCATTATCAAGATACTCGATGTCACCATGTCTTCGGTAATGCGTGTTCTTCTTCGCCTGGACTCTGGCGAGACACTCGAGGCAGTTCTTAAGTTATTTGATCGTCGTTTCGGTGAATATCTTCGCAGCAACGGACGGGTACATTGGCCTTATATGCGTAGGTCAGAAGATGCGTTTGACTCCTTTGTAAGGCGTAATGTCATGGACCGTTTCATCACAAAGCTACTCCGAGAACGAGAGAAGGCTCTGTTTAAAAAGCCGCCCTGTCATTTTATCTCCGATGATGACGACGATGGCGAGGAAAAAGATGACGACATTGCCGGCGAATATGGAATGGACAGATTCGAAGCAGCTCTCTGGCAGGAGTGCGAAGACATGTTTGACTGTGAGGACTACTGGGAATCCTCGTGCCATTGGAGCTGTCATGACCACACGACTGAAGAGAGAAAAGGATGTCGATATCACAATCCAATACCCAGATACTGTTGCACTCATGGTTAGACCGGATGACTACTATCCAGATGGCTGGTGACCACTAGGATTCTAGAGAAATATTCATAACCTAGTCCTCCTTCTTGTCTTTTGCCGGTGCAGCGGTGTTCCATATCTTAACACCTGGCGGTTGCAAACATCAGTAGCATCAGTATAGAGATGTAAACGGCTGCAATGTTGGTGTAGAGTCCCTCAAACGAGATTCAAGCTGAATTATCTTCACACATCTTACAAAGAGCGCCTATATCGTACAAACGCTGTATTGCCGCACATCTTCTAAAAGTCTCTGTGAACAAAAGCAAACATACAACCCCCCATTCCTTCTCGCTTAGAAGAATTTCGACGATAGAGCCCCCATAACCATACTCCGTTTCTGTCTCCCCACAAACTTGCTAACGTCATCCGCCCATCCTTCCGATTGTTCCTGCAGCGTATTCATCGTATCTCCCATAAGATTCAGCTTCTCCGTTCTCTCGTTGAGCTGCCGCGTCAAATAGTCTCCCCAGCCCTCTTTGGAGGATCCTACAGTATTCCCAATCTTGGCAGCACGTTGCTCCGCTGCAGCGGCCTCCATCATCCTCTGACTAGGCGGTCTGTTGGGGCCTCCTATCAAGAGGTCGAGATCCAGCGGCGAGACATGCTGTGTTCCGCTTATCCATTGAAGGTTAGAAATCGTCGGCCGGGTCGGGATAGGAATCTTGGGGTTGATCAGCACATCTGGGGACTGCTGGAGCTCCTTGCCCGCTCCCCAAACGTGAACAACAGCCATTTCTGCCGGTCCTGCCCAGGCGAATATGTCGCCTGTTTGCGTCACAATGCTTGCTGTGCTTCGAGTACGATCCACCATTGGGAGCTTCGCGCTACCAAGGTCTCGCATGCCTGGAATGCTATATGCTCGAGCTGATCCGTCTCTAAAGGCCGCAACAATAGCATAACCATTCAGCTCAAGCTCTGCCACGCAAGCCGAATCGCATATCACATCGTCGAATTCTTTGGAAGCACCTTTTGAGTGAGCAGGTCTGCATATCCTGATTTCCTTTTCGGTAACTATTCCCAGCATTAGCTAGACCGTCTATTAAACGCTGAGCATATAGACTTGGTCTGTAAACCGACACCGGCAAACAAGATGAATGAGATTGAATAGGAGAATACTTGCCTGCAACGAGAGCTCCATTCACTTGGCGTCCCTCTCGCAATCCGCCCACAGTATGCCCTGTGGCCAGCGCTGGTTTGCCTGTATCAGCCTGAATGGGGTTCAGAGACACAACTTTCCCATCAAAGTTCACCGTTCCTGCTACTTCGGCCGTATAGCCTCCTCCGCCGGGCAACAGCTTCAAAGTAATGACTTTGCCCATGTTGGTCCCGACAAAGCAACAAATTGATGAGTATTTGTCATCATCCAGCGTCATCACGCCAAACTCAATCACCGTGGGCCACTCCTTCGGCGGTGCCGAACTCGATCTCGAGTGGCCCTTGAGGAATGACATTCTATTCTCGGTCTTTGCAAAATCAGTCATTGGAGCTTGAAAGATGATCTTGGGACCCCGGAGATCGATCAGTGTCAGGAAGCCAAGCTCTGATCCAACCGCAGCGAATCCAACGTTTGATATCTGAACGGCAGTGACCGGGCCCTGCATCATCTCGTACAGGACAGCTGGATTAAGTCCCTCCTTCAAGCTCGGCTCCGCCCTAGAGCTGATGTCCGAGAGTCCCTTTGGATTCGGATCTAGCTGCTTGGGCTGATTCCTCCCGTAAGAGTGGTTCACGCCCCAGCGAAATATTACAGCCTCTCCTGTCTTGGTGCCAACAATGAACTCGGCGGTAGCGCTGGACAAGCTCATCGCCGTAACTTCCACGTCTTCAAATCGATCCAAGGCTCTGGCCAGGTCAACCTGCAGCTGGACTTCATTTTCAATTTGATCAGCATGTCCAGAATCCCATAGTCTGATAATGCTATCAGCATGTGCAGTCTGAATGATTGTGCGATCTTCGAATCGTTTTTTCGGCCTCGGGCCAGCTGCTCCACCCTTCAAGATAGGTTCTCCCTGGTCTCTCTTCTCCACCATCGTCAGCCACCTAGGTCGATCGACACTGGAGACATTGAACTTTGTAACAAAAGGATGTACGAAGAAAGTAGACGGGTGAAGCTGGTTCGTGGGGCTGATTTGGTATCCTGATGGGAAGCTCAGTGTAATCAGCTCTCCAGACGTGAGCAGCACAACCACGGCAATGGGATCCTGCGCGCCTCCAAAATAGGGGGAGTCTCTTGGAATAAGCAGAAAATCCACCGCTTGAGCTCCCGGTGGCAGTGCTAACGGAATATGTCGCTTGCCGCGGAAATGGTTCTCCAAAGCCTGCCAGGTGGAGGTAGCGTATATAGGCGTCATACCAAGCTCGATGAATGTCAAACTCTTGGGAGACGCATCCACACCCTCGCCACCTGCAATCAGTAAACCTGTATCGTCGCAGTTCTTCTTGCAGCACCAAGCTATCTTGACAAAAGGATCAGAGTATCCCGTTGTTGGTGCGCTTGGGGTGGGATGGTGGATGCCCATCTCCGTGAGGGTTCTTGCCATGACAATTTTTCCTTCTTTGGGATCCCAGAAGACCAAGCTTCCATCTTCGTGTGCGGTGAGAATAAAGGTTCCAGAAGGATGCCACAGCGCATGAGTCAAACGGGGGCGGCGCACAGCATCCATGCCGACACCGCTTCCCCCAGGCGCTCCAGGCGGCAAAACATATTCCATGAACTGCTGTGGCTGATTCTGCTTAAACGTATAGACGACTGCGCCATGGCTATATCCGATCAGGAGCTTTCCAGCGTCTCGAGGATGCATCGACATGGTGATCAATGTGACAGTGTGCTGCGTTGGATCCTTGTCTCTCCAAAAGTTTGGCAGTCGAAACTGGCGAGCGAGGCCGTGTCGATCGAGGTCATAAGCCAAGACGTCTCCGTTCTGCATTCCGATAAAAGCCCAGTCGAGCATGGGATCCGTCACCATCGCGGCCACAGTCCCGCCGATGACCTGCGTCGCCACACGCTCTCCCGTGTCGAGATCCCAAAGGCTGAGCTCATTGTTCCTGTCGAGGCTGACGAGACGGTTTGCGCTGAACTGCACAGACTGGAACGAGGTTCGTCGCGGCGGATCCAAAGTCTTCTGGACGCGTTGTTGGCCGAAGACATAAATCTTGCCCGGGCCAAACTTGCTCTCGGCCGTTCCGATGGCAAGCAGAGACTGCACAGGATCGTATGCAAAGCAGCTGTTTATCGCGTATGTTAGCGACCGCATTCATCCCTATTTTCACCTCCCCTCATATCCTCTGCCGTCGCTGTGTATATCCTCGATCGCCGTCGTCGTCTTCGCCCTCGTGGTATGGCGGGGCATTTGTTGCGTCATAGCTACCGGAGTCGACACTCACCTTATCTGCGAGTTGAGGCCGTATCGCGCATGGTCGTCGGGAGTAAAGAGCTCTGGTCGGATGCTGCCAGACAGGTCATTCTGGATGCCTGCCTGCTTGCCTCGCAGAAAGCCAGCCATGGCGCGCCGTAGCTAGCAGATGGTTTGCGGGAGGACGGAATAAGGGAGCAGCAGCAATTCGTTTGTTTGGTCAACAAAGAGCTGACATGAGCCCAGTAACAAGCAAGGCGGGACCAGGGCGGTGCTCCATAGCGGGGTCTTGGGCCGAAGCCACCGGCAGTCCCACAGCGCCTCTGGGCATTTACATGCCAAGCACCAGCTTCGGCCAAATTCCGTATGGCAACATGTGCAATATGAAAATACACACAAAGAAAAGAGTAATAAGACAAAGATTTTCAAAGCGTATATCACTTGATTGCTCTATGGTAGAAGCAGTAGAAGCAGCAAGACAGAGCATAATCGTCTCAATTATTCATCCATTCGCTCGTTGGCTTACTTGATCTCCAACCCTCCCCCCCCTGGGTTTCCCCATCTACTACTAGTATGTACTTACAACACGCTGTGTTGACCAAGACTACAAGAGTTATTAGGTTTATGTTATTATAGCTCGACAAGGGCGTACATTTACGCCATTATTGCAAGTTCTATATTTGAGGCAGAGCATGGATATTTGTTTCATCCAGCAGGCAAAGTTCGAACTTGAGATAGCGCATATCACCATCAGTGGCACAAACAATTTTGTAACTTCTGTTAAACTAGCTAAACTATACGAGTCCATTATTAGAGCAAATAACTTCCACCGCCACTTCCCGCCAATCCGGTCGCCCCTTTTGTGCATGTTGGGCACTTTCCAGTGCCCCGTATCTGTGTAAGAACAGTCCAAAAAAGAAAGCTTCCTCTCAAACTTTCTACCATAAGCCCCCTCATCGATGTTCTATCCACACTCTCTAATGAAAGCCAATTCCTGTCTCACCCCTCGCCTCCGTTCTTTGCATCGCAACGGCTGATTAGATGTACCACATGGTGCTGCGGAAGAAGTCTCTCTGTCTCATCTCACCATTGACGGGATCATTAGCATTCTCGGGCCTACCGCCAAGTTGGAGGAGGGCAGGAGCATCACTTCCCCGTTGAGGGGCACTGAATGACTCGCCTTTGGCCACTTTGTCACGAATCATCTCGTGGCCCTTTGCACCGGCTCGGAAACCCTCGCTGGTTGCAATATTCTCGTGAGCTCGAGCTCGGGCACCGGCGAGATGCGCATAGTACACTGCTGGATGCAATGATACTGGCGTTGTTGATCTGGCATAGGAATAACACTGATGGTAAATCATCTTTTGTAGCTCGTTGACCGGGATGTTCATCTCATCGAGAAGAACGTGGTAGTGGACGGGTCTGGCGGTGCCTTGAATAGCTACATGCGAGCACAAATAGAAGTCGAACATGAAGGGGTGTGTCACCTCCTTTTCGACCAGAGTTCCTGGCAAGGCGTTGCCGTTTCGGTCTCCCTTTTCTGGGAAAAAACGAATATGATGGCGCTTGGTGGCCACAATCACGGTGAACTTTGGCAGCGGCTGATCTGGAGCTGCTCGTTTAAAATAAGCCTTGATCTCTTTAATCTCTTGCTCCATGACATGAGCAAACTGGCCTTCGGCAACGCCGTCACGGAAATACATGACGTGCTTGGGGAATTGGCGATCATGGCCACCCATCCACACTTTACTCAGGTGTCCAAACAGGAAGTTTATGTTGGCAGAGGTGAGCATTTCCACGCGATAACCATTCGTCTCAACCATGGCTGCATATTTGGTTGCGTCTCTGTCAATAGACATCGTCATAGCGGCCACGGAAGGCGAGGGCCCACCAGGGGCAGCATGAGATATATCAACTCCAATGACCATTGTGGGACGTTCTTTGGGGAAATATGTGCCTCCTGGGGCCAGCTTCCACGGGGGATTCGTACGTGATGTCGCTCCGCCGAGCTTTGCATTGACTTTCATGCAAACATTCGAGTGGTACTGGCCATTGTTTGACGCGACTTGGCTTCCTTGCACGACCTGGGTCAAAACACCGAAACGACAGTCGGCAGACTTCTTCAAACGCTCATAATGGGGGCTGTTCTTGTGCTGAACAACAACAAAGATGAGTTGAGTATAGCCACGCTCTCGCGTAATTGATTCGTGTGCATGAGCAAGTGCTTGGGCGACGTTTGATTTGATGTTGCCAGGAACGGTAATGAACATTGGGTCGTTTGTGCATCTGCCTCCATGGCCCATGAAGGTTGTTTTGAAACTCCGAGCAAATTGCTGGACTTGATTGGTGTTGACGCAGTCGTCCATCACCAGGAAACCCCAGCTCATGAGGGGTGCTACGTTTTGCTTGAAAAACTTCTTGCCACGCAAGTCCCAACGGCCAGAGTACTTGGGGTCAGCTGTGCCTTGTCTAAAGTTCACAAGCGGCGCGTTTAAAATTCTGGCGTCTGTCTTCGAAAATGAAGACTCTAGCTGGATTCCATAGTGCTTGAGATAAGGATCCTTTTGTATCTGAAGATCTCCAACGTTCTTCATGATGTCACTCTTGCGAACATTTGGGCGAGTGACAGCAATTTTGATCATTGCGGCAGTTTGATCAGGAGTTAGCTTGAAAGCATATCGCTGCATCGGCTCAACAAACGCAAACTCCAAGGGAATGTGACCATTTTTGCCCGTAGAGATGAGTGGAAGATGCGCATATCGCAAGTGAGCGTTATACTTCTCTCGGTAGTAATCCGCGACAGATAATTGTCGTCCATTGTAGTCGAACGTGACAGTTCTGGCATTGGCGCCCTCTCCACCATACTTTTGGTCGAATAAAAAGTCTACCACTGTGTATACCTTGTCAGCAACTTTGGGGTTGCGGTTGTTGTGTCTGATGGTGAACTTGAGCTTTCGCAGCTTTCGCAGCTGCTTAAAAGCATCGGAGGACTGCCACTCTCCTCTTTGGTTTTGCGAGGGCCTAAAAATTGTCGTGGTCCCCAGGTTAATCCCCCTATAACGCTTAGGGTCAAGAGAGGCCATAAAGCTGATCATGATCTGATCCAACGTCTGGCGGCCAGTCCAAAAGCAGGTGTTAGTAACATCCGCGTTGAGAGCTAGACCAATGCCTCCATTGCTAAGATTATTGGAGAGTCTCAGCGAAGCATACGTTCCTTTGTGAACCTCAATAACACCATCACGTAGAAGAGGAATTCCCGCCTCGTTCTTCTTGTAGAAATTGCGCTTGATGGCGAGTAAACGCTCCGATGGCCACTGGCGAATAAGATGGTCCATGAAGTTGAGTGCTTCCTGCACGTTGTTGTTGAACTGAATTTTTCTCTCCAGATATCCTCGAAGAACACCCATCTGGATTTCTGTGGTGTTGCGCAAAATGACGTGGAACTTGTTGGAGCGGCCAGCACGACCTGGAGGCTGGCCATCGTCAAGATCAACAATGACACGAACCTCGCCGCGATCCACCAAAGAAGGAGACCATGCCAGTCTAGAGCCATCGATAATCCACATTTGGTAGTTGTAGGCAGACAGCGCCTGTCGAAGACTTGCGTGAGCCCAAATCTTCTTCATCACCGGTCCGCGTTTATCCGGCTCAGGTGAAAGGACAATCTAGTGAAAAGTGTCAGTGACAAGATCTTCCAGGCATCTTGACTCAAATAGACTACTCACATCATACTGATATATCTTCTTACTGAAGTCAAACTTGGTCATACGAAACTGATTGACTTCAACCTTATCCATGCGACCCTCGGTATTGAACTTGTTTCCGCGAGTAGCAAAAATATCTTTGCGGTCCTCGTTGGAGATGAAGGCATCTGGAGGCAGTTCCATGCGGGTATTGCCCTTTCGATCTTTGCTTGGTGGCTTTGCCGGGTCGAATCCCATGCTAGGCGCCCAGCCAATTTTGGGATCACCGGAGCCTGAAGTCTGCGCTGGAGAAGCAGCTCGGCTGCGGCCAGAGCCTGACGCAGACGGCGGCCGGGATTGAGGAGAGGCGCCATGCGCCGAGCCAGCAGGGGAGCGGCCTCGATCAGACATTCTGACTTCGGATACAAGTTAGCAAAGAAATCAAGAAAGAAAAAGGGAAGGAAGTGAGGAAGTGGAGAAGAAAAATAAACGAGAAGATAAATATTCTGTATATATGATAGGGTGTGAACCCCCAAGCCAGCAGATACATGCAGTGTCATATACCGGCAACGGAGGAGCAAGGTCAAGAGAATTGAGGGAGAGACTTACTTTGACTTCAGTTGTGAAGCAGTCGCTATTTCTGAGTGTCGGCTTCTCGGCAAGTGTCTAGAATAAAATTAGACATTTTTGAGCGGATATATGGAGCGAGACATGAGAATCAAGAGAGAAAAGAAGGCATAGCCGAATCAATAGCTTAGCCAGCCTCCTTATAGCAGACGTACCTGAGTGAATATTCAGCCGCTGCTAGTTATGCTTGGAAGTGTCGTACGTAGAAGAATGATGTAGGATCTGTAGGTAGAAGAGCTCAGTGCCGGGGCAATCTCTGTAGCGTAGTCTGTGGGAAAAATGAGTTAGCCGGCGCAGCTCATGACATGTAGCAACACAACAACGAAACGATTCACTCGAGTTAAAGGTACACGATGAGATTAAGGATAGACTCGTGTGCTTGGACGGAAGGGAGCGAAAGAAATAGAGATTGTGTAGCTGCTGTTCAAAGAGTCCAAAGATTTCTCTTTGTGCTGAGGGGTGTGGCCAAAATGTACGAGTGGGAGTGATGTATGATAAAGATGGTAAACTGACAAGGAAAACGACAGATGAAATGGTAGCCTGAGCAAGACCGCAGTGGAAGAGAGCACCTTCATGTCAGAGCTTGATGCCCAATAGCTTATTGCTAAGCTGGAGGAGTGTGCAACGGCCAAAGTCGTCGCACGAGTGCGGAGGTTGAAAGGAGAGAGAAAGATAGGAACAGAGTAAAGAGTTCGAGATATCACGCAAGTAATCAGGAGGAGGATGAATCGATAACTCAAGGAGTTGGGAAAAGCGGCAAAAGAGGACGAGAACACTCACCCAGAAGTTGTGTTCGTAGAACAGGCAACAAAGGATCTCTGTGGGAGCACTCTTGATGGCTGAGAAGAGTTCACGGAGAGTTCGCTGGTGAGAGACTGGATGGGCTACAAAGAAGACTGTATGCGAGCGTGGTGAAGAGGAAAGAAAGAAGAGAGGAGGAAAAGGAAGAAGAGAGGGCATCTTATAGTTGTGAGGGCAGGTGGCAGCCGCTGGAGTGATCTGTGAAGCCGAACACGTGAGGCCAAGTGTCGGTCAGCCGCAAAAATAGGTGCAGCAACAGTGCTGCAGTAATGTGCGAGGTACCTATGGATCAGTGCAGATTTGTCGGAATAGAAAGAGCCTATGGGATCGAATTACAGTGGAAATTGAAGCTGTATTTCTGACGATAAGGGGAGTTGAGTGAGGTGGAAAGGTGGGAGGTATAGCATATCTCCACAGATATCCAGTCTGTCCTACAAAGAGAGTTGTACAATAGGAGGCCTAGAGGCCTAACAGACATGAATGATAAGGGCATTGTCCCTGCACCGCTTTTATCATGCGTATAGCCGCAGCAAGGACGTCTATGGGCTGTATCGTGACGTTTTGACGGCTTTGTGCTTCCGATGAGTGGACCACGTAAGAGAATCCGGCCATTGAAACCAATATTTTGATGATACAGGGCTTGGGCACTATATTTGACTGTTTGATCAGTCGCGTCGAAGCGCAAAGCGAGCAGTGATTAGGACACACTGGTAATTATTCGAGACACAGTGAACCAAGTAAATGGGAATGCTAGCTAGGTAGTTATTACATGTATCCAATGCAGCGCTTTTATTGTTGAGCTCCTCAAAATAGCCCAAATCTATAACTATAGCTACTGCGGGCTTCCTCTACTTCCTCTACTTCCTCTACCTCTTGCCTACTCTACCTTCTCTGCATTACCGGTCTCAATTTCCTTGTCTGCTTGGTATGCATAGATAGTAATATGTACATGGATATACCATATATGCACACTACTAACCACCTTATGAAAGTAACAAATTGCGTACGAGGATATAAAATCGGGCCGTTGAATGGTAGTTTCAATTCCATATTATCACATACAGCGTCAAAGTCTAATGGTCTGAAACAGTAAAAGGTAGTATGTTGACTCTATTTTCACTACACTTGCTACCTACAAGGTAGCAGCTGTCCACCGCAACTCAGCCGTCTTAAATCTGACTCTCCCCAAAAGATGCAAGCACAATGCTCGAGTGTGATATCTAAGTTAAATAACCCGTCCAACTTCTTATTTCCTGCCAAACGCCTTCGGAATCCATCAAGAATAAGCATTTATCGCCAACCCTCATATCTTCAAACAACAAGCTATATTCTTCTTCTTCCCTTATCTCCTTCATTATCCAGTCGTAAATGTCCAATTTGCTAAACATACTCAAGTGTTTCGTTATAATTCACCAAGCCTCCTTGCTTTCTACTGAAAGCGATACCCTCCAAACTGGCCTGGAGCTGGTGCGCCGAATCCAGATGGTGGCGGCGCGGGAGGCCATTGGGTTGGAGTTCCACTTGCGTCGGTCGCCCCGTAGGGAATCGTTGGGAACGCGCCGCCGGTCTCTGTCCTTAGAGGCGACTGTCTATAGACATTGGATGCAGGTGCAATTCGGCCATACGGGCTGATCGGCCTTGGAAAGTCTCCTGAAGGCTGTCGCCCGTGTACTGGAGCGGTAAAGCGGTATTGTCCCCCGGTTTGTGCCTTCCAAGTTCCGTAGTCTGGAAGCGGCGTATCGCGTAGGAGAGAAACCATGTTGGCTGCACTGAGTCGTTGCGAGTCATAGGTATGGGCAGGAGGGAGAATCCCCAAGAGGAACGTAATATCACGATGAAGGGCCGATGACTGGTTGCGGCGCTGCTGGTCGAGCCGTCGGCCAGCCGCCCCTTTGAGAGGGGATGATCCTCTGGCGAGCCTCTTTGGGGGGTTGAGCTCTTCGTCATCTGGACCCAGGGGGCGCTTCGGAGAAGCAGTAGCTCTGACATACTGCGGCCGCGGGCTCAGCTCTCGCTGCGGGGGAAAGCTGTTGCGTGTTGATGCAGGTTTCTCAGTGACGAGGGCGGCAAACTTTGGCCGCATTTGTGCAGCCTTGGAAATAATGACTGGGGCGACGACGGGGTCGAACTTGTCAGTCGAGTAGCGGGCGGCAAAGATGTTGAGTTTGGGGTCCTCGGGGAACAACTCCGCCATTCTCGCTTCGATCTTGTGGATCTGAGATAGTTCGCCGTATTGAGATTCGTATTTATGGAAATATGCGTATAGAAGCTTCGCCTTGTGAAGTGTCTCTGGGTTGGCGACAAGGCGGTTAACGCAAGTCTCGAAAACTACTCGAGCATCTAGAATGGCAGTTAGACATGACACCTATACTTCAGCTGATGCATCACAGCAGCTGAATGACTTACTCGTAGTATCGTCCTTGGAATGCAAAAACTTCAAGTATTCGACAATGAAGCCTTCATCATTTGGAAATAGGCGAGCTCCGCGCTCGAAAATCTTGGCGCCAACTGTATCTTTGTAAACTACGGATTCCAGCAAAGCAACAGCAACATATACGTCGCTGGTCAGACGCCCCTTTTGTCGTGCATCAGTGAAGACTTTGCGCAATCCGCCATCTGTTTGATTGCCTTTGCCTTGGATACGGCGGATTGCCCTTGCCAAGGCAACCCACACATATGAAATGATGCGGGAGAGAAGGTTGGTCTCGGCGGCGTAACCTTTCTGGATTACGGCAATACGCTCCTCAGTAGATACCTTCTGTTGCATCCCTTCTTCGTGATCATCATCGTAGTTTTGCTCGATTGACTGCTGTACAGGCGCCTCCTGCGCAGCCGCTTGCCGGAGAGTGGAAATTTCCAGCTTTTCACGCTCTTTCGCCTTGTCTCCCATTGCATACAACGTATTCAAGACATCATCATAAGGCTTCCGAACAGCTTTGGCAAACTCGGATTTGTCTCCTTCTCGCAGTGGGGACGTGGACTCAATGTAGTCTGCATGCTTCAGAGCTAGTAAAACGCTCTCAGGGTTCGCAGCAATGCCTTGTACCAAAAACTCGGCACCCATTTCTTTGTCAACGTCTCCTGCATCGTTCTGAAAACACCATTCTGCCGCATCGACCCAAAGTTCGGGCCAGAAGCGCAAAGCCATCAATGCCTGCTTGTAGCAATACAGGACTCGCTGTGCAAAGACCTTGGGCTCGTCTGCCTTGAGCACAAGCGGATCTTCCTTCTCCCACTCGATCCACTTCTTCCACAACGCAACTTGATCGCGAAATTCTTGATCACCTTCAAAACCAGGCGCTGGTGGCAATCTGGGGAGGTTTGAACGCTTCAAACCCCGCGTGATATTGTCCAAGGCAATATTGCCACTCTTCGCAGACATGTAACCGGGAGATCGCTCCTGGATAAACTTGCGTCCCTATTGTCGAGTTAGCAGAAGGCGTACCATTATCGATGGGTGGAGAGACGCACCGTGACTTTATTGAGCGCCATTTCGAACTGATCGTAATCTTTCCACAGGTTGTTCACCGTCGACATGGGTACGTTGATTGCACGATGGTACGCTTTACGCAGCTGATCCATCTTTTGTTGGTCTTGCCAACCAGTACCTCCAATCTGTCCGGGGCCGCTTTTGATAAACTGGACGTAATCCTGCCAGATATTCCCCGAGTCCCGGTCAACGCCAATGTTATCGATTACAAACTCATACGATTGGGTTACAGTTCTCCTGGCCTGCCCGTTCGAATCATTATTGAGGTCGTTTCGACGGCGAATGTAGTTGAGATAAACGGTCCAGAGCTTGACGTTCGGAACGGTCATCAAGCATCGTCCGAACAGCTGCTCGGCATTGACGAAATTGTCCATGCCGAGCTCCAACTCGATCCATTCTACCCACATGTCCGCCTATTACTGTCAGCCATGCATCAGGGTTGAAAGGAATAGGTGCCCCTCTTCAAGGTTTTAGAGCGGTCGGCCTGTTAAGCCTCTCAAACTTACCGATTGGGGAAAGTTCTCCAAAAACTGGTTATAAATCTTGCGAACATCGTCCAGTCTGTTGTTGCGCCTATGTTCGGCAATAAGATTCACCCAAGCATCCATATCCCCCCGAGGGTCCTCTTTAATGCGAGCCTCGAATAACGTTACCGGGTCAAGGCTAGCCATAGGCGTTGCAGTCACGTTGGATGGAACATTAGTGGGAGCAGGAGGAACTGGAACATTGGCCTTAATCTCAGTGGGCTGACCAACTTGGCTCTGCGATACCGAGGGCTCGGCCAGGCCTGAGTTGTCTCCCTCGTCGTCTTCTTCGTCATCGGAGGCTTCCACTAAGAAGCCACCAGACATTTTTGGTTTGGGTGTTGGACGTTGAGAAAGGACAGCGGGGGCAGCGGAAGCGGCGTCTTCAGGGACAGGAGGGTCTGGGAGAACTGTTTCAACGGGGACATATTCTGGGTCATAATCCCCTCCATCCTCTGTTCCATTATCCGCTGATTCACCTGACACATGAGAGTCTTGAGCAAAGTTATCAACTTGTTCGTCGCTATGCTGAGTATGAGCGCCTTCGGCAGCCGCAAATCCATCATCGTCCCACGAAGTGCCTTCGGAAGCCATCTTGATAGGTTTTCTTTATAATTCAACTCAAAGTACCACAGGGGATGTCAGTGAAGCCCCAACTGAGCAATACTTTGACGATGGAGGAGCGTCAATGGCTCACGCAACGAAAACTCGGATATTCTTGCTCAGCAGCGAAGCTGCGAGGGTGTCGTGACTGGTTACGAATCGATCGACTTTGAAGAACTATGAGATTCGAATTAGAATACTGTCGCTATGGTGAATGGCGGTAAACTTCAAACCTTTGTACTGCCGCAGTGTAGCGGGCAAGGTAGATACCGTTTTAGTAGATACCGTTTTCGTCCTTGCCGGCCAGCAAACCGCGTCGCTCGTCGTCAGCGTCAAGCAGGAAGCTGCAGCGCTTTCGTGAAGGTGCGAAATCGGGTTCGATACAACGCGACAGAGCTGCCGTCCAGCTAGAGCAAGGCGAAATAGCGGTCCCTAGATCAGGATCAGGGAGCTCGCGCCAGAAACGTGTTTGACCGAGATGATGCTGGTGCTGAGATGGGAATTGGAGCACTTGAAAATTAGAGTCACCCAAGCTCCCAATTGGGGAAGGCTGTGGACCAGGCTGGCGGTCTTGCGTGCGCGAGGTACTAAGTACGGGGAATTTCAGCGGCAGGTACGTGCTGGCTGGCTGGTTTTCAGCGCCTGACCCGCTAAACAGCTCAGCGGCCTCTGTCTCAGTTCGGGGCGGCCAAGGTTCTCGCAACCTCAGCGACAAGGCATCCACCAGGTGCCAGCTCATGTACCAGCGTACCTCTGTAGGGTCGGCCAAATCACAGGCGCCACACAACCACTTTACGCGAAGCGCTACGGTCGCGTCTCCAGAGGCTAGAGGTATACCTGATCAACTTGTGTTCACCTTTTTGTCAGTTTACCAATTCTTCCACCTGAAGCAGCCACGTCTCTTCCCTTCTCTCTGCACATATAAAAGCCAGCGACTTGCCGATTCTCTTGCTTTTGCGCCTCGACTGGGCTTTCTCTCTTCCGCCGCACGTCGTTTTCCAGGCATCATCTCCACGGTTACCGACTTTCTTGGTTGCCCCTCCGACGACTTCTTCGTCCCTTCTATCCCTTCGACGACTGGGCCCTGCGCAAACTTTTCCCCATCGCGTTGTTCAATTGAGATTCTCTCACAGCCAACGCATCACCTCTGCTAATTGTCTGTTGTTGTTTTCTCGAGAACCCGCCACCATGTCTGTCGTGTCACTTCTTGGCGTTCGGGTGATGAACAACCCCGCCAAATTCACCGACAAGTACGAGTTTGAGATCACATTCGAGTGCCTTGAGAACCTTGAGAAGGGTGAGTCGCGTTGACGTAACACCCCAGACCTGTTAATATATAGTTTTCTAACTAATTGCGCGCAGATCTCGAGTGGAAGCTGACCTACGTCGGATCTGCTACCTCGTAAGAACGACCATCTTCGTTGGGCATCATCCCCTCCCTCCAGTTCTAACCCATCGCAGCGATCAATATGACCAGGAGCTAGACTCCCTTCTTGTCGGCCCCATTCCGGTCGGAGTCAACAAATTCGTCTTCGAGGCCGAGGCTCCCAACACCACTCGCATCCCCGACGCCGATGTTCTTGGCGTTACGGTCATCCTCCTCACCTGCGCCTACGATGGCCGCGAATTTGTGCGCGTCGGATACTACGTCAACAACGAGTACGACTCGGATGAGCTCAACGCTGAGCCACCTGCGAAGCCGATCATTGAGAGAGTGAAGCGAAACGTCCTCGCCGAGAAACCACGAGTGACCCGCTTCGCTATCAAATGGTGAGAAGATATCCTGCGCCACATATTAAAATGACAAATTCTAATGCTATTGCCAATAGGGACTCTGACGCCTCTGCACCCCCTGAATTCCCTCCTGAGCAACCCGAGGCCGACCTTGTTGCGGACGAGGAAGAATACGGTGCTGAGGAAGCCGAGGAGGAGGCTGCCGATGATGCTGCTGAAGAAGCCGCCGCCAAAGAAAAGGGCGAAGACGATGAGATGGCTGGCGTTGAGAGCGAGCACCAGAACGGACATGGTCACGATCAGGAGGAGGACGAGATGTCCGAGGATGGCAGCGTTGACATTGAGGGCGAAAGCGAAGACGAGATAGAGGAAGAGGAAGAGGGCGAGGGCGGCGCGGATGGTGACGATGATGCCATGGAGGTTGATGGTGCCGCGGCCGCTCACAACCCTGTTTCAGTCGTGTCGTAATTCACACCATTACGGAGCTCCGACGAGCCTTTTCTGTGTGCGGATATTGAGCACACTTTGCTTTTATGGCGTTGTGCCGTTTAGACGGGACATAGAGTTACGAAGACCCTATGGAATGGGATTGGATGGCATCGGTTGGGAGGGAGGGGTGGATAGGCGGTTCGGTACAATTGGTGATATCCTCAAAAATCTTGTTATAAGTAGTGGCAAGAAGACAAAATGATAGTATATGACGAAGGACGGTAGTGCTTGTCGAGGCTACCATGGCGTCGATAATGGATCATGATTGTGACTAAAGAGCATTTGTCGTCGGTCGCTGGAGCGGACGTCTCATCGCCCCGTCGGAGAGACGGAATATCGACGTTATTCCTACCATTTCCATGCCTCGGATCTCACGTGCGAGGTCTGCGTCATGGGCTGCGCGAGCGGAATCTTGAAGCCTCTCCGCACTCGGCTGAAGCAGACATCCGCTACTGCTATTATGTACGTATGTGCCGTGAAACCCCCCACGCGCTTCGGCATGACAAGCAGGCATCTCTAACATGATGGAATACTCCAGTTTGGGGCGTTGTTGCCAGCAGATTCATACCCTCGGCCGCCTCCAGCCGCACCAACCCGCCTGTCCACGCTTAGACGGGCGAAAGCACTCAGCCTCACTTTTGCTCGCCTCACTTTTTGAGCGCCAAGAAGCGACTTTAATCAAAAGCGAACATGCTGAACAACAGCGAAGGCAGCAAAGGATGCCCCCTAATTAACCACACCAAGACACCGAGCTAAACACAATTAGACAGGCAGCCGTCGGTCTTCTTCCCCGGCCCCTTGAAGAGCGGACCTGTGCTCACAGGACTCAGCTGCACGTGGGGTTGTGCGCCGCCATCACTCAGCCTTCACACATCGCACAAAATTACTGCAGCCTGTAACTGACGCCAAGGACCAAAGGAATGGCATTGTTCTTGTTCTTTGCTTTTTCATGCTGCGGCTCTAAAGCATGTGCCTGGCTTTGTAATAAAAAAACACGTAGGCGGGCGACTCCGAAACACTGCAGCAGCGCTGCGTCATCCTCTTTTGGCCTCGGTGGATGGAAGAGGCAGCCGAGCTGAGCTGAAGTCTGGTGTTTAAAGTTGGGTACATGTATATCTATATAACGCCCTCTTCGTGTTGTGAGATTTGATAGGATGGAAACTCTTTGTTGGTTTTCTACTTTTGCCATACTGCAGAATTGTTGTTACTGTTACTAAATAATAGACAAAGTTCAAATAACTTCACAATATCATCGTTCAACTTGATTAGACAAGATACTCAACTCAGCCATGGCTGCTCAGCCGCGCAGCAACACCAGCTTGGAAGAGCTCGTCAGATCAGTCGAGCACCACCACGAGCAGTATCTGCGCAGCCTCCACAGCTTCCACGAAACCCTCAGCGCCCATAAACGAGAGCGCTCCGACATCCACGGCCTGGCAACGCCTCCTCTGCGAGCGCTCACCTTCACCAGCGATGCCAACAGCATCCTGTTGCCTCGTCCGCGCCGCGATACTCCCGATACATGCAGCCATGAGCGCCCATCATATTATCCGTCTCCTAGAATTCCTCCACTTACGCCAAATCTCAATCATCCAACCGGCAGTGGCTACGGCAGCATCCCTGACGAGGAGATCCCCTTCATCCCTCTTCTAGATGGTTCGTCTATGCGTCACGTTCCAGCTGAAGGCACATCTTCATCACATGTCCGCGGAATCCTTGCCCCAAGGAGCTTCTCCGACGAAGACCTCATCAAACACCTTCGTGACTCAGACTTTTGCAGCGACTTCTCCAGCCGGCTCAACGACAAGGACGAGCCTTTGCCGCTGTGGGAAATTGATTCTACGCAGACATTTCGCGAGTCAGCTGCTGCTGAGGGAGAGCGTTTTGACAGCTCGACATTTGAAGTATACGAGGTTGGGCAGGATGATAGGCCGGTCAAGACGACACTGGATGTTGATGTCCAAGGCTTCGTCAGATATGTTGGCGAAGAGCCGCCAGAGTCACCCGAGTTCATCGTCGATGCGCCAATTGTTTGGGAGTCTATCAAGGAAGTCAACCATAGCGGCCAGGCTGTTGGTCGTATCACGTAAGTTATGCTACCCCCTTTATGCCGTCGTCGTCATCCACCACTCGTTTGTTTGCGTGTCTTGATCCAAGTATATGCTACATCTACTACATCTACTACATCTACTACATCTACTACATCTACTACATCTACTACATCTACTACATCTACTACATCTGCTACATCTGCTAATACCAGAGATAGCATCGTCCAGGAACCAACGCCTCTTATGCTCGCCGCCCTGCATCTCACCATGTCGCCTCACTTCGACATGACCGAGCTCCTTCACCACCTCCTCTCCGACGACCCCAACGGCGGCCGAACCCACGCCTTCATGCATCGAGCCTACGAGCGATCTCCATCCTCATCAGCTTACGCATCTTCAGCATCTCCCATGTTATCCCCCCTAAACATATCCAACAACATGAAAAGCGGCGGCACATCTTCATTCTCTTCTTCCTCCCATCTCCGCCAACGATCCTTCTTCTTCGTCTTCAAATACTACACCCTCGTCCCTAAAGATCTCGACCCCGCCCCCTGGCAGCTCTACGAAAGACGCCCCTCAGACAAACGCCTCGACGACCACATCGACATTGCCGAATGCGGCTCCATCCTCGCTCTCTCCTTAGAAGGCGAGCCAACCAAGACGCTCAAAATGCGACCTCGCAGAGAGCGCGCCAGGGAAGGCTTTCTCTTCGACACGTTCGGGCCCTGGCACCTCCTCAGCATCCAGAGCTTCCCCGACGACGAACACACCGTCAGGGGGGACGACTTCCAAGAGCTCAAAAGATTCTGCAACGGCCCGTACGCCTTCCTAGAGCTCCTCATAACAGAATACCGCGACGCCGGCAAACGGAACCAGATCCTCCACGAGCGCATCACCAAGCTCATCACGCCTCCCACAGAATTCATGTTCAACCACCACCTCCGCGACAAGCTCCTCTTCGAAGACAAGCACTTCACCTACATCCGCCGCTACTTCTGGGCCTACAACACCCTCGCCGTCATCAACACCGGCATCAAGGCCATGATCGCCGCCTACGTCGACACCTTCACCGACGACTTCTGGGCCGGCACGCACCCGCTGCTGTGGCCGCACCCGTCGCCGCCACAGTCCCCCGACGCGATGGACTATGCCGCCAAGATGGCCGTCTTGCGGAGAGAGCTAGACAAGGTCGTGAGTGACCTGAGTGAGGTGCTGAAGCGGAATGAGCGCACGCGAAAGGAGATTGAGAATCTGAGGGATCAGCTGTTTAGCGGGAGTTCGATCAAGGAGAGCAGGAGGGCTATTGATCAGGGGGATAATATCCGCATCCTGACGGTGATTAGCATGCTCTTCTTGCCTCTTACGTTTGTGACTGTAAGTACAAACACTTCCATCTCGTGCCCGACTTCATCTCTTTTCAATACTGTATACTAATTTCGATCAAACCAACAGTCCGTCTTCGGCATCACAGAGCTCCACATCCCCGTAACAGACTGGCGCTTCCCCGTCACAATGGTCCTCGTCGGCGTCCCCTTCATCATCCTCCTCTACCTCATCCAAACTCGGCCCTTTGTCCAGTGCATCCAAAAGATTCACGAGTTATCTCACTCGCTCCTCTATCTACTCGTCCATCTTTTCGGCCTCTTACCTCGTCTCTTTCGCAAACTGGACTCTTCTACTTCCAAGGATACCCGGTCTGTGTCTGCGCTTTCGCCGTCCAAAGGCCGCAAGAGGAGGCTCACTATGAGACGGCCAGCTGAATGTGGCCCTGGAGGGAATAGCGGTGCTGGCGGTAATCACAAATCATCGTGGCGTCGGCCATGGGCTTTGATGAGAAGAACAGTTGGCGGGGATGAGAAAGATGTAGTATAGAATCTGTAAGAGAGCTTTTCCCTGGATATATGGAAGATTTGCTTTACAGTGCACCATACAGATTGTCGACTATCATAGAACAGCCAACTTTATACCAGTAGCTAGAGAGTACACCACAAGAATAAATAAAGAATAGATTGCTCCTAATACGTATCGTTCCATTCAAAACTAGGTAGATAAAAATACAGCAAAAGCTTCCAAAACTCTCCCACTAGATAGTCGCATTACCAAAGATATTTATTATTAATGACAGCGAGGAGAAGGGAAGTGTAAGCAATGAAAAAAGAGAGCAAAGCAAAACGAACTATCCATTCGCATAAGATTTCGAAAATACCTCCCAATTCATGGACCAGCCATTGAGAAGGGGAAAACACATAATACGGCATCTCTCCTTCCCATCATTACCAAAGGTATAAATAAGTATCGTGACAGACCATCCACCTGCTCCAAAGGGGAAAAAAATAAAACAAAAATCGAAAATGATAGAGAAGCTGTAGTTGAAAACTAGGAGCGTACCAAAGTCGCATTACTAGTTGACACACTCCAAAAAAAGGAAACGAATAGGTTTCCGTGATGCTCCATAACGCCCGGTGCCTTCTTTTCCGCCATCCCTCCATTCCCCCTTTTGCATATAGTCGTGATGCGTCGAGTATGATTTGCATTCGACATGGCAGCAAAATTAGTATTAGCTGTGGCCATCATCGGGCGTAATTTACCAGCCCTTCTTCCGAGCAAATCTCTTATTGAGCAGTGCAAGGACTTTGGGGACGTTAAATTGAACGTATTCGAGATCCAGCTCGTCTTGGTTATCTTTCTGCATCTCAAGCAGATCATCGAGCTTGAGGTCGAGTTCAAGCAATCCTCGGTTTCGGCCTTGTTTTTACCATGTTAGCGATAGATCGTAGAGACTAATACCTGGAAAGAGAAAAAGAACTTACCTTTGTAGTGTAGGGAAATGACAAATGTACCAGGCAGGGGGCTGGTGAAGTTGAAGTAGATGTTGGCCCGTCTGTTATCCGGGACATTACTCTTCTGAATGACACCCTCCTTCTCAAGCTGCTGGTGAGTAAACTTGTACGGTCCGAGAACCTGCTGCTTTTGCTGCTTTCGCTTAGTGCCTTCGCTCTGGGATCGTACGTTGTGGAGGTAGCTCTTGTATGTGTCAAGTTGACCGACTAAATAAGCGTTGTGATCACGGATTGTCTTGAAGACTTCCTCGAGTTTCTCAGTCTCAGCAATCACAGCATCCTTCAACGAGCCCAGATGCTGGAGCTCCTGCTCAACCTCATCCCTCAACAGATCAAACTGGTCGGCTTTGTCGATAACGCCAAGCTCTTGGAGCTGGGACAAAAGCTCCATGGCCCTGATACCTTTACGCACCATGACGGCGTCATTGCGGCTGGTGGCAGCAGCATCCGCAACACGCTCAAGCCGTAGCGGCCGCTTAGAAACGGCACTGCTCTGAGGAATCGTTCGCATAATCTGCACAAAGATGGACTTGGCTTCCATAAAGTACACTTCCTCCTGTGTAATATCCAGAGCCGCGGTCAAGTCGTCGATTGCAGTCTCCCATCTGCTAAACAGGGGAAGGTTGATGACTCGGTTCTCTTTGCGAGGCACTTGAGGAGGGGCCGGACCCAGCTCAGATACGATGATGGCCAGGTGCGATGCCTCATCTTTGCACAGTTCGGTGTTGTGCTTGTCAATTAGCGAATGCATTGCGTAGACTTCGTTCAGCGTAATTTCAAGTCCAAGGTCCTTCTTGGAAAGAGCGACGTAATTGTCCATTTCCAGACTTTCATAAAAGTCGCCAACTTCACACAAGTCAAGCATGAACTTGTTGATCCTGTCCTTGTTCTGTTGGATAAAGGGCTGGAGCTTGGCCATGTATGGCTCCTTGGCATAAGAGGGCTTGTTTGCCAAGTTTTGGAGCATCTTGGCAATCAGAGTGAGAGTTCGGCGAGGGCGTTCGGCGGGCGTTCCGTCAATGAGCATGTACGACTTGGGTGTGACAATGGCTGGGTTGATGAAGCGCAAGAAGAAAAAGCCACCGATCAAAGTACAGATAATCTGGTCGTTAGCATCGGGATATTTGCGCTTCGTCAAGCTTCTAATCTGCTTGCAGATCCAGCGAATGCCGTAAGGAGCCTCCTCCAGTCCGTCCATGATGGTAGACAAGAAGCCGTTGGCAATCTCAATGAGCATGGTCAGTCGCGGTTCGATAATGGCCTGAACCTGAGGATTCTCTGCGGCCTGTTCGGCAGTGACGCCCTTGGGAAGATTGGGAGGCAGTGTGCCAGTATCTTCTTCAATCTGTTCGACCATGCGCTCGTACACTTTGAGGGGGTTAATTTCCAAATCCAGGTCTCGCAACTCGATTAAGCTGTTGATCCTATCAGCCAGCGCAATCTTTAGAAAGCTCTGACCCGGGCCTCTTCGTGTGTAGGTCGTCATCATGCGTGAGACGGGTGTGTTGGCTCGAAGTAGCGAGGAATAGTCAGGAGTATTATCGAATTGGTAGGTGAGGACAGACTAAGTAGCAAAGAGGATATGTTAGCTGGAAAGGCGTTGCAATCGTAACCACGCCTAGGGGGGCATCGTACCTGAAACATGGTAAGCAGCAGATGCTCTTCTCGACTTTCATACTGATTTCCGTAAATGGTGAACATGACCGTCTGCAGAAGCGAGTCGATTTCCGACATTGAGACGAGTCGACAAAGATGAGCAATGTGCCTGGGCTCGGATTGCAAGAGAAACAAGAGGTTGCCGTATTTCTGAGTCTTGTCGTCATTAGGGAAGACACCTTCTTCCATTTCGCCTTCTTCAAGATGGCTGGCTACTTCGTTTTGCTGCAAGGGCATTAGCAAGCGTCATCAGAGCATAAACCACACCGCACTTTATACACGTACTTCTTCCAGCGCCATGCGGTTTTGGATAAGCAGCGCAATTCTCGAATCAAGGTAGCGGACGTCCTTTTCGAGGACGAAATTCTTCTTCGATTGGGAGGATATTTTGGATTTGAGATCCCGTAGGGCTTTCTGGGCTGTAGATTGGGGACGTCAGTCTTCCGATAGTATCAAAAGGGGAAGCAAGGTCCGCAGCTGTGGCTGGTGCATTCTCACCTTTAGCGAGATCGTCCTCAATTTGCATCTCTCCTTCATTCGCGGTCATGGACATGTACAGCGCGGACATGGAGTACCGCTTCGACTGGCGCGCCGAGCGCGAGCCATCGTAGGTGGACATTGTGTTTTGGCGCGAGAGCTGTTGGAAGGAAGATGTTGATGCTGTGGAGGCTCTCGAAGGGGTATGCAGCATGACAGGCATTATGGGTATTGGCGCTGTGCGACCGAAGGGAGGGTCGGGCCTTGTCGCCCCAGGGCCTCGGAAGTGTTGACGATGGGGAAGATGATGGCTGCTTCTAAGCGATAATGCTCATCACTCGACAAAGTTGTCGTCTAATCGAATTTTGCTCAGATTGATTGGGTTTTTTATTTCATGCGTCGTCGATGAAACAGATGGAGGCGTTGGAGGGGAACAGACAGGCTGTAGCCACCAAAGAGAAGGCAGTTAAAATTCGTAGAAGAAAAAAGAGAGAGAAGCTCAGAACAAATGCAATTGTTAATAACACGCTCGTGGTACAGTTTGCGTCGGCTTCGGAGGAGCTTCACAAGCGACTCAGCGATGGTGTAACGATTCGATCGAGGGTATCCCGTGCAGTTCGAAGAATGGGCGAGGAAAAAGCGAGAGCGCTGGCGTCAAAAATCGCTTTTCGAATCAAGTAGCGTTCGGAATTCTATTTCGACCAAGCAAAAAGAAGAGAACAAAAGCTAGGCTCGATGCTTCAGAAAGACAGGAACACACGTGCTGAATCCAAAAAATGAAACGAGGACGATTGATTAAGAGGCGAGATAGTCGGTCGCGCAGGAGAGAAGGCTGGATAGAGGCGTCAGGACAGCGTCGCTAGCCGAGCGGAACACAGGCAAATCTCGGTTCGAGCGAGAGAAAGACGCGGAAGGCAGAGGTTTGAGTCGGGCACAGGCGATGCGAGGCGAGGCGATGCGATGCAGAAACAAGGTGCCGCGGCGTCTCGTCTAAGCTGGCGCGCAGGAGTTGCAGGACGGATGAGACGAGGGCACAGCGCAGCAGGAAATAGGTTTGTGGCTGCGACGGCTGGTGGTGATGGTGGTATCAAGAGCAGCGCATTAAAACTGGAGCAGCGCGTCTTGTTTGGGCGGGCTCGAGGAGAGGGGAAGCACGTCGGGTCCAGGGGCTGCAGCGGATTTGTCCCAATCAGCACAGGCGAGCAGATCCCAGCACCAGAGCACCGCTGCAGGCCCCAACGAGCTAGGCGGGCCTTCAGGTTGCGGCGACGTCTGGCTGCGAGTTGATGTACAAAACCAGCCCCGGAGCAGCGTGCCTGGAGCGCCACACGCGGACTCCATTCCTTAGCGCACGACGCCGCTAGCAGCAGGCAGGCCCAAGCACTAGCACTGCTGTACGACGGCCGCCCTGCAGCGGTCTGGGGTAGCGCTGCCAGGCCCTGCTCAGGGACAGACGACGGAGTACCCGCCCGTCTATCGGAAAAGGCTGCAGTGCACCAACCACGCTTGGCAGGCTCTTGGCCAGGGGTACCGTGGCGCACACCACCATCGCTAGTGGCCTCCATAGCGCTGCCATGGCCCTTTGGCGACGAGAGGCCGTCACCTGCATATCGCACTGGTCCATTCAACGAGCATGCAGCCCTCTCAGCGCTGGAAGGACGCCCCGTCACACAGCGGGATTCTCTGCAGTCACTTGGGCGTTGGAGAATGGTGGAGGGCCTCTCTTGATGCGGCATGTAGGCGTCAGGGTGCGCCGACGAATGATGTGATTCATGGGGCCATCCGTGGCATCTAGAGTTGCAAACTGTATCAAGTGCAATTGCTGTCCGAGGTACATGTACCCGCACGTACTCGTGCTCTCTTAACAGAGCACAGCCCCATGCCTCTTTCGCTGCAGTCACATATCAGGCACTATCACTTGTACTAGCATCTCTCTCAGCCTCTCTCTTACGCCGATTTTGATTTATTTTTTCCACAGTCGTCATCCCGCGGCAGGGCGCTACGTTAATATCCCAAGACACGAGAGAAGAAAAGAAAAAAAAGATAGTCCAGGGTGTAGTGCCGTCTAGCCTTGCTTCGAACGCAGCAAAGGGCATTTAGCACGAGTAAGGTGCTGATCCAATGTGCAATCCAGAGGGGCGGCGGGGTAGCGCTGCGTGTAGCGCCGAGCCACGCGCAGGTACCTGCTACTCGGCCTGAGCTTTGCATGCGTCCCGGAGCTGCTATTTGTACAAGTCCAAAGTCTGGACGTCGTATTGGCCTGCCCATCGCTATTTTGAGCGGCAATGATACTCAAGAGCCTTGGCTAGCTCCAGCCACCGGGTAAAATACACATGTGCCGTCAATGATACTTTTGCAGCAGCAATCCAGCAACATGGCCCCCATGAAGTCGTACTCGTGCCAGTAAGCGAGCAAGCAGGCAATCGAGGCTCCGCGAATAAGAACGGCGAATAAGATAAGTCAAACACGGTGCTTTCGACCACTTCCTGTCTGGCTCACATTTTCTCTGCTGCGTTCGCCTCACAACGTTGAAACTGTGGACGCCGCGTCTCAGATAACTACGGGTACAATGCAGCTCATTCAGGGGTTTTAGGATGACGTCTGGCCTCTTTTGTCGCCAGAACTAGCGCTTGTACGAGAGGCAGAGGTTCGCACAGAGTGCTGTACTAGTACGGTATAAGTACTAAGGGATCAAATAGACGCAGTTTAGCAGCGACTACTGCTAAGTAGTACATAGTACTTGTTGCTCCGTGCAAAACTCCATACATGCACTCCAGACCAGCCCCTTGCAAGCGCCATGTATCATGTATCAGCACTCACAATCTTTTTGCTGAAACGCACCAGTTGGTGAGCAGCGGCCTGTCGCCATGTCTGGAGTAGCATGGATGATACGCCAGGGGCTGGTGGAGACTGCAGCCAGATATGCCTTTGCCTATCCTACTGTACAGTATTTCGCTGTGAACGGAGGATGCTCTGCAACGCAAGTGCTGCCTCGATTTCGCCCCCTTGGCGCTGCGATGCGTATATTCCGTGCGATGTCCTACCTTATTTCTTGGCCACGGCGTCGCAGTCTTGAGGATCGTCATGCAAAACATACGAGTTTTTGTCGAATTACTCTCCTAGTTCTTCGTATCAAGTCATGCCCAGCCCCTTACACGTATCGGCGGAGTAGCGCATACTGCTTCTGCTACTGCGACTGCGACTGCGACTGCTAAAGTTCAACTGCAGCACCGTCATACTGCAAACGATGAGTTCCTCTCTCACTCCACAGGCTGCATCCTTTCATGGCCTCCACTCACTCTCTCCTTGCAAGCCCACTTGCAGAAAATATCCGCTCGTCGAGGGGTCCCATGACTGGTAGGGGAAAAAAAAGTGAGATAGAATCGCTGGGGAGCGGGCTGGTGCCAAATGTGGCCTAGGGCCAGGCACGGATTACGGAATGCCAACTGGATATAATTCCCGGGAAAAGGACTAAAAACGGCGAGAGAGAAAGAAAGAGAGATATGATCAATTCGTAAGGAACAGTAATACCGAATACATAGGTATTATGGAGCATCAGGCTCGAATAGATAATCCAACCCTTGCGGCTGCGAAGATAACCGCCCTCCTCATGCAACTCCTTGTGTGCCAATGCAGTGATTCCTCCATATAGGTAAAGATCGATCTAATTATACTCTACATACACCACGACCAACTATCTAAAGGTATTACAAGTACTATATGCACCTTGCTCGCCCCCCACGCTCTCTCTCTCTCTCTCTCTTTCTTTCTGGTAGAATCCACAAATCCTCAGGCCATCTCCCAACGCGCACTCTTCATTGAGGCCACTCCGACTCTGTCATGCCTGATATCTGACTGGTGTGCCCTTACACATGCGCATGCAGCCTGCGGTGCCTCTTGTCCCTGCAGTCCTTCAATCTCACAGCAATCCCAGAATAATCCTAGAATGGCAGGAAACTCCCCAATGGTCCATCACCAAAGCACGTCCCTCTGCATCGCCCGTGCTTTAACCCCTGTGATCTGCTGGTTGCCGAGTGAGGTTTTTTGCCGGCATGGTACGTCAGAATACATGTAGCCCCTTTTGCCGGCAAGCCTCCCATGCGCCACTAGTTCGTCCGGGACGTGATAGACGGACAGGTGCATGAACCACTTCAACAGCCGGATACTCTGGGAGTTTTCGAATAACAGTTGCCGGTGGTGAGTGCATATACAATACGTACATGCACAGTGTTGTATTGTGACGTTATGGAGCAAGAAACTGCCATGATTCAAGTTGCATGTGCATGCAGACTTGGACTTTAAGCTCGTATCATCCACCTGGCCTCTCCGTCTTGCTTTCGCTACGCAAACTATTAAATTGCGCGCGGAGCTAGATTGCATCTTAATTCTATCATTTATGACGGGCAGAGGGGGAGATAGCGCGATGAGCGACAAATAAGGGAAAAGTGCTCCCGCTTGTTGTTGGTGAACTCTATCAACCCCTGTTTATGGGCAAATATCGCGCTTGACGGTACGACCTAGTGTTGGACGCTTCTCTGTTGTAAAGTATGCCGCGAGCAGGAGCCATAAACTTGATAAATGACGAAAGTATAACACATTCCTGCATGCAATACCTTGGAGAGTTAAGTAACTGATATTCCCAAGGACGTTGATAACAATAGCGTGTCCATATCGATAGAGCTCCACGACGATACTGGCCGTTATGAAGGGTAAGACAGCAGGTTCAATGTCCAACATGCATTGATTGGCGCTGCATGCACATGGAAACTACATATAGTTACGAGAATATTATACTACAGTGGCCAGCATTGAACGGAGGACAGGAATTTACGGCGCGGGCGGGGCCGGCAGGCTACGAGGGGTCCCGGCTGACTGTAATCAAGCTAGCAGCTCGCGTCGTTGACGCCACTCGTCATTGTCTGAAGCTCACTCACCTTGCCTTGTCCCCTTCTGCCATTCTCCCCCGCCATCACCACTTTAGCTGTCAGGCAGTCTTACATTCCGAAACCCAAACACCGCTGACAATGGCTTTCCGTCTGCCCCTCCGCCGCATTGCCCTGGCACGCCCCGCCGTTGCGCGTGGCTTCCACTCCACGCCTCGGGCCTTTGTCAAGGCAGGGGACGCACTCCCGAGCTTCGAGCTGTTCGAGAACTCAGCTGCCAGCAAGGTCAACCTGGCTGAGGAGTTCCAGAAGGGCAACGGCTACATTGTTGGCGTGCCCGGCGCCTTCACCGGCACCTGCTCCACCAAGCACATTCCCTCGTACATCAACCACCCCAACCTCAAGAGCTCCGGCCAAGTGTTTGTCGTTGCCGTCAATGACCCCTTTGTGTAAGGATTCGCAATCTCATGAAGGCGCCTGGATATGATTGCTAATTGCTTTCTACAGCATGAAGGCTTGGCAAGACCAGCTGGATCCTGCCGGAGAGACTGGCGTGAGTTCATGCTGCCGTCATTTATCGCCAAAAAAGAGCTGCCGCTGATTCTCTTGTAGATTCGATTTGTTGCCGACCCAACTGCCGAGTTCACAAAGGCACTTGAGCTTGACTTTGACGATGCTGCTCCTGTCCTTGGCGGCACTCGAAGCAAGCGCTACGCCTTGAAGATTGAAGACGGCAAAGTCACTGCTACTTATATCGAGCCAGACAGTACAGGCACTGCCGGTGAGTTTTCGTTGGATTCAAAGCATTGTCAAAGCGACAAGTATTGACATATTGTTTCATTTAGTGTCAATGGCCGAGCAGGTTCTCAACTGAGAGGGATAGCAAATGCATGGAAAGAGATCCGGCTTTGTAAGAAACCATTGTGACTGGGCCATGTGATGTCATGCTTGGCTTGCATTCTTTGCGAGTGTTAGTCTACACTATTGGCCATTACGGAAACATGTTGCTCATACGCAATTAAATAATGGAAGTACTTATAGCTTTGCAATGAATACATGTATGCTGCTACCACGGCCGTTTTCAAATGTATATGGCAATCAAGTAATTTCATATGTAGTCTAATTGCCTTGTTGAGCCATGGCTGGGGTGCTGGGCAACTTTCCTAACAAAAGTCAAAGGAAAACCTTTTTTTGCCTGAATATATGTGAGTTCGCACTACGGCGGCCCTTGATATGGAAATCATGGATGACATAAGACACTCGTACCAAGCCTGTAAGCCTCCTGCCTGATGTGAATCCCTGGACAAGGCTTCAAGGTTGTAATATCTAGCTAAGACTGACCATTCTCACCAGGGATGCGGTCTTTATACACCGCTATTCGGCGTTTTACAAGTAAGTTTTCCCTATGGTAATACATACATGTCATGTACGGAGAAGATACTACCTCATTGGGAGTGAATTCACACTGCCAGTCTTGCGTGTCTGTTGGGAAAAAACAGAAAGAATTGTACAAAAAATAATCTCGACTCAAAATCTGATAGATACTTTTTGCTCTTTTTTGACAGCACCACTTCCTTAGCTTAGGCATCCAACCGACTTTTCTTCTCTTCATGCTCTTTTTCTCCTATTGGTAAGCCCGAGCAGTGGCCAAGATGCATCCGGCCATTGGCTGCCTGGCCTGCCCCCAGCTAGGCGGCTGCGATGCGCTAAGACTGCCCGCAAGATCTCTCGTGCAGGCCTGCCGTTGGCCACCTGATGGGCCCACCGCCGCCGCCGCCTGACTCAGCCGCTGCCGAAGAAATGCCGGCACCTTATTCGGCGCTCGACCTGCCCAACTCCATTCTCTTCATCCTGTCCTGAATCACTTAAACGATGATTTGACGCCTCTGTTGAGAATCTTCCTTCTGCTCGATTCACCCGGCTCGCCTCGCCATCATACCCTCGCCCTACGTCGCCCTACATCGCCTTGAACACGCAGCAGCGCGCCGTCCTCGCCTGATCCCGTCCTTCTCGTCCCACCGATCCGGCGTGCACCTGAGTCCACCGAGTGCCGTCACAAGGGCCCCTCTTAGCGTGCTGCATCACTATCTCGTCTGCCAGCGCACCATCGTCGACCTGCAGGCTTGCTGCTTGCCCGCTCACCACCGTCACGATTCCTCCCATAACGAGAAAGCGAAAGGCTGCCGAGGCGACGATCACATCTGCAGACGCCGAGAGCACTCCCCAGAAGAAAATCGTCGCCTCAGCCAGTCTCCCTGCCGCACCTCCTACGCCCCAAACCACCCGCGATATGGATTCCGAGGAAGAATACATGTCTCCCATCTCCACTGATGATGATGAAATCATGCAAGACGACAGCGGTGATGAACTCTCCGGTCCAGATGGTGAGTCCAACGCTGCTACCTTCTCTCACCCGGCCTTCTCGGAAGCTCCTTCCCGTGAGCCTGACTAATCCATGTTGTTTTCAGATTTCGACGAGGATGATTTTGACGAACCCGACCCAGACTTTGGACTATCAGCAAAAGACATGGATAAGAAAAAGGCGGCCGCTCACGCGGTATCTTTCAAGGTCCTCGAGCCATCCGATATCAGGCGCCAGCAAGATGACATGATGAGCGACGTCAACCTGATCCTTGACTTGACCAAAGAGGATGCAGCCATCATGTTACGCCACTTTCGATGGAACAAAGAAAGACTACTAGAAGACTACATGGACCGCCCAGAAAAGGTTCTAGAAGCCGCTGGTCTAAACAGTACTTCTTCCACCCAGCCAAAACTACAGGCCGTTCCCGGCTTTGTATGCGACATCTGCTGTGAAGATGAGGACGGCTTACAGACCTTCGCGATGAAGTGCGGTCACCGCTACTGTGTTAACTGCTACCGCCAATACCTCACACAGAAGATCCAAGACGAAGGAGAATCTGCCAGGATCCAGTGTCCTTCAGATGGGTGTGGTCGTATCTTGGACTCGCGGTCACTCGACCTCCTCGTCACCTCGGAGCTGACGGTTCGCTACAATGAATTGCTCAACCGCACATACGTGGAAGACAAAGATACTTTCAAATGGTGCCCGGCTCCGGACTGCCCTAACGCCATAGAATGCGGCGTTAAGAAGAAGGACCTGGATAAGGTTGTTCCTACAGTTGAATGCCTCTGTGGCAACAGGTTCTGCTTTGGATGCGCAAACCCCGACCATCAACCTGCACCCTGTGATTTAGTCAAGCGGTGGCTGAAAAAGTGTGCTGATGACTCAGAAACTGCCAACTGGATCTCGGCGCACACAAAGGAATGTCCCAAGTGCAGTTCGACGATCGAAAAGAATGGCGGATGCAACCACATGACATGTAGGAAATGCAAATATGAGTTTTGCTGGATGTGCATGGGTCTCTGGTCTGAGCACGGCACAAGCTGGTACAACTGCAATAGATATGAGGAGAAGAGCGGAGCCGAAGCGAGGGATGCGCAGACCAGATCACGCACGTCTCTTGAACGGTACCTGCACTATTATAACCGATATGCCAACCACGAGCAGTCCGCTAAGTTGGACAAAGATATCGCGCAGAAGACTGAGAAGAAGATGGTGCAGCTCCAGACCACATCGGGCATGTCTTGGATCGAAGTGCAGTATCTCAACTCTGCATCTCAGGCCCTCCAGACCTGCAGGCAGACTCTCAAGTGGACTTACGCTTTTGCCTTCTACCTGGCCAAAACCAATTTGACAGAGATTTTTGAGGACAACCAAAAGGATCTTGAAATGGCTGTTGAGAACTTGTCCGAGATGTTTGAGAAGCCCATCAACGAACTATCCGACCCGAAGCTGAAGGTCGATATCATGGACAAGACATCTTATTGCAACAAGAGACGTATTATTCTGCTTGAAGATACTGCCGAGAACCTTGCCAAAGGTATAATCAACGAAGCCTCCTGATGACTACTCTCTCTCGATCATTACTAACACATCCACTGACAGCCAAATGGACGTTCAACGCAGATCTCATGAACGGATCAACATTGCTGCTTAACAAACAATAGACAGCCTCTTTGGTTCCGTTTATTGAGACCCATCCGTTTCTATTGTGGGAAATAGACCGATGCGCCTGGCCGCTGCTAGCATGTCCGTTGCCTATCTCGCGATGGGCCAGCATACGACATGGCTGGGACAACTTACCTAGAAATACGCGTGGCTCAGCATCTACATACAGCGATTACATACACACCATACACCCGCACGCCAAGGCATACATGCTTTAGTAGCAAGCCGGGACATTCCTGTTCCTTCTCTTGTCGACGACGTTGAGTCATCCCCACTCATTCAAAATATTTGCATTGCAGCGTCGAGATTTTTCGCTCCCCCAAACATAGACTAGTAGTGTTACTTTATGATATTTTACGACTTAACCATTGGCGTCTTGGGAATCTGGCACGGTATATGGGGACAGGTGGATTATACGATTTCCCCCCTTTTCTTCTGCTTGGTTTTGGTACTTTATGTTTCTTATTTCGCACTTCGTTCCCACCCCCATCACTCTTACCTTCCCATTGCCCTGTTATTTATTCATTCATTGTTCTTCGGTTTCCTTTCTGATTGTATGTACTCGTACCCCCTGTTTTAGTTCAGCGTATGGCTAGCGCATGCACTCGCTTAGAATACGAGGATCCATGATACATAAAGTGCATTCTTGAGATGGAAATAGAGCAAATGTTAGTTTTGTCTTGAACCTTCTAGTCCCATTCCCATGGCTTTGCTATCGTTATGTTTGTCAGAATGGTGATGAATATGTAGAGCACTGTGTGTACTATAAACGAATGTCTTGTAACCTACTAGGTATTTGTTAGAGCCAGTCATATCTAATAATAACTTGATTTTCTTTGAGTCCAATACTCAGTTCTTCTACTAGCCTAGTTCCTGAAGCCATCTATTCATTTCCAGTGACAATACCAACATTTCTTCCCAACACGATGTTGTCAAGCCAAAGAGAAAAATAAAAGGCTTTGACAAAGCACCGAGACCAAGATCCTTTCCTTTCGTTCCCTCCAAAACATACGTAGCTAATACAAACACCATCTGTCCGTACAAAGGGGTCTGTAAAAATTTCTTCCCGAAGCCTAAGCCGACAACCAAAAAAGAAATGAGCACTAAAATAAACGCCTGCGAATGTATTATCATAATCACATTAAACTTCAGCGCTTTAAAAAATAGAAGAAAAAAGTTCAATGCGTCTTATAGCAAAAGACTTGTGATGGTATCAATAAAGCGGTAACAATGCCTTTCAAGAATAGATGAACCGAGCGAGATTGAGCTTTTTGGTTGGGAGCTTGACCTCTTCTTCCTCGTCCTCTTCCTCCCCGTCGCTATCGGGGATGATTTGGTCTTCGCTTCCGCATGGCTTGTTCAACGCCTCCATCTCATTCAAATCCACCTTGGGAAGAGGGACAAGTGCAGGATTGATCGCCCCTTTAGCACCAAGGCCTTTGTCAACATCCTTTCGTGACGCGGGGAGACTCGGAGATGATGCCGGGCCTTCTTTCAATGCCCATGCACCCATGCGTTGAAGGGGCGTTTGTCTTGCCCGGGCAGTGGATGGTGCAGTGGAGGTAGTAGATGCGGGAGTGAACACAGATGAGTATTGCGAAGATCTTGAAGCTGGTGTAGCCGATGATTTGGAAGAGTGGGCAAAGCGGGTAAAACTTGGACGAGGAGGGGTATGGATGGTTTCAGAGATGGGGGAGAGTGGCTTGGGGAGAGTCACCAAGTCATCGACTGAAGATTTGGGCGTGTCAATAGGGCTCTGTTGGCCGGCTTCCAAGGAAGTGAGTCCTGTGACTTGGCTTGCATCTGCGACTTGGCCTGTCTCCTGCTCGCTGGTTTTCTGCTGGCTCGTCTCCTGCTGACTGGCTTTCTGCTGGCCGATATCTTGTTGGCTGGCCTTTTGCTGGTCGATATCTGGTGGTGTTGCATCCTGCTGAGTAGAACCTTCTTGAGCAGTACTTCCAGGCTTACTAGGAGGCGGCGCCTTGGGTTTATCTGCAAAGATTGACACCCCTTTCTTCGACCGAGCCCCAGACGCCCACTCTTCAATGTCAGGTAAGTTATTGAGGGCTTCATCCAGTGAATCGTCTGAAAGCAAATATGCCTCGCTCTTCGTCTTTCGCGGATCCTTTTTGGTGGCTTTATTCTTATTGGCAGGAAAAAACCGACTCGTTTTGGGTGAGCCGTCTGCCTCCACATCAAACGAATCGTCACACAGGCGGGCCTTCTTCGGGGGCCTAGTGGAAGCGTCTGTCTGGGGAGGTTGACTGTTTGAGACGCTGGCCAGCAGACTTGCAATCGGCTCTGTTCGTCGTCGATTCAAACGAGGCGAAGTTCGTGGAGCGGCTTGTGTTGTCCGATGAGAGTTTGCACTGTCTTCCCCTGACTGTCCTGACTGCTGTGATCCGGGTATATAAGGTCTCGGTAATGGAAACACGCGCGAAACAGCCCCCCCGGCAGTAATTTGCGAAATTCGTTGGGGATCCACGGAGAAACAGTTGGCGTCCATCTCACCCATAGGTATCCGATGATGACCTTTGAAGTATGAATTGATGGGCTTGGACTGTGGACGGGTTTCGGTAGGCGTAGCGAGTTGAGAGTGCCTTCGTTTAGACGGCGAGATAGGCAGGGCAATTGGAATTTTTGTAATGGGATTCACGTCGCCACTTGCGATTTTGCGAGCCATCTCTGGTTCGACGTAGGATCCGATGAAAGGCATCTCCTCCGCCGTACGATTCGCATCTAGTTCTGTGAGGTGGACAAGTTCCTTCTTCGTGGGGCAAAACACCCATTGGTGTAAAAACGTGAGCTCTGCTTGATAGAATAAGGTCAAATAATTCTCCGATATGCGCTTCCCGTCGAATTGCAGCATGCGAACAATGCGCTCTGGGGATTTGGACTTTCGCAGTAGCCGATATGCTGTTTTAAGTCCTACTCCTGGAAGACCGTTGAGATAGTCGCAGCCGCTCATGATTGCCATTCGTCGAAACTCTGTGTCACTCCAGCCGGTCAGAGAGATTTCACGACAGGCACAGAAATCTCGCCGGTTGATCTCGATGCAATTTCCGTACTGATCCAGCTTGGTAAGCAGCCGCTTGGCACCAAAGACCAGCAGATCTGAATCGTCTGAAAGGATGCCTCCGACCAAGCCAATGCGTTCGAGATAAACAAGCTGAGCATCGGCTTCGTAGGGGGCCACGACGTATGGGATATCCATCTTCTTCAGCTCTTGGATCAAGGCGGACGCCATCTCTGGCGTAATGTCAATACATTTTTGGAACTCTTGCACTGCTTGAGAGGATTTTCCAGCTTTGAGGTATTCGTTGGCAATCTTGAGCTTTTCCTCTCGCTTCTTGGCGCGAGATTCTTCGGTAGCAGCTTTGCTAGGGAGATAATCGCCATCAAATACCATGTAGGGTGTGACGCCAAAATGCTTTAGCATTCTCACTCGGTGCAAAGCCGCATTGATAAATCTTGAGAGTGGCCGCCAGTTAATACTCCGAATCTTCCACCACTGAGCATCTCAAACTCACTTCTTAGTAGGCTTGCCTTGGGCCAGCTCGGGGGCACATGAATAGGCGGCGCGGTGCAGCCATCCATAGCCGTCAACAGCCAACGTCTCTCCTTTGAACTTCTTCAGCTCCGTCGGCCTCTGGATGGACTTGAGGATCGGTAGCAGCCCTTCCGACAGTCAGTACAACAATTGCCCCTTGTAGATAAGCGGCTTTGACCATGCAATTCGCTGCCATGTCAAGTCATATCATATACATACCTGTTACACCCATTTTGCAACCCCACCCTAAAATCCACGTACGAAGAAAAAAGTAGCAAAATTTCAGATTCTTCCATGCAGAAGGATCCAATCCACTCCCTCAGTATCTGCGTGGATCAGCGAGTGCACCCATGAATTGACCGCCCAGCCTCTGGACGCGGTGACTGCCGAGCACAAGGCTCAAACAGACAGGGCACGTCAAGCGCTTAGAGGCGATGGGCTGCGAGAGGCCTGGATCACGCGTCGTGACGGCGGCCTGGTCGGACGGAGGGTCGAGAGAGACGAGGAGCGTCTGTTGGTGTAGCAAATGAAGCGATTCAGAGTGGAGGAGGTTCACGGCGCAAGATCCTGGGCTCTACGGGCGAGCATGTTGAATCTCGGTTAACGGGCGTCTGGCTCTGCAGTCGCTGAGACAAGCAAGCAAGACGCGCTGGGGGCTTTAATGGGCGGGTCCATGGCGCCTGGAGCGCGTGCTGTAGCGCTGTTGGCGTGGGAGAAGATGCCCGAACAGGGATAGATTGACCTGGCAACGGGGCCATTCTTATTTACTTTGTGCGAGCCTGAAAGGTCTTCACGAGGCGGGTTGATACCAGAGGAATTCACAAATATTGCCCTAAAGAATTCGGTATGTCCATCACATTATTCCAACTACAGAGATTCTGGCAGCAGATTGGGCTTCGAAGTAAAGCGAAACTTGGACTCTCTTGTATGTTGACATGGGACCACTGTAGACTAACAGCATCCCGTCACTTTTAGAGCGTGGGGGCGGGAAGGATGCTGAGATTCAACTACGATATACCGTAAATTGACAGCTGGTGAATGAATTTTGACCAGAGTATCTAGGTCTCTGTATACATGTTAAACAATATGAAGGAAAGGTACATGTATTAGTGTTATAGTAGACAATCAAATTTCGCATTGCTCTGTTGCAGAGGAAGCACCAAGCCTACCGCAGCGCCAAAGCTTTATCCGAGCTATAGCCGGCACATCGGTAGTTCAAGCCACTTGCCCAATTTAGCACCAGACCCCTGCCCTGGTCCTAAGAGAAAAAAACCTTGCGCCTAACGACTGCCAGTGCCGCTAGTAAAAGAGTTGAGATTTCATTTAAAGAAAAAAAACTTGAAAGCATTCATCTCTATAATCACCTACTGAGCGAGCCATAATTGTCCGATTCACAAAGACAAATAAGCCCTTCAAAATGCCTAACACTCTTCAGAAAGTCCGCAAACAGATCTCCAAGAAGCGCGGCGGAGACATCAACGCCCTGCATGAAAAGTCCAGAAACTCCATGAGACTACACAAGGCCGGAGTGAGAGACCAAAGACTAGAGAAACTTGCCGCGGCAAGGAGTAAGAGGGAGCAGCCCATCGGTACGCGGTCTAGGATTGATATTATGAGCCCCAGTCCATAGCTAATCAGCACATTAGTGGAACGTGTCACCTTTTTCCAGCAGAATGTGAGAGAGCAAGGCGCTGAGCCGCTTGAAGTGGCAGCCATCCAAGCACTTATTCACACGTAAGTATTACATGGCATACTACAGATATGAGGACTCGATCTGACTGTATATCCAACGAAAAAGATTTGTTCATCAGTACGATGAAGAGTACGATGCTGCGAAGAAGACTCGCCGTGCCGGGCGGCCAGCCAGCACCAAGGAGGACTTGTTGAGAATCAAGATAGCTGCGCTTGAAGAAGAGTACACCAAAGGATTCTGTAGGTTATTTCCATTTTTATCGACAACTGGAAAAGGCCGTACTAATTTGTTGTAGTGCTCCCCGATGTGACTTCAGCGGAAAACGTCAAGCTCTTGGATGGGTGGGAAGGCTCATGGGTTTACCTTACCACCATTCCCTGGATCAAAGTCACCAATACTGGCAATGTTCGCAAATCCGAGCCGCCTTCAAAGGCTCTTAACTGAAACAACCTGTCCTCTGAAATCTTACGTACGAGGAAGCAATCAACAGCTCCCAAGCGAGCCATCTATAGAGCACCCCTGAAGATGGCTACTAGCTACCTGAGCTCGTCCGATTCGCATTTTCACAACCATGGGAACTTGCGATACAAAAATGCTCTTCCAATATGCCATGGCTGAACTTCAACCGTCACAGATCCCAAACTATATGCTGGTCCGGGGCAAATTGGAGTTGATGATGGAGCTATGTAGCTATGTTGCCTTGGAAGAAGGCATGAAGATCAAATTTGCGTACAGATCGACTCACGATCAATTTCGGGTCTGATTTTGAGGAGACATGGCGCAAATGTCGGACAGCATACTGCATATACTAGTTCAAAGCCGTTTCGCCCGTTCTTTTCATGCCCAATTTTGGCACTGAAACTGGACATCGCATCGCTCATCTAGCGGTATAGCGGGCCCTGCAAGGCCATGCACTTTACATATGAATCAGATAAAATTCACATTGGTTAATACATCTTCTATTAATTTTTTATACATTTCTACCATATCCATGTTCATGTCTCGGAGATTCGCAAAGAAATTCACAAGCTCTCCCATCCATTTGAGTGCTTGCATGCCAGTTGATCAATCACGTGGGGCCATAGAGCTGTTGGTAGCTCCAGTAAAAATGGGGTAGCAAAGCAAAAGCAGCAAAAAAAAAAGTTTTAGCACTACTTCGCAGCTACTACATCATTCCCTCTCACGAACCACCTCCAACGTCATATTTTAAAGTAAATCAAAATGCTCTTCGTCAGAAACCTCGCACGAGCTGCTCCTCGGACGCTCAGCCGCACGGCCGGAGCCTCCCTGCGATCATCGGCCATTGCCCGCCCCAGCGTCTTTATCAAGTCCCCCGCCATCAAGGCCCTGCTGCCCACCCGAGCTGCCGCCTTCTCCACGACCGTTCGCCGAAGCCAAGAGGACGACGTCGACGTCGACGTTGCCCTGTCTGCCAAGCTCGACAGCGAGATCCAGATTGAGGAGGACATCAAGGTCAATGAGCAGCAGCCCGCCAGCATCAAGGACTTCCTTGACAACAGCCCTTTTGAGCTTATCGATACTCCCGGCCAGGAAGTTGTCAAGCTGACCCGCAGCTTCAACGAAGAGAAGTAAGCCTCAATTCGAACAGAGCACTCTCTCTATATGAAGTCTGAAAAACTGACCTTCTTTGCAGAATCACAATCAGCTTCTCCATCGCTGACATCACAAACTTCGACCCCTACGCCGAGGACAGCCTCTTCGAAGAGGACGAGCTCCCCGAAGAGTCCCTCCAGTCCGACAAGCAGCAGAACTCCGACGACGCCCTCGACGCCGAGGCCGATGACGAGGCCGGCGCGCCCATCAACCTGTCCATCCTGATCGAGAAGCCCGGCAAGACCGACGGCGCCCTCAACATCGACGCCACCGCCCGCGACGGCGAAATCGTCGTCGACAACATGTTCTTCTACGAGGACGCCACCGTCGCCCGCATCGACTCCCCCGAGGCCGCCCAGAAGCGCGCCGACGTCTACCCCGGCCCTCCCTTTGGCAGCCTCGACGAGGACCTGCAGGTGCTGATGGAGCGCTTCCTCGAGGAGCGTGGCATTAACGAGTCCCTGGCGGTCTTTGTCCCCGACTACGTTGATGCCAAGGAGCAGCAGGAGTACATCCGCTGGCTCAAGAACGTCCGCACTTTCGTCGATGCTTAAATGAGCTGAAAGGAGAGCGAGAGAAAGAATGGGGAGTGTACGAATCTAATGTTTGGTGTTTAACTGGGTTTATGGTTTACGCACAAAAAGTGGAAAATGAACGAAAGGGGAAATTATGACTTTTGTTGTTTGTTTGGTTTCGACACAAACATTTGTGACTATAGAAAAACTGATCTTTTTGTTTGTTTGTTTGGAAATGTCCTCACTCATGTATTATATAAACGGCCAACGCTGCCGCCCTCTTATGGACTGATATCATGGCAAAATTTAAAATTCAAAGTTATCATTTGCTATTAAAACTGGTCCCATAAGTTGAAAAAGAACGAAATATCTATCCCAAAACAGTAGAAACTATGTAGTGTGCTGCGAACACAATCTATGCGTATAGGCCAAATCAACCCACGTGGTATATGTATATCATCAAGCCAGATTCAGCACCTCTCTTTCTCTCCCTCTCTCTCACTCTCTTGCTTGTCCAACAAGGAAAAAAAAATCTATACCAATATGCTTTATCCAATCTTTGCCATTCTTACCCCGCCTCTCGCCTTCACCTACCACACTTTCTATAGAACGCCCTCAAGATTCCATTCGCTCTTCTGGGCAAGATCCAAAACTTGTCTGCCCTTCTCAGTGAGGTCGGGCTTGCCGCCGTTACCAACAACGTGTTCAAAGAAAACAGGCTGCCATGTCTCCTTGTTCTCCTCTCGCTTTCGAGCCTTGTCTCGCTGGGCCTCTTCGAGGGCAACCTTGACCTCGGTTGCCTTGGAGTACTGCTTGGCATGGATAGCCTCGGTGACGCCAGACCACAGGCGAAGAGATTCGTTGGGAAGCATCTGCTCGCTTGGAGGTAGAATCTTGGGCGCAACATTAAGTGGGATGATGTCGATGATGACGTGCTGTTCCTCAGGAGGGACCAGTTTCTGTAACAAAACAATAGGTTAGCTCTCGTCTATACAAATAATTCGCAGGGACAAAAGACATACCACAGGCCTGGGACCCAATGTGAAGACAACCTTTTCCCTCCAGGGACCACTCAGCCGGGCCAAGACATCTTCATCCGGAACGTCCTGAACTCTGGTCTTGGTATCGTTCTCAGGGTCATACTTGAAAACGACACCATCAATCTTGTTTGTTGTCCGGCCCAACCAGCCCTCGTCAACGTAGTGAAGAATAACTTTGATCTTGGTATCGGGGCATGTGATGTAAGCCATCTCGCTGACCGATACGCTCAACGATCCGCGGAAGAGGCCACCTAGATGGGCCGCAGGGTGTGTCAGCTGGTAGGTCTCGTTATCTCTCTTCTCCAGCGTGATGAAGATGCCCATGTTGTGCTCGCCGGGCAGCACCTTGACAGATGTGCCAGTAAACTTGGCAGTGATCTGATCGAAGCCCCTGGCTGAGATGCCCTTCTCGGGGCAGGCCACATGGAAGGCACTGACGGGAGGGTGATGTGATGTCTGTTCGGTGAGATACGAGATTCGGAGGAGCGGGGCAGCCTCGCCGGAAGGAGTGCCGTGTTGAGGGACGCTCAGAGACACCGACGAGGAGCCCTTCTCGCTCTTGGCAGCCGCCTTCAAGTTGGCGGCTGCTCCCTTGATGGAACTCGAGCTCGAGCCGGGGGTCTGAAGGTCGACGGTGCTTATCCTGGGTGCATTATCTTCTGTCTCCCAGTTACACTGTTGAAATCCCGAGGTTAGCACAATGCCATCCACTGGGAGTTGCTGATACCCAGACAAGCGTTGGATGCATCGTCCAACGCTGGGTAGTGGGGCTGAGGCTGGGGCTCACCCGGAAGAACTCGCCGAGACACGAGTTATACGGCTTGCAGGGCTTCCCTTTTGCGTATTTGAGATCTTTTGTGAGCCAGAAACGGACTACTTCGAGCATTCGATCGAGAGGCTCATCCGAAGTGCCGATGGCGACGAAGGCGTTGGGTGCATCGAGATAGGTCCAGTATTCGAGATTGGGGGTGGGCTCGAGCAGCTGGGAGGGGAGCGAGAATCGGACGCTGGCGAGATCAGAGACGCCGATGAACCTAAATCCATACAAATATCGTAATTAGCATGTATTCTGACGCAGAATCCAGCTTTTTCATCCGATGAAGAGCCATTCTGCATAACAGATCGACTGTCTCTCGGTGACGCGGCACTCTGTGTCGAGACTGTAAAGCCCCACTAGGCTTTACCGCCGATTTCGCGTGACGGCACTCGGTTTCGGTGATGGCATCGCTTATGCCACCGAAGCAGCCCGCCATGCAGAGACTCTGCATCAAACAAAAAGGACCAAACAGGATATCTCCTACTTTTTCAAGATGCCCAGAAACGTCCGCAACTTAGAGCCCTCGTTTTGGGGCTCGTCCGGCGTCGTTACGGTAGGGGGTGTTGATGACGACATGGTGCTCTGAGTTTGAGAATAGGCTGAACAACGGTATCGTGGGATGGAGGGGAGGCTCCTAATCGATATGCACCGCCTTTTGCCAAGTTCGAAAAGGGGGGCGATGAATGTTTGTCGACAAAGAACAAACACTGCCGGTCGTGAGAGACGAGTTAGAAGAGACAAAAACGAAAGGCAAATAAAGTGCTTGTCTGCCTCTGACCGCAGAGTCGCGGGCCTTGTTGGGAAAACGCAGGTGAGAGAGGATGGTTCAACTTTGATGCGCCGCCCCAGCCAAGAGGAAAGGGAAAAAACGCTCTGGAGCCAGCCGAGCTGTGGCGTTTCAGAGCCTAGAGGGGCCACCAGAGGCCCCCAGAGGCAAGGGACAGGGATTCCCAGCGCGGCGGCAACCACTCAAGAGCGCCGCCAAGCTGGATGCGCCTCAGTGCCGGGGCGACTTTTGGAGGGCGAAAGCTGGGGATGGGAACTGCCGGAGGATCGATATTTGATCTAATGGATGCTGCTGAAAGAATCTGGAGATGCCGTCTCCCCTCGTTGTTTTTTTCATCCTGTTTACATGTAAATCTTTTGCGTTTTTCTCTCTTCTATTTCTCCTTCTCTCTGCTGCAAACAGACATACGCAACTGATAACCACATGCAAAAGATAATCCCAAGCTAAGACGACCCTGCGTGCATGCCCGTGCCAAGGCGGAACATCCGTCAGGCCAATCATCGGCGCACATGGTCCAGTCGCTGGCTCTGGCGATGGCATCCGCACCGGCCAGCCCAGGCCGTGACCTCGACCCCGTGTTTCTGCCGACTGGTCGATGAGCCAGCTTTGTCTTCAAATAGCTGTATACGTGTATGTTGGGTTTATTTGTTCCTGCAAACACTAGTGCCGCCAGTGCTATTGTTACTAGTAGTACTGGCATGTAGCATTTGGCAGGGGCAAATTTCGATCCGGACAGATAGCCATGTATGTGCAATCGGGATTTTAGACTTTTCGGGGTGCCGCTGCAGCCCGAGTGGCGCGGGAGGCGTGTGAAGCGTCAAGAATGGCTGCAGCTTACTCAGAAATAAAGGCGATGTGATTGGGATGTGATTTCTATCCCGTGTCCAAGCGCCTTACATAATCTGCATGTGGCTTTGGTTGAAGCAGATCATAGTGAAGTCGTTCACTCGCCGTCACAGTACGGCAGATTAGGGTCGATGCTAGACCTGCTTCCACATTATAAGCATTGGTGGGTGGCAATCCCAGGGCTCGTTCAGGCGGCTCGAGGATTTGTGACTTATCAATGGTTATCTTGAGTTGTGAGCTGATCTTGGCAATCTTTCAACTTCAACTTGAGTACTTGGTTTAAAAAAACCACGTGCCTAGCGGATATAGCTGGCAATGAACTGGTCGTGTAATATTTGACTGAGCATTCAGCTTCATTATCATTATAAAAACTACACGTCTAACTACTATGATATAGCAACCGAACCTGAAAGAACCTGCTCATATCAGGCATCATCTGCTATTCAACTCTAGTAGTAATCAAAACTCCACCTTTGCACTGATGCACTGAATACTCTGTGCAGACCGAGAACTCCACCTTTACGCCTTTACCAAAAAAGACTCCTCGAAATAACCATTTCGCTAAAAACACTGACGCTTAAAAAGTTGCTTCCTGCTCCTGCTCCTACTCCCAATACAGGGCCGAGTCTCCCTCGGGAAACAGTTCCTGGTGAAACAATTCATGCTGCGTCTGAGTTGGGTCGATATGCAGAAATTCAGGGATGGGAGAGCCGCCAAAAGAAGGAGTCGACATTGAAGACATGGACTGATCGCTCGCAGACGATGGTGAAAAGTCGAAAAGGGGTGGGAACAGATCTGTCGGTGCCGGCGCCTGCGTCTGTGACATTGCGAAATCTATGTTGTTGGAGCCCCATGGAGGAAAGTGAGGAGATTGCTGAGGTAGTTGCATGGTGGACGGGGACTCAAATGCCGGAGGCGGAGAAGTAGGCGACATGGAAGACGGCATAGATGAAGGAGAGTATTCAGGGGGGGAATATGGCTGGAGAGGAGATTGCTGAGAGTATCTTCGGGCGTGCTCGTCGGCATGCGGAAACATCTGAGCAAACATCTTGTTGACTTCGTTTTCACGCCAACTTCGGTCAGACTCTGCCAGCAGGTCTCTCACCGTGTTGGGATCAACGACGAATCCAGGGGGCGCGCTCAAGCCCATGGCTGTGAATCTCGGCAACAGAGCGTCTTCTTCGTACATTTCCTTGTTGATCACTCCGGCCTCTGAGACGAAAAATCCTTTCCCAGTACGTGCCTTGTGAATGGCACTCGCCTTGTGAGCGGACTCTATCCGGAGCTCCAAGGAGCGATCATCCCGGCGTGAAGCAGCAACCAGCGCACGCTCTGTGAATTCGAGACGAGGGAGCTTTTTCTATAAGGCAAAAAAATCTTAATTTCACAATATCACCTTGGGGTGTAAGAAATAGCAAAAACATACCTCCTTCTTGTCCTTCTTGCTAGTGCCACTACCAGTTGCTGATAAGGCGTCTCTCGACTTTGTGTGTCTTGGCTTAGTAGTTGCCTTTGGCTTGGTGGTGCCTGTCTGCCGAGCCATCGCGAGAGAGAAGCCAGTAGGAACAAACACAGGCTGGATAGATCGGCAGGCACTTGTGGGCTGGCGATGAGAGATGGTCACCAGCGGCTCGCGAGGTATGAAGAAGTAAACAGCAGCTATCTACTATCGATCGTGATAGATGATAGCGATTACAAGATGTAAGTCAGCAAAGGTTAGCCAGAAAGGATGAGCTCGAAGAGGGGGATTGGAGAGTGCCGTGTTTATATGTGCCAGCCCCCGGGCTCCTGCGAAACGCCATGCTCTGGATTTGGAGGCTAATACAAGCTCCCGATTTCGATCTGTGCAGCTCCAAGTTTGGGCAATCGGATTCTTGGTAAGGCGATCGATCTCGATGTCAAGAAGCAGTTAGTGTGAGACTGAGGCGAAAGTACCGGCAAAGTAGCTTGGTGTGGCGCCCGGTGTCGTTCACTGCCTGTTTGGGCAATGCTTTTTGCGGTCCTGGCCAAGGGAGGGGAGATAACGTAACGAACAGCCACAGAAGGCTTTTGTATAAGAGAACAGCGGCAAGATCTTTGCTGAACACGCCTGACACGGTCTGCCGTTTCTTGACGCGCCCTTCGTGCTGCGGGAACCTGGTGAAGTAGCTGGATGGAGAATGCAGCTGCCTGCTTCAGCGAAGCACCACCCCCACATCCCATTGGATCGTAATGTCCAACTTGCTGTTCCAAGATACCTCTTACATGGCATCCCTTGCAGTAGACGTCTCCTGGCGCTGTCTCAACGCTTCCTCAGGTCGCGAGGCTTTAAGATTCATGCCACAGTCGGTGTTCCCAGCTTCAATCCATCCGACTCTCCATGAATGCCGACCGTCGATATCCGCAAACATCACAAACGCACAGCCAAGCAGTGTTGCCACCAGCAACCAGCGTGAACAGAGAACAATGATTACATGTGCTAGAGCAGCAAACGCCCACGGAGCTTTCTCTCCGCCCCCCATCCCGTGCTGAGCCTGCCCTCCCCTAAACTGGCGGTACTTGGCGGTACATGCGCCTCTTAACAGCCCCTCCTCAGGCTCTAGCCACAGCACCCCTGCTCGCTATCCGCGGGCTAGGCCGGAACGCGATAAGCCTGAGACCAGCTCGCACTTCACCCCAGACGCACGTCACAGCTCAGGCACTGCGTGACTGCGGGCTTGCGTCAGAGGGGGCTTGCCGAACAGCGACTCGGTGGTCGCGCAGCTCTCCGGCAGTGCAGTGCAGCGCTACCACGACCGTTCCAGAAGCTTCAGGCCTATGCTGCGCGTTGGAGTAATTGGAGCGTCATCCTGATACGATCGTCGGACGATGTCGGTCACGTTTGGATCTGCTCTCCAGATTAAGAAAAAATTAGAAAACTAGTGAGGCGCTCGTGAAGATTGACCTAAGCGCGTATAGGCGATACTCTTTTGACTCCTTCTTATTCACCTCCACGTCGACCCAGGCTGTAACTCAACCACCCTAACTTAAGAGCAGCTCTGTCTCTTCATCTCCAGCATTTTTTGCGATTAAATTAATTAAAAGGGCGGGAAATAAAATCAAAACAATTCGTCTTTTTTTCCCCCCCAAACCGGCTGCGTAGATCTTGTTTCAAGTGGTGCTGCGAGCTATCCAATACTTTATTTCTCCTGACTACAAAAAATGGTGGCTGGGCATGCCCTCAAAGATTTGAGCTAAGTTAAGCTTCAACGCTTGATACTTTATCCCTATGCGTGTTGCTGATCGGCATTTGAATTTGTTTCATGCAAGTTGCAAATGAAAATCGAGCGATTTGCAATAGTTCAGCTGTGCAAGCCTACACAGGTCTGGTTGTAAAACCATCTGTCCCATCTGTGCCATCTGTCCTCTGTTCTTTGTAGTGTTCGGCGCCAAGAACGGTTGTTGATAAAAACCTTGGCGTGCATGCAAAAGCCTGTTTTCGTTTACTTGGTGTTCCGCTCCGAAGACGATGCCGACGGTGTAGACGCTTGTCGTTCGGTAGCTGTGCCGGACCTTATTCCCACTACCAACGCATACCTCCGCAACTCCCTGTTAATGGCTTGCAATCTGACATTAAAGCTTCCTCCTGACTAGAGGCTCGGAGTATGGTCCGGTAGTAATGAGACTACTTGTAGAGAACCGGAGGCGACACGATCTTGAAGGCTATCTTGATACTGGCTTACACGAGTAATGTACCGTTGAGCCTTCGAATTGGTGCTGTGGAGATGAATTACCCTAGACTATCTCGTTATCTATACATAAACAACTCATCATTTGTGAAGTATCATAAATAAGACTGAAATTGGGTCATTTCTTTTCTTAGCTAATGTGGGCGGGCGGGGGAGTACATATCTCAGTATACCTTACTTCAAATGCAGAGACGGCGATAATAACCATAAGCAGAGTACGCGAGACTGACAAGGAAACCAGCCGTAGGTATTGGATGAAGCTGGTCCCGTACCTAGCATGTGAAAGAGGGCAATCTATCTTCATAGCGAGGTCTCTCAGATAAGATTTAACGGATTTCTTGATGAGTTACTCAAGATGATACATTGCGGATATACCTAACCTCCTTGACTTCATTTGGTGTTACTTTTTGGTAAAAATGACAAAAAGATTACGGTAGTAGAGCCATTACCAGCATTTACTATACCTTTCTTGGCGAGTATTTCCCACAGCGTGAAATACCCGATGGCATCGAGATTCTCGAGCACAAGTCGTTTAAAAAAAATCCATTCCAAAACTCTTCGACTCGCCAGGCCGCTGTAGATGCGTTGATGATGAGTCGCAGGAGAAGAAACTCCGGCGGGCGAATACGTACCTATTGCAAGTTTCTGCCTGCCTACCAGGCAACGGCCGAATCGACCGGCCCGGATTATGTGGGAAGAAGTGGGAAAATGGGTAACAAAAGACTACTCCAACGGCAATGGACAGTCTCCACGCAGTAGTGAGTGGAGAATGGGAATAATAACAAAAACGTGGAGTGGGAGAAAGCCGGACGATATACTCGGAGGGGCCAGAAAAGGCTGGTCGAATACTACTTATGCTCCGGGTGTGAAGGGGATGAGAGACCTATGAGCTCATCGTTACAAAATCGATAGTTCGAGCGGGAAACAGCAAAGTTCCGATTTTTGCAAACTCAGACATGTGAGAAGATCAAGGTGGCAATATGCACAGTTATCAATCTATAACGCTAGCACTCCACGTAGATTATCTAAAGGAAACGACATGCGCTCCATACTGCTTGCTTCCTAAATGCTTGACAGCTTTCAAATACTTTGAGTAATCCAACAGCTGCCATTGGCGAAGCGAAGCCGAAGCCCTGCTCTAGGTTCGGGAAAGAGAAAACAAGAGGTGTTATTAACCTTTGTGCGAGTTTCCTCAATAATGAGGGGCTTGTCGGTAGAGTACTCCTAAAGGGGTGATGGCATGTTGACATGCTTACCGAATGCACTACTAACTAGTATTAGTCGCCTACAGAAAATGATGGCAAATGACGGTACGGGGTTTGGAGGAGGGGAGAGCCCATTCATTGGTCACACTCAATTCAAATTCCGCAAGAACGATTCAAAATCGAATACTCGAATATAAGATCACTTAGTACTGCAGACAACACCATTCATTCAATGTAAAAAGTGCCGTTCTAGACATATACTCTGATGCAAATTTAAATAGTTGATGTATTACTAGTAATGATCCAAATTGGCTTCATACCTAGCTGCAAACAAGCATCTACTAGGCCCAGTACCAGTTGATTAGCACTTAAATGTCATGGGAAGTAACAAGTAGGTAATGCCTTTGAACGCACTTTCTACTGCATTGAGACTGCTTCTTTCACTTTAAGATGATTCGGGGCACAGTCGTTGGTGTAACACCTCAGGCATACATTCGTCAGGCACCAAATTAAGGAAACACAAGTTTTCCTTGAACAAGGCGGAGCAAACCTCCCCTGAATAAATTTTAGCAAACCTACCAACTAACTCCTTTTCTACTTGAATGTAAAAACTTGAATGAATAGATCAAAGCTTATACACTTATGTGTACCCTTTCCTTCCAAATCCGAATTCGTTCCTTTCTATGGATCTTCTGTATTATCTATTCGAGGTTAGATTTTGGGATTGCGTTTGTTTCAGGTTCCTGCTACTAACGTTTGCTTGGCAAGATACTGTCATTATTCGACTGATGGCGGTTCGCGCTTGTCCTAGCAGCTCGTGCTTTCGAAACCGTTAGCCACTCCGAATATCGATTTCAGATACGGGACTCGTACACGCCTTCATAACGAGCATGGATAAAAAGCATTTCACTTGTAACGCTGGTTGTCGGCATCGCTCATTTCGGCGTCTTCATCGATAATGTCAGCTGGTCCTGAACCCCTTTGGCTAAAGAAGCTGTGAAAAGGCGGCTGAGGATGCGGATCGGTGGTGTGGCTGGCTGGAAAACCATGCTGGCTGGCGGGCATAGCATGGAATCGACCACCACTCCCCTCAAACTGATGCTGTTCTACTCTGAAGTTGGCGGCTCCAGAGTTGATTGGTTGGCATGGCGCTTGAGCGTTGACGAATCCGATATTTTGGCCAGTGAAGACAGGAACTGCAGTGCTCGAAAAGACGGCTGATTGCGCCTCAGGAGAGACACCATGGTTGTATTGAGAGTTGGCATTCATCATCCACGATTGCGAGGCCCCCTGAACTGAACTCATTTTCAGAGGGTTCTGGTACAGCTCAGGTGCGGCCATGCGCTGCGGAGCGAAGCCCGTCTGAAAGTTCATAGGAGCAACCGAAGCAAAGCGGCCAGCTCGAGACGCTCGAGGAGTCAACACCTGGTCATCTCCATCTTGGCGAGATGGGTTGGTAGGAGTGCCGGCACGAGGAGTTCGGCTTGAAGCAGTCCTTTGCCTAGCTCGAGCCGCGGCCTCTGAAGCTGGCGAGCCTTGGGCAGTTCCAGTCAAGTCGTATCCGGAACGGGGCATCTTGGTGGGTGTGTGGATGATGAAGAGTAACAGATATTTGAGGTGGAGGTCGATTATAGACGAAGGATGACAACGACGACCAAGGAGAAGAAGAGAACGAAGTGTAATAATAGAGAGAAGATAGTGTTTCAGAAAACAGTCAAAGACTTGGGAGATATGCTTCTCCAAACCGATATATAAATACCTCCACGCGATGGTGAACCTATGTGTATTCGAGAGTGAAGCAGCTTGCAAACGACATGATAATGGCGCCTCACTCACGATTACCGTGCCCTGAGAGAATGCGCGATTCCGCAAATGCGGGTAGAGACTCACTTCTCAGTCAGTTTTCGCAACTCTACCGGCCGCCCGGTTAATAGGCGTTTGCAACCGACAAAAGGAGGCAGGCCCCCCTTGCCATGTTATTATCATTCGGCGGGAGGCAAATTGTTTGCGAGCCGGCAGGAAGTTTTAGGGGAAAGTTATCCAGCACCCCAACTCCAATGTCCGGCACTGCTACTACTGCTACTACTGCTATTTATAAGTGTTTAACCGTCGTGTATTTTGATATGTAGACTGGCTGCCTCATTGAGCTATAGCTTTAACTAAACCTTCCTCTATTACCTCTTGCCGGCTCGCAAACAAGCTGCCTCGACGTCGAAAGAATCTTGGTAATGCTTCAAAGCGTTGGCTAGAATTGGTTCTGTTTCACCCCAGTCATAGATTGTTGTTTCTAGCGGTTTGGTGAATTTTCATTCCAGGCTTCACCTTCACCAAGAGGCAAGTTTAGTAATGATGTTGTTGTATAAAGCGCCCGCCGAGATGGAAATTACTATTAAACTCCAACATCGTTTGTGTCTCGCCGTGAGTCGCAGTCCATTCCACTTTCTAGGCATTGATGCACATAAAGGTAGGATTTATATTTCTCAAGTATTCATAGAGAGCGTCTTGAATGTGTCTAGTAAGAGGGACAATCTGTGGCTGGCATGTCTCGATTGGCAAATCAAATAGGGAACATGATGCGTGAGGCGTTCATTCGCCGGTGATTTAGAAGAAGAAGAAAAGAAAATGAAGCGAGGAAACCATTCAAGTTTAAATAGCGCCTGGGCAGACATGTGCTGAACCTTCCTCTAAAGCTTAAGAGAAGTTATCCAGCACCCCGGCTATTGTTCAGCAAGGCAGCCAGTCCACATATTTAAACGCGACTACTATATACACTTGAAAATAGCAGCAGTAGCAGCAGTAGCAGCAGTAGGACCTAATAGTCTATATATCTATATGAATGCTATAGCTAGAAATGCTGGATAATAGAATTGGGGAGCTAGATAACTTTTCCCTATAAGTAGACGGCATGCCATCACTTAGTGCTACGGCGTTTTTAACGTGGAAATATTGTGTTTGTGGACATCAAGACAATCCTGGCTTCATTGAATTAAAAGGATAGCTTCCGGCTCCTTGATGTTGAATGACTTTTGTGGTATATACATTTTCCCTAAAATAGACTCTATTACATGCGAGTGATATATGCAAAGCCCTTGTTGAGCAGTTTATCGTATGTCTCCCCCTTCTGCCATCCATTTGCATCGCCAGATAATGAGAGCAGTATCTTTACTCGGCATCGGCCATCTCCACATCTTCACTCTTGGACTTCTTCTTCTTCTTCTTCTTTTCCTTCTCCTCTCCTACTTCATCAGCTCCTTTCTCCCTTTTCTCCTTCTTTTCTGTTTTCTCCTTCTTTTCTTTCTTTTCTTTCTTCTCCTTCTTCTCCTTCTTCTCTTTCCTTGCCTTTTTCTCCGTATCTTCTTCTTCTTCATTCTTCTCATCGCCCTCTACATCCTTTGTCTCTCCATCTTCCTCCATCTTGTCCTGTTCCTCTTCAGCCACCTCAGCACTCTTAGCTGCCTTTCTTCCCCCATCGGCCTTTGGCTCTCCCTTGTTCTTAGGGGCAGCAGCTTGCGGAGCCTTGATCTCATCAAGCTCCTTCATCCAATTCTTCCAGTCAAAGCGTCGTGTCTTCCACATGTCTCCCTTCCATGTTCGCCAAACGCTTCTGCCCATCCATGACTCTCTCAGCGTAGATTCATGCGCGCCTAGGGAGGTCATGATCTTGTCTTTAATATGATGAGGTACGCTCCAGTCCTTGCCCTTGCTAGGAATCTCGGCTATGGCGTTGATGAGATTGTGGCCGTACTGGTTTGTGGCTAGCTCTGGGATGTGCGGTAGCAGCGTGTTAACGAGGCCTTTTTGGAAGATTGAATTGGTAGAGGGTGTTGCGATTGCAGTGGTGAGAACGGTAACGGTAGGTAGGGAAGTAGTGGCGAGGCGAACGACAAGGTCGGATGGTAGAGCAAGAACAGACTCTTGAACGCCCTTGGAGGGGCCAGAGATTGATAGCAGGGTCGTAAGTAGGTTGGCTCCGTGAGACTGGATGGCATATTCATTCTTGCTAAGCTGCTGCACATCCTTCTTCTTTTTCTTGTCTTCCTCTTCACTGGTTGAAAGAGAGCAAAGAGTCGTTACTAGGTCCGCAGGCTGCTTACCGCATCCTTCTTTGAGTCCCTTCATTAGCTTTCTAATTTCGTCATTGATGTTTCTGGCAGCGCATCGCTCAAAGAGGGCTGCAATGACATTGTATCTGGATTTGGAGACTAGTTGAGGCACTGTCGGTGCAATTTGGTCGACAGCCTTGGCAAGATCATCTTTGCCTAGCCGCTTGAGCACTCGGATAGCAGGATAGCAAGAGATGTCGTTTCGTACATAGCCTTGTATCCTGGGTAGGAATATGTTTTGGTTGAGAGCTTTGAAAATCTTTCCTGGCGCGTGAGTGATGAGTGTTTCGATGAGTCGCGAACCAATCTGGTCGTAAATCATGCCATTGATAAATTCAGTAGCGGCAGAAGAACCGTCAGACAGTGACTTGGGAGCTCCAGGAAGAAGCTGCTGGAGAAGAGAAGGCGCAGAAGGCTCTTCCGCCTTGTCCTTCTCGCCCTTGGCCTCACCCTTGTTGAGCGTCAAGTCGAGTTCCAAGATGAGCTGGAGAATTGGGTTGCCAATGGGGTGTTTGGCCAAAACTTGGATTCCTGTGGCATCCATTCCAGAGACAGCGTCTTGCATGATCTTGTTGGCCGCCATGGTAAAAGATGCTGGTACAGCTCGTTTGCCATGATTCTGCGCATCCGCCGCCGATGATCCACTAACGGTAATCTTCTCCTTTCTCTTGCTCTTCAAGAGAGTACGCGATGACTGTTCTTCCAAGGGCATTCCGGACAGCACCAGCAGCAGCACCCGCAGCGTATGTGAAGCGAATCGGTCGGTGATGAGGTAGCCCAAGCTTCCCTCCAGCTCGTCCAGCGTAGCCAAAAACAGGCGCTCCATGGATGCTGCCGGTTGCTGTTCGTCGACATCTGCTCCCTTGGTGTCCATTACAAACTCTTCGAATCCAGCCAGCTCCTGCGTGACAACACCGGCAGAGCGAAGGAAGAGCGCCTCGCAGCAGTGACTGGCAAAGCGATGCTGCACAAGCGACAAGAAGTGGCCGCCGAATGCCTCGAACAATTGCTTCTTCTGAGCCGTATCAGCGAGCTGTATCAGACGCTCCATTAGGCGAGAGCAAGACTGGCTGCTGGCGATCTTGCACTCTTTGCCTTTTGCTTCGCGAAAGACGCTCTGCAGAAAGGTGTCTCGTTCCTCGGGGGTTGGGAATTGGTTCAGCTCAAGCATCTCGTCGGCGCGGCGAAAGTATTCTTGCTCATCGTCGGCAAGCATGCCAAAGAATTCCCTTTCGCCAGGACCGCCCTGGTGATGTGAGAATTCCTGATCGCCATTTTCGTACTCATTGCCGTTGTTGTATTCGTTGTCATTGTTGTACTCGTTGCCGTTGTACTCGTCATCTCGGCGCGGACGCTTCGCTCCTACGTCGAAATTCCCTTCCGCATCCTCGTATCTCTTGCGCTTCTCGCGGTCGCCACCTCGTTTTGTTCTCGGCTTCGGCATTGTGTTCTGGGCGATTGGTGGACTGACGCTTGGGTGAGCAATGAAGGCTCTTGGAACTTTTTTTTTTTCCTAGAGTGAAGATTATCAGCGATAAGATCTTATCGTTGCTAGCGTGCAGGTACCTCTAGTAGTCTCAAGTGCGCCTGTGGGGAGGCGCATTGGCGAATCGATCAATACATGTAGCTTGGGCCTACAATAGGATTATCGCATATTTATTTCAGAATAAAAAATGAAGTCAATGTTAGAGGAAGAAAAAAATTAGATGCAATCCTATTTATGTCTGTAAGAGTTTATAATGAGTTGTCTAGTCTATGTTACTCTGCCAAAGTTGCATCTAGTATGCAGAATTATGAAACAGACCAGCCGCCGGATATGGAATATTTGTTTGCCAAATGCCCATCTGTGTTTGTGCAACGTTCCGCATGCTTCTCACAAGGATATCTCTTGGCTCAGCTCGACCATGGCCTTTACGATACCCTCAACCGTTCCCTCCAAAGTCTGGACATTGACCACGACACGCAAGAAGCTGCCCTTGTCGCCGGGAGCGTAGTCGACCATGAATCCTCTGCCAATAAGCATATGTGCAATCCTCTGTGTTCTAGAGGTATTCACATTCTTGTCAGAGGACAATTTGCCTCCGGGAGCTGAGTAAAAGCAGACCTGAAGACACGGCGGAGGATATGATGAGACCATGACAAAGTCGCCGCTCTCCTCCAAGAGGCGGAACAGATAACTTGCCATGTCGAAAGCGTGGTCAACCTGGCGCTCGAATCCATTGGCGCCGTAATAAAGCCAGGCCAATGCAACCTTCAAAGCGTCTCCGCGGCGGCCGCACTGCAGAGACAAATCAGCCAGATCCCAGACTTCTTCGTCGTCGCCGCGGTGGAAGAGATATCCGGCAGCTGTGCTGTTTGCGCGTTGGAAAATCCGCATGTCCGGGCCCAGGAGCAACGAGCAGGTGCAGGGAGCGTTGAGCATCTTGTGCGGATTGACAGTTAGAGAGTCGGCCAGATGCGAGCCCTTCATCTTCCAGCTCTGCGCCTTTGAGAAGATGACGCTGCCGCCCCAGCTTGCGTCGATGTGCAGCCACATGCCAAACTCCTTGCAAACCTTGGAAATCTCTTCAAAGGGGTCGAAGGAGCCCATTACTGTAGTACCGGCTGTTGAGTTGACGTAGAATGGCGTCTTTCCTTGCTTCTTGGCCAGCAAAACCAGCTCTCGAAGGGCTTGTGGTCTCATGCTGCCCTCGTTATCCACAGGAACCGCCCATACAGCAGACGAACCCAGGCCGGTAATCATGGCGGCTTTTTCCACAGAGTAGTGGCCGTGTGCGCTTGTGAAGACGACAAAGTCTCGCTTGCCATTTCCTTTTGTTTTAGTTTCTGGATACAGCGTGTTCCGAGCCACAATTAGAGACGTGAGGTTCGATCCGCTGCCACCAGGACATGATATGCCACCGGCGTGTGGGCCATCGAAGTTGAATAGATTCGCAAAAGCTTTGGTAGTTGTCTTTTCGATAACAGTCAAGGCTGGTGAGACGTGGTAAACATGCACCTTGCGGATTGTTAGGTACCAAATCGAGACACAGAGCAGTCGTGGATTCTCACATTTGTGTTCAAAACGGACAGGATGAGATCTGCGATAACTCCCACCTACATCGTCCATATCGTCAGTTAAACTTCCCGCTCATAGCTACCTTATATACGAGAGTGCTCACCGGTGTGGTACTTGCGTATAGCTTGTCCATGAAACCTTGGTCCCACGTATTCACACTGTACTTGAGCAGCTTATCAATGCTCTGAAGGAGGCCATCTTTACCCAGGCCCTCTTCAGGGAGAAGGAATTTTAACCTGGCGACTAGCTCAGAAGGCTTTTGTGAGTCGATTAAAACATTTTGAGGTTCTCCGTTGGCATCCAGTCCCAGATTTCCTGAGGCTCTGTGGGCAGCAGCATCATCAGCAGCTTTGATAAAAGGAATGATGAGCTGCTGAACAGATTCTAAGAGCTATAAGATAACTTTTAGTTTCGACAATAGCAATTGGGAGGTGAAGGGTTCAAAGAGTCATCACATACATCGGCAGTTTCCGCAGCCCTGTTAAGCTGGGAGTCAGGTTTGCCGTTAGCAACATAACCATTGCTAATTGCGGGCATGACAGGCGATTTATAAGGCCAAAAAGAGGGAGGGGAAGCTAGATTTTTTCGAAAAAGATGTCTCAGAGAGAACCAAGCTAAGTGGAGGGGAAAAGCGTCGCCGTTCTTTATCGAATATCGCCCACTTCGTCTTGCTGACAAGTGGGATGAAAATTGAGTCAAGGGGAAATGGCCCGACGCAAATTCTAGGAGTTTACAGAACAACTCAAAAACCTCGAACCTCGGTCAAGCGTAGTTTGCAAAAACTGTTTTTTCTAAGCACTAGAAAGGGGAAAAAATAGTCAACCGAGCCTTTGCCGCGTCAATTGCCAAATACACGGCGCCCCCGGGCAATATGAGGCGCGCCATGGAAAGTTTGGCTCAGCGACAGATTATCAAATTGCGCCATTAATCGGCCTTCTGTCGTTTTTTTCCTCAACTCTCTCACTTCGGCCTGTCGGGCTTGCGGGCTCTTGGCTGAGCGGATGAATTTGAGATCCATGGCTTTGGCGGTTAAATAGCACTAACGTCCTAGCACTATTCGATGGTCATGAAAGCGATGCTCCGATGTAAAAGCACTGAGACTTCCATGCTAATAGTGGGTCGTCCAGAGCAAAGACAAGTCGGTCTTTGATTCTTTGACAGCGGCGGCTGGCTTGAGTGTCACCAGAGTGGATTCGCCAAGTATTTTCTCCGAATCCGGGGCGTTATGCTCTCTATTACTACCACTCTAAGATACAGGGCTGGTTACACAAAGCCCTTTTCAGCCTCAAGAAGCAGGCAGCCAGTGATTTTGCCCAGTCACTCCTATCATCAACGCTGTGGCTAGTGAAGGCTGCGCCATACCAACAAAGCAAATTATGACAATAGGATGGATAAACTGTTGCCATTGCGGTACTTTATGACTTCCAACTACATGTAGTGGTTGCCCACTTGAAGCTGCCCTATCCTACTCTGAGAGCTCGCTCCTGTGACTTGCAAGCTTTCTCACTTCGCAACCCAAAAAGGTATTTCTTTCACATCACATCACATCACAAGGTCCACGTGCGGCTCCGTCGATCAACTTCCTATAATTGGAGCTGGAGGCTACCGCCGAGTCTGTGTGTACCTCGTCGCACGGGCTGTCAGGAAGCGGGTTATGCCAGGGGACGGCCACATGGGAATGCTGGTTGTATCCAGCAACTTCCGGTGACCGTTATCTTCCAGGGGACGATAACCCAGGGTATGTATGGGTGTATGTACGAAGTGCCGTGGTAACGAACCTATTGGCAAACAAAGCGCTTTGGATTTATACCAGCATTACTTGTTGCCCAGAATAATGGTAATGGGTACAGCTCGGATTGAGAGCCTGCTCACAGAAGTCTGCTTGCAGGTTGTTAGATACCACGAATACATGCCTCTTGCAGAGAGGACATTAGTGAAGCTTAATGGCCAATTTTCCAATCTCTGTTGAAATTTTACATGCTTTTTGAAATATACCAGACCAACCAGTGCCAATCTACATGTACTGTACATAGTATGTAAGTCATGCGACTATCAAAATCCTTGAACCCACTTCCAGACATCAGCTATAGATGCCTCACTTGGAAGCGCAAAGGCAACAACGAGGCATAGGGATAGGCTTGCATGAAATTGGGCGCATTGATCTCGGGATTTGGTGCGTCATCCTGCATGATCATGATCTCATCACATCTTCTAGCACTACGAACTACGAACAATCTAGCCATTGTATCGCAACTCGCATATGAAGTATGTTTACAGGGTAAGAAGTTGACTGCACCTGGAATCGTACGATTGCAACCTACAAATTCTATGTGATTCCAAAAAACCACGCTGAAACTTTCCATCGCTGTCATTAATATCGCCGATATTGTTTCGTGACAGCAAGTCAGTCCGTCCTTGGCAGTGTGTTTGCATGTGAATCTGGGCTCGTCATTAGCCAAGAAGCGTGGCAAAAGGCAGATTCACTACCACGCCATACAAGCTTTTCGCAAGTGCACAGACGCCGAGTCGACTCAGGCTGCGGGTACCTCAGTTGATAATGCAGCCGACGTGCATCCATCACATTGCTTTCATCTACATGGAGGTCGGAATCACAATCGCCCGAGACGGCACCGCAGCAGCTGAATATCCACCAGACACCGCTATAATGGCACTCTTTCTCTTCGACCAAGACACGGCACAAATATTCTACATGCAGCCTTTCGACAACCTTGAGTGCACACCTTACCTCTACCTACAGTATCGCCATAAATCCAGAGTCCCTTTCTCGACATATCATATCCCTACGGCAGTGCCGCCGCCCTGAATTCATCATCGTGCTGCATTCATATCCCATCTCCATCCACCACCTCCAGACCCCTACTAGACTCCCCCGTTAAGGTTCGCGCGCATCCAGCGGCGGGGGGGTCGCCAATGGCATGGAGGCCACCTGCGCTTGGCCCAATGAAGCCCGTCCTATCGGCGACGAGCGAAATTGCATCCGGGCTGCTGGGATCCAGGCGTCAGTGGTGGATGATCCCTGGCCTGGGCCTGCATTGCGTCCTGCACTGCATCCCATCCCTCTGCTCGTCTCCTGCAGGTCCCGCTCGGTAATATGAGCAAGAGACAAAAGAGAGGAGAAGTTGAGATTGCGAGACGAAGATGGAGAAAGAGAGAGAAAGAGAGAGAGAGAGATGGGTTTTCTCCTCCTCTTATCTGGAGAACTACATACCTCTTGATGCCATCGCCTACCAAGACAGATATTGACGGCTTCGGCTTCTCCTGCCACGACCAACCCCCCCCCCCTGACGTCCACCCCAGACTTCAGCTGGCTTCTGGCTGTACTACGCATCATGGCTTGCACCAGAGAAATATCCATCACTTTTTTTTATTTTTTTTAGCATCATCACCGTGATCCCGGCCCTCTCCCCTGACTGACTGGTCAAATTCCACAACCTCCAACTCTGGAAATTTCGCCTCCACAACAAGCCCAATGCGCTCGTGATCCCTACCTCTCTCCTCTCCTCTATCGCATCCGCCCTCCACTTTAAACCAAATTTGCCCTGCTTACTAGCCGTTCTGCTCGGCCGATGTTGCTCTTTCTTCAATATCCTCATTCTGCTGCTTCTGCCGGCCGACCAAATTTATTTTACACTAGTGTGGCCACCCCTGGTCCTCTCCAGGTTGCCCAAATCCCGCGATAGGTTGGTTGGCTGGCTGGCTGTGGGTGTGGCCCTTTATTTCAGTTCCTTTTTTTTTGTTTCTCCAGACTGGTTGTTGCCAACTGCTCTTTGCCTTGATCCATGGACGTGGTCTTGGTGGTCGCGTAATACTATACACACCCATTTGCTCGTGTTGGCGCAAAGTATCTTTTGCTGCTAGTAATTTTCTCTCTCTTAATCTTTCTCTTCTTTTCTCGCTTCACTCCATCTTTTGTCTTACAAATGGTATTGCCTGCCGATCGTATCTGAGGGCTTTTCGTTCTTTTCTTTTCCTATAATCTATTAATTTCTCTTCTTTGCGTTTTATACCCGTTTTGAGCAAGCGAGCGAGTTGCGTAAGCGGAGACTTTCAACGATTTGCTGCTTGCTGCGTATTATTACCTATTTCAAGTTTCTGCATCGCGAGTCCAACATACATCTGACCGGCATACTGGCATAACACGCACCTTGTGTATAGCCAGCCCACTCACTCGATTCAAAAACCCGAGGGCGTGCTTGATATAGTCGAGCCGAGGATCAACACCGTTTGTCTCGATAGACCAGTCCAATTCAAGCAAAAAAAGACATATCGTCTTTCTTTGTTCTTTGTTGGCGCAAAGAGACACCGCATAACTGTATCACCCACCATGACAGCGCAAGAGCAAGCCCCCGTGCCCATCTCCATCACCATCTGCGGCGATGGAGGCTGCGGCAAGTCGTCCATCACGCTGCGCCTCGTCCGCTCGGCATGGACGTCCGACTACGACCCGACCATCGAGGACAACTACAGCGTCACGCGCGTCATCGACGGCGTCACCTACCACCTGTGCCTCACAGACACCGCCGGCCAGGAGGAGTACCGTGGCATGTGGGCGTCGTCCAACCTCGGCGCCGACGCCTTCCTCATGGTCTACGACATCACCTCGCGTGACTCGCTCGACGCCCTGCAGCACTTTGATGAGCTCATCAGCATGGAGTCCGAGGTGCGCCTCGACAACGCTGACCGCGCGCGCATCGCCGGCATCAGCCCAGCCTACACCGGCTCCGGCGCCGGCTCCAGGACCGTCCAGCCCGTCAAGATTGTGGCCGGCAACAAGTGCGACCTGCAGGACAAGAGGACGGTGCCCGCGGCCACGGGGCTCGAGTGGTCGCGCTCTCGCGGCTGCGGCTTCATGGAAACGAGCGCCCGCCTCGAGGTCAACATTGAGGAGACGTTTGCGCTCATTGTGAAGCGCGTGGTCGAGGCCCGGAAGCTTGCCGAGGAGGGCGGCGACGGCGCCGATATGAGCGCGCGGGGCATGACGAAGCCGTTGACGCCTTTGCCTGGCTCGGGGGGTGATGGCGATGAGAAGCGCGGTCCTGGGGTTCGGGGCCCCATATTGAATGGGGACAAGGTCGGGCGTGGGCAAGGTGGCTTTTGGAAGAAGCTGCGGTGCTGGTGATGATGATGATAAATATGATGTTGAGGGAGGGGGTTGATACGGAGAAGGACGAAAAGATATATGCCTGTTGATGTTTTGTATACTTACTCTCTTGTTTGCACATTTTGGATCACTGTTTGCTTATTTGATTGTTGTTTGTTCATATATACCATGGATGCGTATGGGGCGTCAAGGACGAAGTGCTAATGATATGGGAAAAGAAGAAGAGAAAAAACGGCGTCTTGAGCATAGCAGATAGTGTAGAAATGGTGGACATAGCCAGTACATCTTTTTTATAATCCATTGAATGCGCCATATATATGGCGTTTGTCGTGTCTCAACACAGATGAAGCTTCCGCTTGAATCGTAAACTGGGCCTCTCGCATAGATCACGGAGTGAAGAGTCTTTGGGCTCTTGGACTTTTGATCAAATTAGCAGGTGAGAAAGAAGTTGATTTTAACATGTTGTCATTAATTGCAAGACAAGATTTATGAATAAAGAAGAAGTTAAAAAAAAAAAATAAAAAAAAAATCATGAGCTGAGAAATCGTCTCTGCCACTCTTCCTTGTATAACACAACGTCTATAAGCGTCGCAAGTGTTGTAGTATATCATTACCATCCCTTGATAGAACCTCGAAATATTACGTGTACCCATTTGAAAACCCAAAAATTGACCCTCTGTGTCTATTAAACGCCCTGCCGAGCTACATCGTCGTCGTCGATGAGCCCGCTCATTACTGCTTGCTTTCGACCCAGTCTCTCCACTTCTTGTACTCTGGATAGTCGACGCTGATTTTCTTGCCCTGGTAGCGAGTTACTTTGATGTCCAAGTCCTGCCACTTGGATCGACTGCCCATCCAGCCTGCCTTGCGGATCAAGCTGAAGAGAGCCTCGTCCTTGGTCCATCCCTGCTCTAGTGCCACGTCGGGAAGATACGTTGCACCGTAGCGGCGGCCGCGATCTGAAAACGAAATTCGGATACCGTGAGTTCCAACCACCCAGTCGTGCATGTCATCTGCCTCTTCAAAGTCTGTGAGAAGCGTTACGGCTGCCTGAAGCGAGGGCAGTTCGCGCTTGGATATGGGGCGGAAGCGTGTGTCTTGCAGAGCGGAAATGAGGGCATATTCGCTAATTCCTTCCGTCAGAGGCTGAGACTCAAAGGTGCCGATGCAGCCGCGGAGGGAGACGTCCTGGTCGTCTGGATCGACGGTATTCCAGGTGATGAAGAGGGGAGCTGCCGTTGGCGGAGCATCAGGAAGGGAGGAGGTGGATGTTGCAGGCGTTGAATCTCCTCCTGTTGCCGAGAGTGACGTTGACGATGAGGAAGACGAAGACGATGAGGAAGCGGCGTCAGCAGCGAGACGGCGGAGAGCCGGATTCAAGGGAGCGTCGGCGGAGGTAGACCTGCTGGCTTTGTACGCAGCCCAAGAGGACTGGATTTGTTCAAGGGAGAGAGGTTTGCGGTTATTGAGTTCGGCATCAAGAGCCTCGAAGCATACGATACAATGTTCGGCGGTGGCCATGCTGCGGCTGGAGCGAGGAGACACGGAGAAGAAGAAATAGAGGGAGAGCGGAGAAGAGAGAAAATCAGTACACGCAAAGAACGTCACGAAGGAACGAAGGATGAAGAAGATGTGAGTCTTTGCCTGCTGCCAGAAGCCGCGAGGATCAGAAGAGGCGGGGAACCGCGTGAAGATGGAACCGAGGAGGACTAGAAGCACGGAGGAAAAGCCAAAAATCCAACCACGATGGTCGAGAGGCAGTGGCAAAGCCAACGATGGATGTGGAGGCAAGGCGAAGAAAAAGGTGGAAGCACATGCAAAAAGCAAGAAAAGAGGAACAAGGAAACCCGAGCGTGAGTCGTGATTCATCAGCGCAGTGACGCTCTTCTCGGGCAGCACCGCAACAAATTCCCTCTCTCCCCCTCCCCACCGGGGATACCCCGCGATGCTCGGGTCAAAAGTGGCTGGGGCTGCAAGAGAGAGAAAAAAAGAGGCTGAAGGAATGGAGTTTGACTTTTCGGAGACTTGCAGGAAACGGGAATTTTTCTTATTCATTCTGGGCAATGACGAAATGAACTCGAGCATTGACCCAGGTTTTAGCCACTGAGGCTTGGGAACAAAAAAGGAACAATTAGTGAGTGAGCGTGTGGCGCATGCAAGCGTCCCGGTTTAGAAGGATTGGGTACGTTCTGGGAGTTGCTGCGGGGAGAAGGTTGCTCCGTGCTTGGGTAGAATGTATAGTACGTACCTCGGTTTCTGTTTCGGCTTGCGTTTCAACAGACTCGTGGCAAAGAGAGGCGCATCAAACGCTGGTGCTGTCAGGAGTGCGTCTGCAGGAGCCGGCTCTTATTGCCGTGGCTGTGCTCAATGTGCTGTAATCTCAGCACCCATGCTCCACTGAACCATGTCGCTACAGCGGTTCGTGGGCTGTGGGGACGCCGTTTTTGCAACATGAAAGCTTGGAAGCCCGTACAATCTAGATGGACTCTTGGCGCTTGCAAATGCTGTTACTTGGAGATCTGAATAGGAATATCTTGGGGAATAATAATATATGTTTGTAGTATGTTATCATTTGTTTTAATTTTTTTTTTAAACTGCGAGCTGCGCTCTTTAATAGGCTATGGATGAAACCTCCACTGCCAAAACCTGGTAGCACCGCTGCTGACAACGGCCACTTACACTTACACCCATGATATACGACTAGACGCTTATTCACGTCTCAAATTCGTCGTTGCGCATCAGTCACGTACAGGTAATGCTACGCTCTGCCAATTCTCGTCTTTCCAAATCCATCAATTTGTATAGCCAAAACATCAAATACGCGCCGCGCTCGATCGTTTCTCTCTAAACCTGGCCGGGCCCGGATAAGGGAAATCCTGAAGCACGCCTGCGTTTCAGGTCCCTTATCCCCTCCCCTTTCTCCGTGACGGTCCTTTCTTTTTGTGCACTGATTGAAACAAATTGGGGCCAGCGCATTGCCTTTTTAGGAGGAATCCGTGAAACCGAATATGGGGATTCAAGGGAGCTCTCCAATGCTTTGAACGCTGTCTGCTAGGTATAGATTAGACGGGGGGCCAGCCGTTGCAAGGATACTGGCTCGAGGTTCCTGTAATCAGTGCCTTTTCGTTTCGGCGCCTCGCCTCGCCGTGTTTGAGATGATTCCGGCTTGCCGATGACAGCGAAATAGTGTGTTTGACAATTGATGGGCTTGTAGCAGACGGACATACATATATGGCTGGTTTTCCCTCCTCTCTTGGATTTCTTCTTTTTTTCCCTTCTTCATTCCTTTCAAGCATCCTTCATCCACCCTTTCGTGTTACTTTTTTCTTGGTTCTATCTTCTTGACTCTTGTCGCCGGTCGACTTTTTCAATCGCTTCTTTCATCTTTCGATTTTCTCTTTTTTCCACGTCAACAACCAAAACATTTTATATACCCCACCACCAAATTCAAAATGCAGTTCTCCGTCATGACCATTCTTACTCTGGCCGCCGTCGCCATCGCCAGCCCCACAGGTACGTTTCCCTCTTCCCAAATCTGGGGAATTTTCTTGAATACAGAATCAAACCAAGCATCAATAAACTAACTCCTATATAAAGGCTTTGCCAAGCGTCAGGATATTGGTGCCGATATCCCTGCCAGCACTCCTGCCATGTCAGATTCCCAGGGCAACGTCGTGCCCTTCAGCTCCAAGGACGTCCACCTGGGCGCCATCAAGCGAGGAGTCTACATCAAGAGGAGCTTCTAAAGAGGGATATGGAACTGAATTTGGAGTAATGGGATAAATAATCTATTTAAAGAGAAAGGAAAGAGGAAATGTGCAAGGAGAGCCAATTGAATGTGCACTGAGGGGGGGGATGAGTAGTTATTCGCAGGGTGTGACAATATTTCAATACAGCGGCTCGTCTCACTTGAGATGGGTTGTTCTTTTTTCTAAACAATTTCTGGAACAGCCATTTGTGATTCCCTGTTCCACGTAGCTGGAGATGAGCAGGAAGTAGTAGTACTACATGTAAATATGGCCAAGTGAATGCGGCGACCGCCTTACCTAGAAAGGGGGCTGGGGAAACAATAAGCAGCATGCATGTGAATTTGAGCCGCATCGCTTGTCGCTGCTACTGTAACACCCGAATGCCGCCTCCAATTTAAAGGTCTTACCGCGTCCTGGGTTTTGTTGCTCCTACCAACAACATCGAGGCTCCCGGGGTAGCATTGGGTGATTAGTATCGTCGATCAAGCGGGAAGAAGACGAGAGAAGATTGAATCGACGTGGAAGCCAACAAGATGCCAGCACCGCGGCCATGGGATTGTGGCTGAGCAGCGACAAATTATCCTTGCGCCAGACTTCCAATATTGAGTCTTACGGGGGCAGTTTCTTTCCAGGGACTAGCCTCGTAGAAGACGCCGCAAGCGCGCTTACACGAACCATACATGGACTCACCTTGCACACCGCGACTTGCAGATTCTATGTTTAGTACCTAATAGTATAGACAAAAGGAGACAATGAGCCACTACTGGTCTACGTGCTTCAGCGTCCAAACGACGAACTTGGCGGAGACTAGAGGAGTCGTATGGGCGTCTGTGTACAAAGCTTTGCACCGCCACGTTTGCTCAAGCAAGAAAGCTATTATCGGCAGCTTTTAATATAATGAAATCTTGGCTCTCTTTCTTGGATTTGTATGAACTACAGCGATTGAGTGTACCAAGGAACATCCCGACGGTGCATTATTGATAGCCTGAACTCATTAGTTGTACAGACAGCAGAATCGTCCGTTTTTGTAAGCTATTGCAGCAGCCTATCTGTTTGTGGCACGCACCTCTCTCTATGCCGCTGCAATAGCATTTGCAGTACCGCCCAGACCTGCTTGTCTAGTCGTAGCATAACGACCGACTCCGGAACAATAACTGATAGACACACGTGAGATGCGCTGGCCCAGAAACTGGGCAACGTTCAAGCTCCTTTCGGCTTTCGGTGCTCATGGCCCAATCAAGACGCAGTCGTGAGCTGAGCGACTCCACCCTTTCCACCTTTGGGTGCCCAAAAATAGTAGCCCTACCATCCATCATTCTATACTCGATACGTGTAGTGGTCTGCCATTTTCGCATTCCCGGAGCCATGTGGCGGGTTCGATCTGGCAAAACGGCCTGCTGGGGCTCCGCTTGTTCGACTCTGCAAGCCCGCGGCATCTTAAATGCTGACATGCGTGAAATTGGATCCCAGGACGAGCTTAGACACGACAAAACACCTTGCTCGACTGATGGGACCAAAAGCGGAACAATGGGGGGGTCTTCGGGCTCCTGCTTCGAAATACACACATTACGCTGCTGGGTATTCTCTATTAGTAGTACGGCCACTAAGGGTACACGATCGCACCAGTAGCTTTCTTGCAAGGGCAAAAATAGCAATCTCACGCCTCTTCTCCCCTTCTTTGGTGAGCCAACGGGAGCTTGGGGAGGTAGGAGACCGCTTACTGATATGCCTGGCCACTTCTATGGCGTGATGTCTTCTGAGCCGCTGTGAGGGAGACTACATGCTCTATAAGGGAAACGAGAGAGGAGAAAAGCCTTCAAGCGAGAGCAGAAAAGGCGCGGTCTGTCGATCTACGTGGAATGGGCTCGGGCTTTCATGCAGCTAAGCTGTTTGCTGTGTTGGGCTGAGGCCCATTGAGCTACTAGTGACACGGCGTATGCACATAGGGCTGCGTTATTTCATTCGCCGTGGTGGACAAGTTGCATCCTTCGTGTGTCTCCAATAGAGAGAACAGCAAAGCTCAGCTCCTGGTTCAGCCGCAATAAGCCCCAACCACCCCCCCGCGCGTCTACAAGCCCACATTATAGGCTGCCTACATGGCTAGGACCAGCAGTCAACTGGGACTACCCAGTAGTTTCCCCTTGGGCAGTCCTTCCCTTGCTTCGTGAGACGGGCGGTGGCTCAGTTGTCAGTTTCTGTTCCCGATGGGATGAGGCTTGCTTTCGTGGGCGGCTCGGCTAGACCCAAGTCTAGCGGATTCCAACAAGCGGTGGGGGAGTGTCTAATGAGAGTTAGAAAAGCCGGGGCTGCAGGGCAGACTGGATGAGGCTTAAGAGCCATCAAATCAATAAATAGGAAAAAAAGAAAATAAATAAACCGGTGGCAGTCCGCCTCTATGCATGAGGCATGGACGGAGGGGAGACCCAAAGGCGCCTAACCAACCGGTGGTACATGCCCTAGCCAGCAGCCATACATACTTACCTTTCGACCAAACCATTCATACAGTACACTTCAAGACAAAGGGCATGCAGACTATCGTCGAGTCTAGATAGATAGCAGCCTGTCTCGATTCTTCTTCTGCTTCCCTGTGGACATCCTCCGATAAGAGGAAAGCTATAACCTGCACGTCATACACCATGGCCAACCCAAAAGCACATGCACAGTTCGGTCGTGCAAAATGGCGATTGTTTATTCTTGCCCCAGCTTGGTCATTGCAGCTGACTCTGGCGCTTGGCATGCTGGGACTATTTTCCTGGAGGCTTGGAGATACTGTCCATCACTTCGATGAGAGGGACAAGGCGGGCAAAGCCCCCATCATTGAATATGTGTAAGTGTTGTCGACGTCTCTTGGTTGGGCGTTGGACATGGATATTAACAAACTCGAAGCTGGGAAGCCACCAACATCGCAATGTCATTCGTCGTGGCGCTCTGCACAATCTTCGAAATCGGCAGATACTTTTCCGAGTCGTTGACCCCATGGACCATGCTGTTTACTCACGTCGTCAAGCTGGCCTGTGCATCTGCCATTCTCGCCTTGGATGTTGTCGTATATGTGCAGCGAGACGACTCCCATTATTCTCTCATCGGCCTCGGCATGGACGGCCTGTTGATGTAAGCGACTTCTTGTGCAGCAGGTGGCGATGACCTTCCAAAGCTAACACGAATAGGCTCACTGCTATTTCGCTCGCCATTTATGCTATCCTTGCGTACCGTCGACTGTCCAAATATGACGAATACTCCAGCCCAGTCGATGCCAAGACATATCTCTTCAATGACGACATGGATACTTCATATTCGAATGCTTCCTACTCGAGCCGACCTGGAGATCAAGGTTCGGTGGGCAAACGAGAATCGCTGGGATCGTCACGCCTCAGCGTCGGATCTGTCACAAACCCAACCATCCTTGAGCCAGTTGAGCAACGGCCAAGACGTTATAGCCACGAGCGAGACACGCAGTTCGATGAATATGTCAGTCGCAGAGCCTCTGGAGGCTACAAACCCAGCTCAGCCCCATCCAGCCCTCCCATTGTGATTACTTTGGACGATTCATTGGCTTCTCTGGGCACTGTTCATTCTCGATCAAGAGGGTCGAGTGTGTCACAGCTCACCACCAGTGACCACGTCTTGGTCTCGGTGCCGGAAGAAGAGGGCGAGGCATCACCAAGCCATCACAAGCCCAGTCAACAGGTGGGACTTGCGAGGTGATGACTGTGGAGCGTCTCAGATCACTGAGAGCCGCGACTTTTATGGCCGAAACAAGCAAAATGCGATGCTTGCATTAAGAGTAACGATGGAGATGGAAGATACCCAAGTAAAGAGTCAAGGAGGGAATACTGGCCCCTTGAAAAATGATGTTGTGGCATGGTCTGGCGTTTCTGGATGAGAGGAGAATTACATATGAGGGGTTTGCTCCTACGAGTTTAGTAGAGCAATCAGTTGAATGCAAGGATATATAGAGCACGGGGAAAATACGCTTGCGTCTAGGTTTTCGCAGCAGTATCATCCCTGTAAATAGAAGGAATTCTGACTCTTCAACATATAGACCAGCTTTTTGTCAATAGTAATGGAGAAGAGAACAAATCAAATACACGGTGCAAGCACGTTCGTTCGTTTACAAGATAAGCGCCGTAGCAGCTGAAGCGCTACAGCTAAGAGGAAAAACCCACTTGCGATCTTCAAATGATGCGCCGTACTCATTGGGCTGGAACTCGAGTCACGTGAATGCCAGCGATCACCTTCAAAAGACACCGCATCGGCGGTTCCTCATTGGCGACGACTGGCTGTGTCTGTGATTTCATGATAGTCGTTTTTAAGATTTGATTCTGTTTGACTTGAGAGCAAATCCTGGGAGGATTTTTATTCGTTACTTTTGCAGGCAGCTGCCCAAAGGCCGCACTATCAAACGCCAGTCAGGGAAAATTCCCACTCCAAAAGGACGGCTAAACCACCATCCCACCTTCGCCCAGACCGCCTAGGTAGATCCTCGAAAACGCGCCCAACCAATTCATGTCGAGCGTCGAGAGTGGCTTCGAGCCCATTGTCTAGAGCTGCGCAAGGCTGACGCGTGGCCAGAGGCGCAACCCCCCAAACACCGTCAACATGAGTCGAACGCTGCCTGTCCGGCAGGCCGAGGAGCTGTAGGTATATGGGCCACTGTTTACAAGGGTTTTTTTTTTTTTGTTTGGTGGCGGGCGGAGGGGTAGAGAGAGAGAGGACGATGGAGGGTTTTTTGAACCGCCAGACATGATATATTTTCTTTCCCAAGCTTGTATTTTCTCTGCTAACCATACGGATCCCTATTCGCTACTAGGCACAAATCCATCATTGCGTATCTCTCGGCCAACAACCTCCAGAATACCGCCTCGGTGCTCAGGGAGGAGCTGAGCCTCGGCGAAGACGTGTTCGATGCGACGACGACAAAGAAATATGAGACTCTACTAGAGAAGAAGTGGACGAGTATTGTCCGGCTACAGAAAAAGGCATGTCCGTTCACCCTGGCTGCCCAGCGCGCTTACCCGACGGCTGTCTAACAGGCGTTGCGACCCCCAGATTATGGACCTCGAGACTCGAAACGCCGAGCTGCAGTCAGAGGTTGACAACGCGACCCCGTCGTCGCTCGCACAGAAGAACAAGGACCCCGTGTCCTGGCTCCCGAAAGCCCCCTCACGGCATACCCTCGAATCACACCGGGCGTCCGTCACCTGCGTCGCCTTCCACCCGAGGTTTACGTCCCTGGCCTCGGGCTCCGAGGACTGCACGATCAAGGTATGGGATTGGGAACTTGGCGACCTAGAACAGACGATCAAGGGGCACACAAGGCCGGTGCTCGATCTCGACTACGGCGGTCCAAAGACGGGTATTCTGTTGGCTTCATGCAGCTCCGACACGACGATTAAGCTATGGGATCCAGCAGATGGATATAAAAACATACGAACGCTCTCCGGCCACGAACACAGTGTCAGCGCAGTACGATTTATTCCCTCTGGAGGCACCGGGTTCTTCTCCTCCGGAAACATGCTGGTCAGCGGATGTGGTGACAAGACACTCAAGATTTGGGACGCCAACACGGGATACTGCGTCAAGACGCTAAACGGCCACGCAGGCTGGGTTCGAGATGTCTGCCCGTCCCTCGACGGAAACTACCTCTTATCTACAGGCGGAGACCACACCGGAAGGCTATGGGAACTCACAGTCGCGAACCCGGAAACAAAGGTCACCTTAATAGGCCACGAGCACGTCGTCGGCTGCTGCGCGTTCGCCCCTCCCGCCGCATACGAGCACCTGGCTGCTCTAGCAGGCCTCAAGAAGCCTCCTCCCGTGACCAGCACAGCAGAATTCATGGCGACCGGGTCGCGCGACAAGACGATCAAGCTATGGGATACCCGTGGCAACTGCATCAAGACTCTCGTCGGTCACGACAACTGGGTTTCGGGCGTCATGTTCCATCCGGGAGGCAAGTACCTGCTCTCCGTGGCGGATGACAAATCGCTGCGATGCTGGGACCTCAGCCAAGACGGCAAATGCGTACGGACGCTGTCGAGCGCCCACGAACATTTTATATCTTCCCTCAGGTGGGCTCCGGCCAAGCCCAAAGATGGTCCCACGGGCAACGGCACGGCGCACAACGAAAGCGAGGCCGCGCCTAGGAGGGCGGTCGCTGCAGTAGATGTATCAGAGATTCGCTGTGTCATTGCGACGGGCAGCGTTGACATGACGGTCAAGATATGGGCGAACTAGGAGGTAGAGAGGAGAAAAGGGGGAAGTGTAGCCCAAAAGTTGAAGTCATTTTAAAAAAAAAGTGATGGAAATGGGCTTGAAATGACGTCTTCGAATACACGCAAACACACAAACAAACATAAATACGCACAATGGGGTGGTAAGGGAGGTAGAGCGGAATGGAGGCGGACAGCTGAAATACCGCTCATCTATACGGAGCACTGTGTTATATAATTGATGAAGTTGGCTAGCTGAGCGTGAGACTGGTTTTTTTTTTTCCATTTATTTATTTATTTGAGATGAGTGGGCATAGAAGAGGAAGAAGAGAACGGGAGAAGAGAAGGTGTTGATGAGTGAGTTGAAAGGGGCAAGAAGGGGAGAGAAAGTTCATAGGAGTGAGAGGGGGCTAAAGAAAATCCATTCAAGTTCATTGCAAGTTACCTACTACTATTTCAAGTAATCTGTTTTATTTCCTGTTTTTTTCATCCCTTTCCCCTGTTTCTATACCTGCCGCCTCTAATTTGTGGCTTTCTACTAGTATTAAGACATGGATTCTGGCTAGCTGTGGGTGAAATGTCCCAGTAGGATTAGACGCCTGGTCAGGGGAAGCTGCATCTCAGCCGCTTGCGGCTCGCAACATTACCAGAGCACTACTACTATTTGGTAGTAGCTGTCTAGATTTGCATGGTTTCAATCGGCTGTCGTCGTTGAAATCGGCAATCGGCAGTCAATGAGACCGTTGAAGCACGATCTGCGAAAAACAATTTGGGTTGCCGTTGAAATTACGGATAGTAAGGAGTAGGTACTACGAGTACTGGCTGGTCTCGGGTATGCAAGAAGTGCCCAGCAAACCTGTGGCTAACGTGGTGGTGACTAATGTGTATACATCTATTTTGAAGGTAATATGAATAGAGAGATTATCCAACTATAAATTATGATCAAATATAGAACCTCGAATATTGTCATGTGTTATTAGTGAATGCGCTTTTATTGCAGGCGGGCAATCCAGCTCTGAATCTTCTGTTGGATCTGGTCGCTGTTCTTCTCCATGAAGAACATATGGCCATTCCCGTGGATGCCTGCCTTTGGCAGTTCGAGGTGAATTGTTTGATTACAGCCCGCTTGTTTAAGGTAGCTGACCGTGCAGTAATCATAGGGCACATGATACGACGCCTCAGAAGTAACCAAAAGGATGGGCTTGCTGGCCAGATTCGTGAGCTTTCGTGGCGGGGGACTAGGAGCCTGGAGTATACATTGGGTATGGTTCTTGTCAGGCGCAGGATATGTCTTCTGCACGAGATCCACCGCGGGAACCTTAACAGGGGGAGTGTAGGTGAGCGGAATGTCAGCTAATCCCCAAGCACGAGCGGGAGCGGTGCTGAAGATGGCTTCCTGGAAGGGAGGTCCAGTAGGTTCCAAGAGGATGAGAGCCTTTGTAAATTTCGGACGAGCATCGGCGATGACAATGGGCATTAAGCCGCCCTGGCTATGCCCAACAAGAATCACAGGCTTCCCAATCCTGTCCAGCAGCGCCGCACCAGCATTCTGAACAGTAAGCTGCTGATATGCGGCGTTGTTAATAAACTGGACGTTGGAGCTGTAGAAGGTATCAAAGATGGCATCGCCCATGGAGCCATTGCCTGGCCACTGCGTATGAAGGACAGCCTGTGGCCATAGATTGTAATTCTGAGGGGCGGTGAAGCGCTGCTCAATAATCTCGGCGGAATAAGTCGACGGCTCAGCCACCATGTAAGCAGGCTGCCATGGGGAGCGTGCTCGAAGCGTCTGGTCCACGAGGTATATCTCGTAACCTTGGTCCAGGAACTGAGAGGCCCAGCCACGGCCACCATCAGGCTTGTTCAAGAAGTTCTAGACGAAAATAGGCGAAACATCTATTAGCGAGTATCTCTGTGGGGTTAATCTTGAGATAGTATGCAATAGCTGGCATGTCGCGGCTTGATCCGCGTATTTTGCCTTTAGCTCAAGGAGTACAATCGACGGTATTTCAGTCACAAGCAGGAGATGATGGAATAAGATTACAGACACGCGTGCAGACTGGTATGAATGATGTGAGGAGATTCGAAAGTAAACGGACTCACAGTTCCAGTCTGGGCTTGGCCATGGATGAAGACGATTGGGTTAGACTGAGTAACCCCTTTGGCCGGCTGCAGCCTCTCGACATACATCTGCTCGCGAAAGATGTGACCTCCGGCGCCATCATCTGCATAGCCGCCACCGGCATAGAAAAAGGAGCGAATCGCAGCGACCTCTGAAGACGCCGCTGACACGCTGCTGGGACCATTTGCATAAGCAGAACCAGAAATGGCTGCCAAGAGGGTAGCAGTGGCGATGAGCCGCATGGTGACACAGTGATACAGAACTTGGAGAGCTCCAATTGGGATGAAACCAAGCCAAATCTGCCGGTGCGAATCAGAAGAAAGGCGAGAGCCGGGCCTCGTTGCTGTGGATGTTGAGTCGAGGTACAGATCAGGTACACAGCGATAAAGGAGACAGGCCACCACGAGCGATGGTAGTAGGATATGTCAAGCGGTATTGCTTGGCGTTTCGTCCTTGTCTCTTTGATGCAATCGTATACAATAGTCTGGGATTTCCACGTGGAGGGCGCGAGTGTGGCAACTTGGGCCGTGCAGGAGAAGGAAGGAAGCGAGGTATCTGCTGCAACCAAGATGAAGGAAGGAGAGCTGCATCCGCGTGGGGATCGCTGCCTCCTGCGCCTCGCTCTTTCCTTCCTGGCATGGGGACTTTCGCTCATAAGATGGGCGGGCCCTTCCAGTTGCGTCTCAGAGCTGAGCAGGTGCTGGGCAGGGTTTAGGCGAGCTTTCCCAAACGGGCCATGTCAAGAGCATGGTTGGTGGATGTGATTCTGCACTATGCCGGTTCAGAAGTTGGATTCCAGTTACAAGTACTCCAGTTCTAGATTCTACACCAATAGCCCTGCCAGCATTGTATTTCGAATTAAAATTTCGATGCCTGCACAGGAGACGATACACGACGCATTTGGCAGGCACTATAATAGCTGTCACCCCTTTCCTACTCTTCAACACGCTCAATACGCTTTATCCTCAAGTGTGTCTCATCACAATCGGCATATACCTCGGCAAGACTTTTATCTGCGGCGGTACTTGTGCGTGCTCGTGGACTCCAAAGCGAGCTGAGTTCTGGGTTGCAAATCCCCCTAGTTGAAAGGTCAGGGATTATAACCACGCCGCCAGCTTGACTTGCGCATACCAAGCCAGCTGATGCAGGGTTCAGAGCTGCTGGACGCTCTGAATGGTACTAGTATGGTCCAGATGCTTTGCACGAGGGAATATCATCCCTTACAAGTGCATTTCTAGCATGTTACTAATAGAGATACTACCTAGGTAGCCTTAGTTCACTATACAGTATGCTACAGTAATAGTATTTGCTAATCCTTTGCGATCTCCTGTTATATTACGGAGTTATATCAGGGATTCAGGGATCTTAAACGGCGCATTTCGCGATGACCCCGGCAATCTCAAACGCTGCAGATTTCTCTGCTTCTTCCCATGAGGCTCGCAACTTCGACCCCGGAAGCGCTCGGCCAGCACTAGCACTGCTACTCAAATTGGACCAGGCTCCTGGATTCCATCCCGGCCTGCCGCGTTTCCAGTTGGACTCCAATTGGCGCAGTTTCATTTCGCACCGCAGTGTCGCAATGCTAGTGGTGGTGGTGGTGCTAATGCCTGATGGAGCAAGGACCGGCATTTGGTCTGACCAATACAGTATGTGCCATCCCACCTGGATACGACCATGCTGCAGCATCGGCAAACGAGGTGCAGCAGTTGATGGCGAGTTCATGCATTATTAGTAGAGGGTGCTCCATTAAAACCTGCGAAACATGCTGTCAAATGCTGTCTTCAAGCGAAATGGCCCAGTTCAATTTACAAAGACACATGAAACAAGCATTCAACTGACATCGAGATGATGTGCGTTGACAAATCACACGCAACGCTCATCAGCACCGTAAACGCAAGAATAGCCGCCCTATGTTGACCCATACCTATACGGACGGCTACGGCCCGCGTAAATCACTGCTAGTCAAGGCCTTCAGTTTTCGGTTTTATGCTTAGTTTTTTTTTTTTACTAACTAAAGTTCTCCGCTGCGGTAGTGGCTAGTATTAGGCCCGGCTCTCGTGTAAGCTGATGTCGGGAATATGTGCCAGTCCTGTTTAATCGCATCCCCACGGCATCCCTCCCTGCTGTTTTTCGCCTCCAAACAAGGACTTCTCCAGGCGCAACTCCCCCCTCATTAACGCGACCCAAGGGTCAACCCCTAATACGATCATATGATTACCGCTTTCTTCCTCGCTTTCGGCCCCAAATGGCACCCTGGCCAGCCCTGTAAACTGCGCAGGCCACACGGGCCACGCGGGCCACCAGCCGGTTGATGATGCCAACATCGCGGATGGGATCCCAGCAGGGGCTCTTGATACCGAGTATTTTTGCATGAGTCTATCTTGATCGTCACGCTCTCCACCGTCTTAATCCACCATGGCCCGCTGCCCGTCAATGATCACCCGGTGGAAAAACTCAATCTCACTCTGGCTCCATCCGTTCTGATCTTCGTCGTTCTTTCAACAACTTCTCCTCTTCGTTCGTCACATCCAGTGCTGGTCCGTGAAGTGGGATGCCTGGCAGGACGCCGCTGTAGCCATGGATTCCACGCTTCTTATCCACTGGCTCTTCACCTGGCTGGCCCTCCTCATCATGGCCATCAGACTCTGGGGGAGGAAGTATGTGCGACAGCCCTTCAATAGGGGCGACTATCTCACAATGGCTGCTGCCGCCTGTGCTCTCACCAGGCTCGGCATGATTCATGTTGTCTTGACTTGGGGCACCAACAACATGACGGCTGCCCAGCGCGCACATCACCTCTTTACACCTACCGAGATCTATCGGCGGGAAATCGGCAGCAAGCTAACCATCACGAACCGAGTCTTCTATAACTCCTAGTCAGTATACCCTGGGAAATTACTGTGCAAAAACTATACAGCTAGCGGAGTGAGGATCTAACGCTTGGGGGACGTGATTGTAGTCTTTGGCTGCAGAAGCTCGTACTGCTGGATCTCTATCGACGACTCATCCAGGATCTTCCCTACGAAAAATGGCTGATTCGGGCTTATCTTGCTTTTTTCTTTATGACATATGCGACTGTCCAGATTCTGACCTTTGTCGAGTGCAAGCCCTTTCACCTTTACTGGCAGGTTGTTCCTGATCCAGGTATGATTAAACCTTTTCCTACTTAGCACCACCATGACAGCCCCTCTAACTATCGACATAGGCCCTTGTGCAGAGGCTCAGATTCAGCTGATTGCCCTCGGCGTTCTCAACATCGTAACCGACTTCATGTTGATTATCCTCCCGCTTCCCACCATTTTCAAGCTGAAAGCGCCACCAAGTCGAAAAGTCCAGCTGGTTGTGCTTTTTACGCTCGGTATCTTCATCATTCTCATCACCATCATCCGACTACCCATCAATTCTCAGAACGCTACTAGCCAAGTGAGCCGTACAACTTGGGCGAGCACCGAGCTCCTTACCGCTGCTATTGTGGTCAATGCCCCGACGCTCTACTCATTCTGGAATAAGAGTCGGCAAAAGACATCAGGGCCTCAGTTACAACAAGGAGATAGTGAAAACGGCAAGGGGGTTGGCCAGTTCGCTTTGGAAACGATAGGTGGCAGTACTTTTTCTGGTGACGGGAGTAAAAAGCGCAAATCGAACGTAGGGGTGTTGCAGACGAAAGATGCTACCGTGACCGAATACAGGAGGAGTGGCGACTACATCAAATTGGCCGACGAGCGAGATCACATGTCACAAAAGTCAAGCCAGCAGGAAAATCCATAATTCGGCTAATGCTTACGATTCATCTCTCCTTTTTTTTTCTTATCATCAGCATATGTACCTTATGAGCAATACTGTTACGATTTCTTTTCATCCGGAGTTTATACAAAAAGTCACGGATCAGAATTAAACTTGATACCCTTGAATTCACGATACAGCCCGTCTTCGCAACTAATTTTCGTGCCTGTAGGATACACCCGACGCAGAGCACTCTCCCGACTTATAGCTCGAGGTGACTTCTAATGCTTTCGACTTCTTGTCTTACCACCCTTCCAGCGTAACTTCCCAACCCACTCCGCAAACTTCTGAACCTCTTCTTCTTCTAACAGCAGCTCAACCGTGTAATAATATCTCGCCAAGTCTTCATGATTCCTAAAGCGGTGTACGAATCTGTGACAAGCACCACACAACCACGCCACGTTTTGCAAGTCTTCCTTACGATGCCATCCGCGTTTGACGGCTTTATCGTGCACAAAGCGAGGAATGAGGTGGTGATATGATAAGGGAATCCAAGAACGCTCGCAAAGCTCGCAGGCCTCAGTGCGAGTAGATGCCGTAGCCGGTGGTGGTTCAATGAGAGGAGTGAGATATGCTGTGAGAATGGGAAGCAGAAATGCCTCTGGCGTGGATGGGAGATGTGAAGGCTGAGACGGGTCTGAGGAGATGAGGTTATAAGTGACGAGCGTCTCGCAAATGGACGCCGGCAGAACGATCTCTGATAAGCTATCCTCCGTCAGGGGCAGGGAATACTGCGTCTGCAGCGCTTCTGATTCCCTCCATGAGCGGTAGTCCAGCTCCTGCAGGTCCTGCGGGAGGTTCTCAAAGATGCCGTCGGCCAGGTAGTCGATGAAATCGGCGAGTTCCTGGGCGTCCCGCTCCGGATCCGCGACCGCAACCGCAGCCGGCGCCGGTGACGTCGGCCCCGCCTTGGCTCGTCTCCTGCGCTTCGGCTCCGGCGCGGGCGTTGCGGGCTGGAGGATCGTGGTGGAGAGACAATCTCGAAAGAGTGGGTAGTTGAGGCTTTCTTCATCCAGCATTGTCTTGTTAAGGGCAAGTGAGAATGATTCCTCAGATAGATCGGATCGGTCGGCAGTCGGATATGCGAGATGCTGAGTGTCTCTGATTCGGTTGACGTAGAGTGAGGATTTGATTGGGTGGCTGATGGCCAGATTGGGGAACCTGCAATTTCTAGATTGAGGGGCTGCGGATAATAGTTCAACAGAACATGATTGATTACCGAGGATGGGAAGTGTATATCTCATGAAATATATATTGTACGAACACATGAAGAAGGTTTCATAAAGCAGTAATAATACTCCTGTCGGGGAATCTCACAGAACTTCGTCGAGACTCCTAGTCTACATTCTGTATTCTTTGAGTGCATCTTGCAGCCTGCAGACTAACTGGTTGCCGCCTGACTCACCGGCTTCACTTAAGTCTTTTACCCTGGACAGCTGAAAAAGCATGGCTCCAACCACCATTGCATTCGACCTATACGGGACCATCCTTTCCACCGACTCCATTGTCAAGGAGCTGGCTAAACTTTTCGGAGATGAAAAAGCCAAGGTAGTTGCCACGCAGGCCCGGCGCTACCAGTTGGAGTATTCTTGGAGGATCAATGGCATGGGTGAGTTTCTTCATTTGAGTCGCCCAGCTGCAATGCAGACATCGAAACTGATTGCTTCCGGCCAAGGCATGTACCAGTCGTTTGGCGAATTAACGCGATGGTCATTCCGGCACGCTGCTGCAGAAGTCGGCGAGGAGCTGTCACCAGAGCAGGAGGACAAAGTGATGAACGCCTACAACGGCCTAGACGCATTCCCCGAGGTCGAGGCAGGCCTCAATCTCATTGCCAAGACGCCTGCAGTGGAAGCCTACGTCTTCTCAAATGGCACCGAGGCCATGATCACGTCGTCACTGCGCACATCCCCATCGCTGGCTCGATCAAGCTCAGTCCTGCCGGCGTCTCGGGTTGTTAGTGTTGATCCTATAAGAGTGTTCAAGCCTGATCAACGGACGTATGCGCACTTTGCCAAAGTGGCGGGCATGGAATCTCAGGTAGAGAAGTTGTGGCTGGTTTCCTCGAATCCTTTTGACGCTCTGGGTGCGAGGGCTGCGGGTTGGAGAAGTGTTTGGGTTAATCGAAATCCCGATCTTGGTTGGATCGATGGACTGAGCGGTGCGGTTGGGTTGAGGCCGACGGTGATTGCAAAAGGCGTTGATGATGCTGTGAGGAAGATTATTGAGATTGATATTCAAGGTAAGCCCGTAGACGAGTAGGAGCAATTCACTCTGGAGCTGAACATATCGCACTATCTTTATATTGCCTACATAAAGTTGCTTGAATTTTCATAACAACATTCACAAGCCATCTCATTGCTTTCTGTTAGTAACATATCTATATCAATACTATCCCTGATATGTAAGGAAAGGCCTGCGTTATCTCGTGCATTGATTTAGCCATGCAGCAAGAACGCGGCCCGCTATAGTTTAGTGGCGGTCACTGTGCAGCAGCATCCTTGCACCTGCTATCGATACGCGTGACGCAGCTTCCATTTTCAACAGCACTTGCTCTGCCTCCTACAATTTCCAAGTTCTTTAAAGCTCCAGTCTACATTCACATTGGATTTTCTAATCTCAAACAAGTCTCTCTCTCTCTTCAAAGCACTTTCTTTTTTCTTCTTAACCACCTACGTTCAGTCAACTCCACTGCATTGCCGCGCGATTCGAGAAGCTCGCGTCAGCCGTTATGGCTTCAAAAGAAGACCGTAGCCCCCATAGCTCGTCGCGCCGACATCGGGATAAATATGATGACTGTGAGGATGGCTCTGGGCATAAAAGAAGATTGATGCTAATGGAAACAAGCATCTCGCCGCGACCGTGACGACAGCCGAGACAGACATAGACGGCGCGACCGACGAAGATCTCGAACCCCAGAGGACTCTTCTCGGAGACATCGAAGCCGTGATAGGGACCGAAGCCGTGACAAGGACCGAGAAAAGAGACGCGATAAACATCGGGACCGAAGTGGCGACCGTGAAAGAAGATCTAGACGTTCGCCGGAAGAAAAGGATAGCCGTCGGCGTCCACGGCACAATCGTTCTGACGACGGCGACGACGAGCGTGACAGCCGCGCACTAGCTCGGCGCCAGGATGGCCCTCCTGTCAGAAGATCGGGGCCACTACCCTCACAAGCAGATTCTTTTGCCGGCACAGCAGAGGGGGCCGACGACCCCGAGAAGCCCAAAGAGAAGCCGAATATAGGAAACACAGGCCGGCTAGCGGCCTTGTCCAACTCGGTTGCCCAGGCAGACGGCACATCAATCGTGCTCAAGTATCACGAGCCGGGAGAAGCACGAAAACCTCCGCCGAGCGATCACTGGAAGCTCTTTGTATTCAAGGGTGGAGATATTATCGACACCATAGAACTAAGTGCAAGGAGCTGCTGGTTAATAGGGAGAGAGACGGCCGTGGTTGATTTGTCCGCAGAGCATCCGAGCCTCAGCAAACAGCACGCTGTCATTCAGTTCCGTTACATCGAGAAACGGAATGAATATGGCGACAAGATTGGCAAAGTGAAGCCGTATGTTATTGACCTAGAGAGCGCTAATGGAACCATCTTGAATGATGAAAAGATTCCTAGCAGTAGGTATCTCGAGCTGAGGGACAAAGACATGTTGCTGTTCGGACACAGCACGCGAGAATATGTCATCATGCTGGCTCCAAAGGATTAGGGACGACATCGGAGCTATGCAAGAAGACAACCTGAAAGAAGGCAACCTGAAACAAGGCAATCTGAAAGGAGACAACCTGAAAAGAGACAGCCTGAAAGGAGACACCATGAAAGGAGACAGCCTGAAAGAAGGCAACTTAACACTACCACGAAAAGCGCTGATATACCCCCGACTACTCAAAGCGCTGATTGGTGGTGACAGGGAGGAACCCATCAGTCTAGGCTATAATGCATGCCTGCTTCATGAATTCTATAATCAATATCCATCCAAGTGTAACAAGATTAAAAAAAAAAAAAAAGTGTATTTAGAGCCACGAGAGGGAGCTGTTTGCATCGTTAGTCGAGCACTCGGATATAGACTGCTACATTCGTTATTATTGCAGGAGAACTTGGAGGAGGTTTGATGGTGCTTTTAGAAAGCAAGAACCTGTATTAGCTCTGATGTAAATTGCACTGATATTCTAGGCTTCCAAAAGATTATGCTAAAGATCAAGTTGAGGAGAGATCTTAGTTTAAGCAACTGATCTTGGCAATGGAGCTGGGGTGATTATTCGTCCTAAATTTTCTGTGGCTACGGTCGAATTTACGGATAGGAAGACTAGCTGCTGCTGTCAATTTCCCGTGTTTGCTTGTGTTATTGTGACAAACCATTGAAGAAGGCCATACATATGCTGGTCTGTTGCGAATACGTATGCAGGATGTAATCAGTCCAAAGAGCCATCTTTTGTGAGGTCCAATCTGGGTGGGGTTTAGAGCAACCAAAGTCCCCAGTATATAGAGAATCCATGCCCGAAATAGCCCAGCAAAAAATGCTATATGACAAGTATCGTGAGATTTTTAGCGTTGCGAGATCAGATCGTAAGGCTGCTAAGGAGTGGGCGCGCTTGAGCGTGTTTTCCACAACTAGGTGGGTTCATTCTCAAGTATAAGACGTTTTAATAAGAAGAAATCGCTGATCGCTGTAAACAGATGAGGATATGCAAACGTATTATGAGATGTTACTCTAGATGTGGTATTAATGAACAAGAATGTAAAGTTCTCTCAAGAAAGCAAAATATGCTGAACGGCACTATCAGCGATCAGAGCTAAGTCTCGCTTTCTTTGCATTATGTGCGCGTGGGTGAAAAGAGGGCGAAAGCGGATTTACCAAAGAAAAGTCGCATATTCAGCCGCTGATGTTTGCATTTTTCTCCTTATATGAGGTTGTCTTTAACTACGTAGTTGGATATTTGTCTCATAGCACCTAGAAATGCACAGATATCGTCCTGGCAAAGCTGAAGCGAGCGGTGTGATTTCGGCGCTTCAGCTATCATCGCCGATTCAAAAGAATCATCCGATGAGAATTATTCATTAAATCCGCTCTGACGCACCCGTGGGGACAGTGATGAGACCAATACCTGAAATAGCCATCTACTTGGTCGATTTCGGAGATGGCAGAATGAGATATTGGCACCGCAGGAGTATCATATTGCCGTTGCATTTCGTATTCATGATGTAGAAAGTGCACAATATGGTATAGTTTTAGATACTGTCGTACATATTTTGACACATTGTTTTTTTAAGAGGCCAAGATCGTGTACAAGAAAGATATTCAAGCTAATCTTATCACGTTGATTTGACCATAACTACCTAGAACCTAGTATACATATGATACAGTATCATAAACAAAGCTGAAGAGGCCTGGTTGAAATATGAATTTATTGAGATTGTCTGTAAACCAGAGCTAACTAGGTGTGAAACATGGCGTTCTCAGATAATCCTGCAATACAAAGAACATGATAGGTTTCTTAGCAAGATGCAATTCTGCTATCACATGCATCTCGGGTTGCAAACACCGAGTTCATAGTCGCTCTCTGTGCTAAATTGGAGTTGTGGCCTGTTGGACTCATTTAAAAAGCAAGCAGCATGAGTAGTGAGTGCACTCCATACCCATAAAATAAACCACGGTTGCCGACTATACCCGGCCAGCTTTTGGTGGAAGAATGGCGCTGTTATGAATGTATGCGAGTATTTACACCGAGGCACAGAGTTCATCTGTATCTATCCACATAGGGAACTTTCTGTATGCGGCTCTTCTCTGCGCAGAAACAAGTGCTAGGACTTGCGGGGCTGAACTTCTCATTCAATCAAAGTGGTATTAGGGATCAAACAAGTGGCTGCCAAGGGCTTCAAAAGGTGGGCAAGAATTCAAGCCCAACGGTTGTTGCCGATCATATTCTCGATTCAATTAAAAGATCAACTTGATGGCGGCATAGTGGGCCATGCACAAGGATTACGAAGGTCTTTGTACCGAATAATGGCTTGGATCTAACATGGGGAAAAAGGAAATTTTTTGTCTGAAAAGTCCCTGAGAGGTTGACTGCCGATCTATGCGGTGCTTCGGCTTTCAAATACGTCGTTTGTAGAACACCAACCTAAGCTTCACCTTTGTTCCTAACCAGAGTCACTTTGATGACTTACACGGAATAAATAAATAACCTCGTTGACTTCTTTGCTGATCTGGGGATAAGAATCTGGGGGTGGGCACTACCGTGCCCACTGCAGAAACAGATTCTTGTAGCATTTCGTAAGCGAGTATAATAGTGGGCAAGAAATGCAGAGCATTACTATTCGTATGTATAAACCACTTATAAAGACCCACGCAATGTTTCCGATCTTTGTACCCGCGAGTCAGATATTCAGATTGTATCTGTTAGTTTTCAAGTCTTTTGTATGTCATTTCAATACTTCTAACGAAGTACATACTGCCATTGCTGTAGTAATAGCCATTACTCTATGTGGTGAGATAGTGTCCGTATTAAGGAGTAAGGGTCCTGCGGCATGCCGCAGCGGCTCATGAAAAGAGACAAGGCGAGTCGGGATACCTGGCATAAACCAACGAGCCCGCTGCTAGATATAGAGATAGCTACAGGTAGAGTGAAGATATTGCTTGTGCCTGGACCTCTCTGTGTACGAGTACACACTTTGTAGGCCCCCTGGAAAGGAACTGCTCGTATCGCCTGCCTGATACATGCCTGCATGTACTCCACACACTCCTAAGTAAATATTCGTTAACAAAGTTTTGAGTCTCCTTATCAACACATAGAAGAATGGAGTCCAAATCGAATGCTATCACCAATTCGAACCGGCCAAGTTCAGCGGTCAGCCCCAGTTCAGGGATCTTTCGCAGCTAGAGCCTGTGACATTCGGCGGGAAAATGACGTCAGAGCAGTTCGATTTTCGACGCCGCCAAGGTGATGGTGAGGATCTTATGCAGGAAAAGTCGGCCGTCAGTATTGAGAAGTTAATGTTGCTGCGTATGGATGTAGAGCACGGTAACAAACTTAAGGAGGGAGCAAGGCCGTTGAAGATGGGGCCGGTGGCTTGAGTCTTGCGGCCTGTAAGATGCCCGATCTGTATCAGATCTACTTTGGGTGAAGGAAAAGAATGTGACAACACTAGGCATTATGATGAGACAAGATGCTTAAGAAGGCAACCATACTAGAAGTTTAGACATGTACATCTATGTAGTACAAGACAATTAGCTAATTACTTTGTAAAACGAGGA